TACATGCAAAATAATGAAACTTGACTGCTACCTCACACCATGCACAAAAACCAACTCAAAATGGATTAAAGAACTAGACATAAGACCTGAAACCATAAAATATATAGAAGGAAATAGAGGCGAAACACTACATGACATGCACTTCAAAGACATCTTTACAGACACATTACTCAAAGCAGTGAGAGTGAAGGCAAAGATACAGCTGGGACAACATCAAATTAAAGAGCTTCTGCACAGCAAAAGAGACAGTAACCAAAACAAAGAGAAACCCCACCCATTGGGAGAAAATTTTTGCACCCAACACTAATGATTAAGGACTGATCACAAAAATCTGCAAAGAGCTGACGGGACTCAAGAAAAACAAAGAATATAATCCAGTCAAAAAATGGGCAGAAGAGCTAAAAAGAAACTTCTCCAAAGAGGAAATACAAATGGCCAACAGGCATATGAAAAAATGTTCAACATCACTTGCAATCAGGGAAATGCAAATCAAAACTACAATGAGATACCATCTCACACCAGTGAGAATGGCACATATTAAAAAAACTAGCAACAACAAATGTTGGCGAGGATGTGGCAAAAAAGGAACTCTCTTGCACTGGTGGTGGGAGTACAAACTGGTCCAACCACTATGGAGAGCTGTGTGGAGATTCCTCAACCTACTAAAAAGAGAGCTTCCATATGATCCAGCAATTCCACTCCTAGGTATTCACCCAAAGGACACAGAAACATTAATTCCAAAGAGCACCTGCACTCATATGTTTATAGCAGCACTATTTACAATAGCTAAGCTTTGGAAACAACCCAAATGCCCAAAAATAGATGACTGGATCAAGAAGATGTGGTACATATACACAATGGAATATTACTCAGCCAAAAAAAAATAAACACATACAATTTGCAACAACATAGATGGAGCTGGAAGGGATCATGCTCAGGAAATAAGCCAGAAAGAAAAAAAAAATACCGGATGGTCTCACTTATAGCAGGAATCTAGAAAACCTAAATAAGGGACCAGGAAAAAGAATAACTATTGGAAACAAAAAATCAAAATGAACAAACAAGTATGAACCAGAGACACACTATGGGGGGTGGGGGTGGGAAAAGTGGGATTGGGGTTAAAATAAGAGGGTTGCAATTGTATGGGGAATATAAAAATAAAATTAAAAAAAAGAATATTGGATTCTTTTTGGTAGGCAATTAAACTACCTTTGAGACTTACTAGTTTTTTTAACTAAAGTAATGTTGATTCACAACACTGTATGTGATTCAGAGTCATATGATGACCCATCCTGGCAGCTTTCCTGCTCTCCTGTGACTGGTCAGGTACCTCTTTTTCTTCCTCCTTTTCTTAATAAACCTGTACTTTTACATATGAATGATGACACCTCCTCAGATGCTTGTCACCATACCATATGCAACCCCAGGGCACCCTCAGCCCTCTACCATAGTTCATTATGCCTCCCTTCTTTGTTTTGAGGCTTATCTTTAAACTCTTAGGGCAAGTCAGAGGTAATTTTTATTCTATGTCTAATTTATTTTCTACTTCTAAACTTGTCTCTTCTGGGATATCTTCTTAATATCTTGTGCATTCAATGAGGTTTTTTCCTTCTAGCTTGAAATTTGATGTTTTGTTCCTTTTTAAGCTCTGGGAGTTGTCTTGTAGTTCCTCCTAATTGTTTTTTCATCAGAAATTACCCTTAGTCTATTCTTTAAAGACCGGTAGTATGATGTCCAGCCAGATTTAAGGGAACCCAAATTTAAATATTATAAGAGCATTGTATGTGTAACTTTCTCCTCCCTGGAAGTCTGCTCCAGAAATTCTATTCATTTGACTTTTCAGAACTTGTTTAGTTACTTTTCAATAATCACAATTGTGGGGCACTGTTTGAGTACTCCCAGGGTTACTTACTGTTTGGATTTCACCTCCAGGTAGAAAGCCTGGGGTTGGGTTATGGCGTAGACTCCTTTTGTTTCATTTCTCTCAAAAATCATGTCCTGTGCTGCTCAATATCTAATATCTGAAAATTTTCCTAGATTTTGTCGAATTTTTGAACTGTTTTCTTTGGGAATGTAATTCTGAACCGTATAATCTGTTCATAGCTGGAAGCTAAAATGCACTGTTTTATTTTACTCCTTACTCTTAATTTGACTTGCTGGGTATTATTTAGAAATTCTCTCAGAGAGAGCATGTAGTTAGTGTTTTTTCTGAATTCATCAATTCTGAAAAGTTTGTGGTCCTAAACACTTGAGTTCAATTTGGTTATTGAATTTGTAGATACAGAGTTGTTTTCATCTGAACTTAGAATATGTTATTTATCTGTTTTCTCTCTCTCTTTTTTTTTTTTTTGGTCTATTTCATTTTATGCAGTGTTAATGATGAAAAGTCTGCTTTTGTTATGATGCTTGTTACTCTGTAGGGAAGAGATTTTTTATTTGTTATGACTTGTAAAATTTTGGCTCTCTTCTTGATTTTCTAAAATTTTGATGTGTCCAATGTGGATTCATTTGTAAAATATATCCACCCTTTCTCTTAGGCCCTCTTTAGTCTCTTCTAATTTCTGAGAAATGCTATTCTAGTATTTCTTAGAATATTGCTTTCTCATTTGTATGTATGGATGTTGGAAATTATTATTCTAGTTCCCATTTCTTTTTCTTTAGTGCTTTACTCTCTTCGGTTTTCTCTTAGCTTTTCATTTGCCCTTCACTGGTGCCTGTTCTACTCTTTAAATTCAGTCATCAAATTTTTAATTTGTTTTTGATTCTTTTTTGTGACTATTGTTAATACTCATTCTTATGTCCTTTTTAACTGTTCTTATTAATCTCTTATTAATCTTTTATATATTTTTTTGGATTTACTTTCTTTAATTTTTAGGCTTTGGTTACCCTCTATCTTTTTTTTAAAGTTATTTTGTATGTTCTTCTTGATTATGTTTTCAATTTTGTTGTTGTCTTAGATTATTTATAAATTATATTTTATTGCTAGCTGCTTATACTGAAGGGTTTAGCCTGCAGGCAAATACTCTCAAATGCAGTTAAATGCTTGGAGCTATACATACTTCTGCATTAGTGAAGGGTTCTGAACCTTACCTACCCAATATTTCAGTCTGGACAGCTCACTTTCATCTATAACTTTTTAACTTTTTCTTGTTGTTAGACATGGAATTCATAGAACACTAAACTCACCATTTTAAAGTATAGTGACTTTAGTATATTCACTATGTTGGACAATCATTTCTTTTTTCTAACTCCAGGACTTTTCATTCCCCCGGAATGAAACCCCATATTCAATAGTAGTTAATCCCAATTCCCTGTTTTTCTAGTTCCCGGAAACCATTAATTTGCTTTATGTCTCTATTGACTTGCTTCTTGAAGACAGTTCATGTAAATAGAATCATGTAGTATAGCTTTTTTAGTGTTTTAAAATTTTTTCTTAGCTGTATGATTTATAGGTTTGTCTATGTTGTTTTTTTTTTTAAAGATTTATTTATTTATGCATACAAGAGCCGGGGTACAGGCCAGAGATACAGGGCGGGCTGGCGGGCGTGTGTGTGTGTGTGTGTGTGTGTGTGTGTGTGTGTGTGTGTTCACCAGAGACAGAGTAGGGAATAGAACAGGCAGATGGACCGAAATACACTGCTGAGGGGAGCAGCAGGCAAGTCAGGAGAGGTCTGCTGTGCCATGTGGGTTGCTCCCTGGCCAGCCGGGGATCGAACTTGTGTTGTAGAGGCTGCAAATTGCCTCATAGTGTGGTGCTAAACCCCTTGCGTCACCAGGGAGTCCCCAGGTTTGTCTGTGTTTTAACATGCATTATTACTTCATTCCTCTTTATGACTGAATCATCTCTCATATATACCACATTTTGTTTATCCATTCACAGGTACATGGACATTTGGATTATTTCTGCTCTCTGGCTATTTGTGAATAATACTGTTTGACAATTTGTATAAATTTTTATTTGTGAGCATCTACTTTTAATTATCATTGGAATGTAGCTAAGGAGTGAAATTGCTGGATCATTTGATAATCTGTTTATGATAATCTGTTTTTATATATGATATTTAGCATTAATAGATTTCTTTTGAGGGGCCTCCCTGGTGGCGCAAGGGGTTAAACACCACACTATGAGGCAATCCACAGCCTCTGCAGCATGAGTTTGATCCCCGGCAGGCCAGGGAGCAACCCACATGGCACAGCAGACCTCTCCTGACTCGCCTGCTGCTCCCCTCAGCAGTGTATTTCAGTCGGTCTGCCTGTTCTGTTCCCCACTCTGTCTCTGGTGAATCCTCACACCTCCCCACCCCCATATCTCTGGCCCGTACTCTGGCTCTTGTATGCATAAATAAATCTTTAAAAAAAATCAGTATTTTAGTTCATAATCCAAATAGACTTGTAATGAATGATTCACTTAAAAAAATAACATCATGATTACTTTGTCTTTCTCTACAAAGGGGAGTAATATTTTGTTTTATGACAGTATTAGTATCATTTAGAGGAAAATATATTAAAAGTTCCATCTTCATTGCATATTAAATAGAAATTTTCTCTTAGCAAGGCATTAGCAGTATAACTTTTTGCCCCAATTTGTTTAGAAATTACCAGTTTTGGCAATGGCTAAGCCTGTTCAGAATATTAGTAAAGGTTTTGTTGCATAGTTAAAACAAAAAAAAAAAACCCAAAACTGACATGTAGAGCAGAAAATGATCCTTATAAAAACATAAAAAAAAAAAATGAATGAATCAAATCTAGGTTGAACATAAAATTTTAGGTATTAGAAGAATGAATCAAGCATCATTGAATATAAATTTCATTTTGAATATTATAATGAATATTATTTTAAGTTTGTGGGAAAGAATTAGATTACTAGAGGATTGAAATTTATCATTGCTGTTTCTTTCCAACTTACTGAGCCACAACTACCTTTTTGCATTTCACTTGGTTTGTTTTCATAATGTTTTTCACTTTTTTGGTTAATAATTAATTGATTATTTTAATACTAGGAGTTCGCAGTCCCTGATTATCGTTCTTCTCATCTTGAAGTTAGTCAGGCATCACAGCTTTTGCAGCAGCAACAGCAGCAACAGCAGCTTCGTAGACGACCTTCCTTGCTATCAGAATTTCACCCAGGTTCTGACAGGTAATGGGATTTCTTTTATGTTTCAATCTAGAACTGTAATTGTGAAGCATGTATATACCTCACCAGTATGTCATTTGATTTATTTTTATCATTTTATTAACCAAGCTGTGAGTGATCATTTATATTTATAATATGTACTTTGAGCTCTTTTATATTTGTTGATGATTTTGGAGTAGTTTTGGCAATAATTAATAAACTCTTAAAATGTGTTGCCAAAATTCAGAGTTAATGTTATGTGTTAGAAAGTCAGGTAGATCTAGATTTGAATGATGGTCAGCTTATGTGTAGCCTTGGTCACACTGGGTGAATTGGTGTTCTCAGTTTAAGCTGCATATTAGAACCATCTGGGGAGCTTTTAAAACTTGATGCCTAAATCCCATCAGGTTGATCAAATCAGTCTCTGGGATTAGGCCCAGACATTTTGTCAAGTTGCTTGGACGTTTTCGTTTGCAGCAAGACTTGCAAATGACTGATTTAGATTCTTCAAACCTTAGTTTTCTCAGGAGTAAAAATGATGATAATAATGGCATTGTCCTCAAGGTGAGTAAGTAATTAACCATGTAATGTTGGCTCTGTATCTCATAGGTGTTCATTTTCCCTGGTGTCCTCAGCAACTCTACTATCTTTTATTCCATTCTCACACTTAGTCTATTTTGAAATCCAGTTGCCTAAGTAAATCTCCTTTCTTGTTACATTAATTTTATAAAGAACCTTTTTTCTATTTTAAGTGTTTACTATTTTAGTCTTAAAATAATAAAATGTTTGAAACTATTCTAAAATGTCATTTCTTAGTGAAGGTTATGGAGAGAGTTCAGATCACTCTTACCCCTATATCTAGAAAATATATAATTTTTTAAAAAAATTATTTTTTTTAAAAAAAGCTAAAAACGCATCCTTTGTAAAGAAGGAAAGGCATACAGCTACTGTCATAAACTGGGAAATGTGTCATTCATTCAAGGAATGAATTAGAAGTGTCTTGTATGACTTGGCCTTCTGTTCCCTATTTCTACTTTCAAAGAAGCAGTGTTGAACAAATAAAGAGGGTCAATAAAATGCTAGGATTTTTTGGTGAGTAATACCTAATTTGAGAAAATGTAAATGGAGGTGGTAGTAAGAGTAGTTTGCTTAGGAGTTCCCATTTTGCCATTCTTGTTTCCCTTTGGCTACAAGAATGCTCATTAAGGTGGGCCATTTTCCAAAGTGATGAGCCAGCACTCAGGACGCTTTACATGTTTGGATGACAGAGTGGGCCAAGACTCTTGGCAAAGGCTGTCAATGGCTACCCAAATGTACCTATTTCGCCTCATTTCCCTATTCTCTCAGGTTGTAGAAAAGCATATGGAACACCATACTCAATCCTTCGTCTGTAGATAAATACATACTAGACAGAGTGGAGATGAGCAAGAAAAACCCAAGCACGCTATTCCACGCAAAAAAGAGGGGGTGAATAGTGGTAAGGGAAACCAAGTTCAAAGCAAATACCTGGAAAGGAAAACTAAAGAAAATAATACAGTATGCCAAAAACAAAGACCCGTGTGTGTGTGTGTGTGTGTGTGTGTGTGTGTGTGTGTAAGAAGATAAAAATCAAAAACATGCCTCATGAGATCTTTGTATTATGAAATAACTTAATAGAGTATTAAAAAAACAAAATACAATAAAATTGAAAAAAATGAAATATTGAGTATTTCAGTGCCTCTAAGCATCCTCCATTATAAGTTTAAATGTATTAAATGAGAAGGAACAAGGAATAAAATAGATGTGACAAAAACTTAAACCTTTGTCATAGAAAAGGGTCTTGAGATAACCAGAGTAAATACAGAAGAGAAGGACAAAGATTAAAGCAATTAGACAGGATTTCATAAATATGGAGGACAAATTAAAATCATCCAACATATGAAGAGAACAGGTGTTTCAAAGGACAGGAAAAAATGTTCATTTAAAAAAACCCAAGTTGTTGCCTGTAAAGTGAGGGAAGAACTTTATTGATTGATAAGGACATGTTTTCTTGATTTCATCAGAAAACAGCCTGTGTAATTACTTATAATCTCTGGATCTTTGTGGACCACTATTTGGAATAGCTCTGAACTTTATGGCATATTCTCCTTAAATGAAGCTTATATTCCTTAAAAGTAAAATGGAAGAGTGTAAGTTTATTACAGTAAAAATATTATTTAATAATTTTAATTTGTTTTATAGCTATTTAGAGATAGTTCAGAGATGATGAAATTAGATTTCAAAGTTTATTGTATAATATTTTTATTGACCTCTTCTATCCTGAAAAATGAAGGGCAGTGAATATCTTTTCAAAGAAGTGTCGTTTGTGAGACATTAGTTTAAAGCTTGGCCATAAAATAAAATGTTGTTTCTGTAAATACTTTGCTAGAAAAATGAAAAGTGAAGTTAATAAATATCCATATTTACTACTCTGTGCAGTGCGTCATGTAAAGAAATCAAAGACAGTTTCTGACCTTCAAGATACTTATTATGTATTTGGCAAACCAGACAGAATGTGTTTTTGGGGGGGGTCAGAATGATGTTTTCAAAACTTTTGGATTTCTGCTTAACATCCTTGTCCTAAAGATATTTCACATTGAGGTCATTTCTCTTTCTATGTAGCAATTGCTGGGAGATATGTTATTCTCTGTTTTATTATTGGTTAAATAATGATGACTCTTGTAGCCTAGATTGTCTTGAATTCAACTATTATGATGTAGGTTTAAAATTCTTATTTAATGGATATTCTTCAGCAATTTTGAATATTCTGCAAATTGAGATACTTTCTTTCCCTTCTGGATTGTTTTTTTTAAAGTCATCCCAGCTTTGCCTCCCCCAAAGAAACTTTCTATTAGAACTAGAAGTTTGATAGTACTCCTTAATGAGGTATATATTTTTCTGGGATGGGGAAGAGAGGGCAGGGACGTGGCTTTGGAAGTAACTTTAACTAATTTATTTCCAAGTCCAGCCAGGATGTTAGCAGGGAGTTGTACATCACTTAAATTTTTTCAAGTGTTTATTTTCTTTGTGTGTATTAGGCCTCAAGAAAGGAGAACTGGATATGAACAGTTTCACCCAGGCCCATCCCCAGTGGATCATGATTCACTGGAATCCAAGCGACCGCGTCTGGAGCAGGTTTCTGATTCCCATTTCCAACGTGTCAGTGCTGCGGTCTTACCTTTAGTGCATACGTTGCCAGAAGGGTTGAGGTCTTCTGTAGATGCTAAGAAGGTAAATATTTGTTCTCTCACGCTGTGGAGTTGTTGGTTTCTAATGTTTATTTAGCCACATTCAAGCACAACGCCTTAAAAGAAAGTCCAATTATTTCAGTCTTTAAAGGTTAGAACTATGGGGAAGTAAAAATTTTGTAAAACAAAATTAAAACCACAGATTTAGTGCTCTAGACTTTTAAAGTCTGTACGTTTCATTTTTTGGTGAATGAAAATCTGAGACTGCTGTAAAGAAAAATTGCTGTTGAGTAATACATATACATTGTGTGCTGGCTTGCCTGGACTATTTTAAATAAGTATTTATATTCAGTTGCCATTTATTGACTTGCTACATGGGAGAATCACATTTTAGGTAAGGTTTAACTGTACATGTAATTTTTACAATTGCACATTCATGATCATGCCTTTGTTTTGTAATTGTGTTTATCTTTTTAATGTCTGTTTTGCTTATCATTAAGCATGCAGATTAGGAAGTGCTTGGCACTTAGGTACAGAGTAAACATTTGTTTTAGAAAGAATAAGCAGATATGGAAAACTTTTTTTTTTTAAAGATTTATTTTTATTTATTTATACAAGCACTGGGTACAGTCAGAAGCGCAGGAGGGTGAGAGAATTCACCAGAGCCAGAGCTGGGAGCAGAGCAGGCAGAAGGACTGAGGTACACTGCTGAGGGGAGCAGCGGGCCGCAGGAGAGGTCTGCGCACCATGTGGGACCCTCCTCCGGTGGCCTGGGAGCAGCCGGGGATCGAACCGGCGTCGCAGATGCTGCGGGCAGCTTTGCAACCCAGTGCTCAATTGCTGAGCCACCCCACCTGGGAGGCCCTGGAAAACATTTTTAAACAGTAAAGTGTTAACCCTTTTATTGTAATGTTAATATTTCCCCCAGTCTTGTTACCAAGCCTCTTTCCCACAAAGTTAATTTACCTTTATGCCTAATGACCTTTCCTACCCTGATAGCAGATGAATTAGTATTAATACACTTTTTGAAATTTTATGTAGTGCAAATTAATTTAAAAGATAGTGAATATGTTTGCAATTTATTTTCAAATAATTTAGCCAAAAATAAAGCCTAGATGTGTGTGCATATGTAAGGAGAGAAAGCACATACAACAAAATGTTAACAACTAGTGAATCTAGGTCAAAGGATAAATGAGTATCCATTATACTATTAATTCAGATTTTATGTAAATTTGAAATTTTTCCAAATAACAAATTAAGTGGTGAAAGTTCTTTGTAAGCTAGAAATTAGTTAAACTCTGGAAATTTTTGAGACCCACCCTACTATGTGAAATATCTATATTATAGTCAATGAGTTTATAAGAAATATTTTGCTGGGCCTCCCCTGTGGCACAGCAGGTTGAGCGTGGCGCTGTGAAGCTGTCTGCAGCCTCTGCAGCGCTGGTTCAATTCCCGGCCAGCCAGCCAGATATCCACATGGCGGTCTCGCCTGCTGCTCCCCTCAGCAGTGTATTTCAGTCAATTTGCCTGTTCTGTTCCCCACTCTGTCTCTGGTGAATCCTCTCACCCTCCCGTGTCTATGGCATGTACCCTAGCTCTTGTATAAGAAATATTTTGCTATCTCAAAAAAGAAAATGAAAAAGTGTAGTGAATAAAGGTTTTCTTCTAAGGCTGAATAAATTACTACAGATATAATTTATAATATAGATTTTTTTAAGCAGAAAGGGATCTTTTAAAAGGTCATTTATTCATCTTTATTTTTTTTGAAGATTTATTTATTTATGCATACAAGAACTGGGGGGTGGGGTGAGAGGATTCACCAGAGACAGAGTGGGGAACAGAACAGGCAAACTGAGTGAAATACACTGCTGAGGGGAGCAGCAGGAGAGACAGGAGAGGTTTGCCGCACCATGTGGGTTGCTCCCTGGCCGGCCGGGCATTGAACTCATGCTGCAGAGGCTTCAGGTTGCTTCATAGTGCAGTGCTTAACCCCTTGTGCCACCAGGAAGGCCCCTATTGATTCATCTTTAAAAACTAAAAATGGAAATATAGTATGACCCATCAATCCTCATCTGGGGCTTTTATCCAAAGAACATGAAACCATCAATGGGAAAAACTGTAGGCTCTCCATTGTTGTTTGTTTTTTTTTTTATTTTCCAAGATTTATTTATTTATGCATACAAGAGCTGGGGTGCAGGCCAGAGATGCGGTGGGTGAGAGGTTTCACCAGGGACAGAGTGAGGAGCAGAACAGGCAGATGTACTGAAATGCACTGCTGAGGGGAGCAGTGGGCGAGGCAGGAGAGGTCTGCTGCACCATGTGGGTCACCTCCTTGACCAGGGATAGGTTGTGGCTTAATCCCTTGTGCCACCAGGGAGGCCCTGTGGTGCTCTACATTTTTTATCGCAGCACTATTCACAGTAGTTAGGACATGGGAGCAGCCTAAATGTTCATCGATAAGTGATTGGATCAAAAAGATGTATTCATATTATGGAATACTATTTATTTAGCCACAAAAAAGTTAGTTAAGCTCTGGGAATTTTTGAGACCCACCCTACTATGTGAAATATCTGTATTATAGTCAATGAGTTTATAAGAAATATTTTGCTGGGCCTCCCCAGCAAAATGTAAATGACATGCAGCTATTTACAGCCAAATGGAGGAATTTGAGGGAATTATGTGTAGTAAAACAAGTCAGAATGACAAACATTCCTTTCAGTCGCATATAAAGGATACCTGGTTCCTTTGAACCTTTGCTGACACCACATATTTACTGTTTTAAAAATTATTGTTAATTGCATAATTTTTAATTTGCTTTTATTTGCTTGTTAATAAAATGAAATTTTTTAAAAATTGATCTTCTTTTCCTGTTTTGTGAATCGTTTTTTCCTGTCACCCAATTTTCTGTTAGTGTGTTTTCTATTTTATATTGAGTTGTTTATGTTATGTTTTACAAATGATTTTTCATTTGCCTTTGGATGTTATTATTTTGAGATTGTGTTACTTTATTCCAGCAGTCTTTTTTTTTTTTTTTTAATATTTTGCTATTGACTTTCCTTAACCCAAGATAATGTGATACTTTTTGTGTGTGTTTGTTTGAGGCTTCTTGTGATTTACTATTTAGTCTATGTAAATGTTTGCTGTTACGTGACTTTTATTGTAATATAAGATGTGAGGTAGGAATCTTAACTCTTCCTCCAAAATAGCTGTTGGAATGCGTCCATCATATATATTTGTTCACTATTCTTTTACCTAGTGCTTTTCTTAATGGTGGCACTAAAGGAATTTTTTTTTTTTGCTAAATATTTAACCAGAAAGGAAAATGCTGATTTGCAATAATAGATCTTAGGCATGCATCATATTACCTGAGGAGTGTTTTTAAAATCTGCTGAATCAAATTTTAATCTATTTTGCTATTATATGTGCTCTGTAACACAAATTAGCTTTTATGCATATGGTAGGAACATAGTATTAATATGACATGGAAGTCCTGGTGGTTCACAAATTGTTTTTCCCTGCACGTTAATGTTTCAAAGCTGTCAGAATCAAGCTGTCTCATAATAAATGAAAGAATGTTTTCAATGTATGAAGAAATTAAGATGATTTGAAAATTCTGTATTTAGTCTTCATTTAGTGCAAGTAGTACCACCCAGCTTAGTGAATTCAAGAACTGTTCTGCTTTTAGAATTGAACAAACTAGTGAAGATTCAAGTGTTGAAAGGAACTGTGAAGACATTTTCTTCTGTATTTTTTAATTTCAAAGGTGGATAAAATGGTTGTACTTGAATTTGATTCCTTATTTTGATGAAACATACTTTTTTCTATTGGAAACAAATGATCTCAAGGATTTATGCCTTTACAAAGGAAGCATGAATATAAACTACAGGGCTTAAGATTGCCTAAGATTGATGATAGGCTGAATGCAAATGATAGGGGAGCTTTAACTATATTATTCTATTAGAATTGTTATTGTTTTTATAAATGCTCTGCATACAAAGTTATACAGGTCTTAAGTAATATCCATAATCCTATTTTCCCCAAAAGTCTTATATTTAGCATGTACTGTTACAGAATGTAAGATTTTTGGGGACTATGCATACGTATTCTGTTTTATCTGAAATTTCTGTTTCAGGGTGTTTTAGAACAACTATCCACCCAGGTATGGTGGTACACTTTGGTTAAAACTACTCTCACAGTTCTTAATCATTATTTAATGTATGTTGGAGCTCCATAGTCTTATGAACTATGCTCATTTTGGGCTGTTTTTAAAAAAAAAGATTTATACAAGAACTGGGGTACAGTCAGAGGCGCGGGAGTATGAGAGAATTCACCAGAGACAGAGCGGGGAGCAAAACAGGCAGATGGACTGAAGACACTGCTGAGGGAGCAGCGGTTGAGACAGGGGAGGTCTGCCCCGCCATGTGGGATTCTCGCTGGCTGGCCAGGATTGAACTGGTGCTGCAGAGGCTGCGGACAGCTTCATAGCGTGGTGTTCAACCCACTGTGCCACCGGGGAGGCCCTGGGCTTCTTTTTAAAAATTTTCTTGGGCCTCCCTGGTGGCGCAGTGGTTGAGCGCTGGGTTGTGAAGCTGCCCGCAGCCTCTGCAGCGCCGGTTCGATCCCTGGCTGCTCCCCAGCCACCGGAGGAGGGTCCCACATGTCGCGCAGACCTCTCCTGCCGCCCGCTGCTCCCCTCAGCAGTGTACTTCGGTCCTTCTGCCTGCTCTGCTCCCTGCTCTGGCTCTGGTGAATTCTCTCACCCTCCCGCGCTTCTGACTGTACCCAGTGCTTGTATAAATAAGTAAATAAATCTTAAAAAAAAAAGTAAAAAAAAAATTTTTCTTTACTTTTTTTTAAAAAGATTCATTTTTTATTTATACAATAGCTGGGGTATAGGCCAGAGGCGTGGGAGGGTGAGAGAATTCACCAGAGACAGAGTGGGGAACAGAACAGGCAGACACCAAAAGCATTGCTGAGGGGAGCAACGGGAGCAGATAGGAGAAGTCTGCTGTGCCATGTGGGAATCTTCCTGCCTGGCCAGGAATTGAACCCATGCTACAGAGGCTGCGGACAGCTTCACAGCACTGTGCTCAATCCGCTGTGCCACCAGGGAGGCCTCCACTGCGCTTCTTTTAGTCTAAAGAAAAGCAATACCTTAGTTTAAGATTCATTTGTTTTGCTCTATTCTATCTTTACCTCAGACTGGAAATCATTAGGACGTGTGCGCGCGTGCGCGCTGTTAGATTTTGGGTGGAGGAAGACGTTCATTCTGTTACTGTTATCTGATAATTTGGAGGTGGAATGAGATGATATAATTGACTAAACCAATATTGTAATATAGGCAGGCTTGTTTGCCCTTTAGGAGGGTAGGTCTGGAGCAACAAAAGTTTCCGTGGTCATTTTTCTGACTTCTATACCTCAGTATTGGCTTACGGAAAGCCTGAAAACTTTTTGATAGGAACTTTTGACCCTGTTGAGTGGGATAGGCATACTTGTAGTTTATACTATTTCCCAGAAATTTGTATTATTTTACCCAGAGTTCATACTATTTCCTTAGATGTTGAGCTTTTGAAAAACCATTGCAAGGAAGTATCTGAGACAAGGTTTTCTTTGTCATGGTTGCATTATTATTTCTTCAGAAAGTCTCTACTTTCTCAATAGCATTAACTAAAGGCAGACCAGCCACTTAGCCACCTTATTCATGTATAACTTTTAGGATCTACAAAATAGTGAATCATACATCTAAGCTATAAAAGTGGTATAAACATCAGTGGAGAGAGAGAGAATGTGTGTGTGAGTGTGTGTGTGTGTGTGTGTGTGTGTGTGTGTGTGTGTGAGGAGAGAGAGAGAGAAAAAAAAAAAAAACTGCTATCATAGGACTGCTATATAGAGGAGAAATAGAATATGACCTGTCTGCTCTGTTTTCAAATTAGACTTTTTAAGGGAAACACTGAAAATTAGTGAGGAATAAATTGTTCTTGATTTTTCTTCTCTTAAGGATCCAGCATTTGGAGGCAAACATGAAGCTCCATCTTCTCCAATCTCTGGGCAGCCATGTGGAGATGATCAAAATGCTTCACCTTCAAAACTTTCAAAGGAAGAGTTAATACAGAGTATGGATCGTGTAGATCGAGAAATTGCAAAAGTAGAACAACAGATCCTTAAACTGAAAAAGAAACAAGTAAGTGTTTGAATTTGTTGCTTTCTGTATTCTAACAATGCATGTTTCCCTAAAGAAAGTATATTAAATTTTCCGTATATAAAAAGACTCATGCCTATGTATTCTGTGAATTTTTAGGGTTTTTTGGGGAGCTATTAATTTCCTTAGTTTCATTCATTTTTCCTGCCGTATTGTCTGATTATTGATAGCAAAACTTGTTTGTCTATTCCATTTTTGATCTGTGTTGTTTCTGGTTTGTTGCTATTTCATATAATGGTACTGTGTTTTTGGTTTACATGTAGACAGATTTTCTAGGACATGTACCTAGGAATAGCATTGGTAGGCCCAAGGGTATGCTATTCCGTTGTACTAGATGATGCTAAATTTGCTAAGATAACAGTATCATTTTACAGTCTTACTGGCAGTATATACAAGTTCCAGTTGGTGCATGTCCTTGCCTTTACTGATTATTTTTTTCCAGTTGAATGTGAACTATTAATCTGTTTTTAATATGCATTTCCCTGATTAGGAATGAGACAGAGCTTGCTTTTTATTTATGGATTATTGGTGTTCATATAGATTATTGGTACTTTGTCATCTTCCTATTTTTTGTATTTACTAAAATCTGTTGTTATAGATACAGGAGATAACTTCTAATTGTGCCTTGCCATTTGTTTTCTGTTTTTTTTTTTTTGGAGTGGGGAGGATTTTTTTTTTACTGAGCTAAAAAAATTCACATGCCATAATACTCATCTTTTTAAAATGTACAATTCAGTGACTTTTAATGTATTCTTAAAGTAGTATAACTATCACCACTACATAATTTCAGAACATTTTTATCACTTGAAAAAGAACCCTCATATCTGTTAGCAGTTACTCTTTTTCTCCCCCCATCCTTGGCAGTCACTGTTCTCTGTTTCTATGGAGTGCATATTCTGGGCTTTCTCAGATAAATGGCATTTTGTGTGTAACCTATTGTTTCTCATTACTATGTTTTCAGGATTCATCTATGTTATATCTTGTATCAGCACTTTACTCCTTTTTATGGCTAAATAAAATTCCCTTGCATGAATATATTGTTTTGTTTATCTGTTCACTGGTTGATGGACATTTGAGTTGTTTCACATTTTGGCTATTATGAATAATGCTGCTACTGATATTCACATATTTTTGTAGGGTCATTTTTTTTAGTTCTCTTGGATATATACCTAAGAGTGGAGTGCCACTGGTTCATATTGTAATTCTCTGTTTGAAGTTTTGAGGAACTACCAAACTGTTTTCGTTATGTTTCTACCAGCAGTATATGAGTGTACTATTTGCTCCTTACCCTTGTCAGCATTTGTTATTTTGGTTTCCATTTCCTTAATGACTAATGATGTTAAATATCTTTTCATGTGCTTGTTGGCCATTTTATATTCAGACATATCTTGGAAATATTGTGGATTCATTTCCACACCACCATAATAAAGCAAATATCACAATAAAGCAAGCCAGGAGTGTTTTGGTTTCCCAGTGCATATAAAATATATTTACACTATACCTGGTCTGTTAAGTGCAATGGCATTATGTCTATAAAATCAATGTACATATCTTAAAAAATACTTTATTGTTAAAAAAATGCTATTATCAGAGACTTCAGCAAGTCAATATTTTTTTGCTGGTTGGAGGGTCTTATATAAAATGCATTATCTGTGAAAGGCAGTAAAACAAGGAAAATAAAGGCATGCCTATATTTTCCTGAGAGAAATGTCCATTCAGATCCTTTGCCCATTTTTTGGTTGGGTTATTTGTCTTTTTATTGTTGAGTTGTAAGAGTTCTTTCTATATTCTGGATATTTAAATGTTTGCAGGTATATTTTCTATTCTGTGGGTTGTCTTTTTACTTTCCTGATAGTGTCTTTGCTATACAGAAGTTTTTTGTTTTCTTACTTGATTCATTCAAATATATATTGAGCAACTAGGAAGATACAAAAGTGATTAAAATACCTTCACAGAAGTGAGTGAAATGGCAAGCAATGGAAAGCAAAGTATAAGGTTTACTGAGACACAGCAGTTAAAGTGCTTTAGGAAATCCAGAGTGAACTTGCTTCTAGCTTGGAAAGGAATGTCAGTTGGTGGCAAATTAGGAAAGGGGATTGAGATTAAAATAGAGGCCATCAGTCTGGATTGCTAATAGTATACACTATTATAGTCTCCTTTTACTCTCTTTTCATTTTTGGGAGTAATTTAAATTTATCTGTAGTGCCAGGACTGTTCAATGCATCTTTCTGGATATGGCCTGTGTTTTTGCTTTACTGTCTTCTAGTGAACAAGGCTCTCTCAGTGTTTTACGAGTTGTTTCCTCTTTTTTTTTTTTCTGGAGTAATGTGTAGAGATTTCTTTTTTGGGAGCTTTTTCCTCAGCTTCATTATCATCTTTATCTGCATATTTTACTTTTTTCTGTGAACCCTTGCTACCACTTCCAGGGGTATATCTCTTTCTAGGAAAACTAAAGAGTTTCTCATTCTCCTCCTCATCTTCTAACTCTCCAACTTCTTCCTTAGCTTCTAAGTCCTGTTCACTTATATTCACAGACCCTCAATCACATCATAGACCATAGGAAACCTGAAAGGAAAACAGTGGCTGACCAGACAGATTTTCAGAGTTACTAGTGTTACTTGAATTGCACTGCTTTCTTAAGTCATTGCCTCTGTCTTAACAGTTTGCAATTCATTTTTTGCACCAGAACCTACAGTGTTCTTAAAGATAACTGGTGCTCATTTTCATCATTATCTGCTTTAAAGTGATTATTTTGTTGTTCATAACTAAAAAGATAGTTTGGGGGCCTTGGGGAGTTCATGTCTATGCCCATTGAATCTTCATGGGGTGGTGGCACTCACTTAGTTGGGAGAGAACATGGTCAGAGATAAAGGATTACTGTTCCAGAGAACAACCTTGCATGATGGAATCACAGCTAGGCCAAAAGTTTTTAATTGTCTTGCAGTCCATTTTATTTTTCTTTCACAACTTGTGCTTTTGATGTCATATCTAAGCAACCATTGCATAATCCAAGGTCATAAAGATTTATACCTATGTTTTCTGTAGTTTGAAACTCACATTTAGAGTTTAATGTTTTCTGGTGAACAGAATTTCTTCAGGTTTTATATTAGAAATCTAATATAGATACTCTAGAGTCAAATAGTATAGGGTCAAAATTAATTTTTTTCCTGTATGGATAATTAATTGAAAAGTTCATCTTCTCCAGTTGTCCTGTTATTTTAGCTCTATTGTAATTCAAGTTTGCATCATACATATGTATTCATTTCTGGACTTGTTGTTTGTCTATTAGGGATATTGATGCCACAATGCAATAGATATTCTCATAAGTATTAGAGTTTTATAATCCTTTTTTCTTGTAAGGCAAACCCCACTTCTACAGGCATGTTATAAATACAACATTTTCTGTTTTCTAAAATGTCTTTCTGTAATTTTATTGTAATCATACAGATTATAAAGATCAATTTGAAGAGAATGATACCTTTATGATACTGAGTTTTCCAATCCTTGAATATAGTGTATCAGTTCATTTAGGAGGTTTTTGATGTTTTATTACTTTCTGTCCTTTAATATTTTATATGCCTTTTGTTAGATTCAACTCTGGGTACTTTCCATTTTTGATGCTATCATTAATATCTTTATTGCAGTTGATTTTTTTTTTAATAGACCAGCGGCCTCCCTGTTTTTTGTTTGTTTGTTTTTTTTTAAGATTTAATTATTTATTTATACAAGCACTGGGTACAGTCAGAAGCGCGGGAGGGTGAGAGAATTCACCAGAGCCAGAGCGGGGAACAGAACAGGCAGATCGACGAAATACACTGCTGACGGGAGCAGTAGGCGTGGCTGGAGAGGTCTGCGTGCCATGTGGGACCCTCGCTGGTGGCCGGGGATCGAACCCAGCTGCAGAGGCTTCAGGCAGCTTCGCAGCCCAGCGCTTAACCGCTGCACCACCAGGGAGGCCCCCATCCCAGTTCTTAAACCTTTTCCATTATCTTATTGCTCTGGTAACGTTTGTAATATAGCATTGAAAGTGATTATCCTTGTTTCTTCTAAAGGACTACTTACTTTTTACTTTTTATTACTAATTATTATCAGTTTTTATAGACAGCCTTCATTAGGTTGGGAAATGCCCTTCAATTCTTAGTGTGTTAAGAGTTTTCATCATTAAAGGATGTTGGTTTTGTTTGTTTTTTTAAGGGTTTGCTTCTGGTTCTGCTTCTTGCTAACTCTGTTACCTCACTTGCACAAGAAACTCTGCTTGAGCTTCAAGGAGCTTCTGTAAAATAGGGACAATAAGAGAATGTCTTTGACTAGATTGTTGGAAGAGCCATGTTCACTTCTTTATAAATTCTAAATAAGTACTTATTCATAAATACTCATACCAAGTTCTCAGAATTTGACAGCTGATCTTTATCCTAGAGAGATTAGACTTGAACATTTTGACAATAAATTTTCTTCTTTTTTTTTTTTTTATAGAGACATGCTTTTATTTTTTTATTTTATTTTACTTGTTTTGTTTTGTTTGTTTTATACATGCACTGGGTACAGTCAGAAGCGCGAGAGGGCGAGAGAATTCACCAGAGCCAGAGCGGGGAGCAGAGCAGGCAGAAGGACCGAAGTACACTGCTGAGGGGAGCAGCGGGCGGCAGGAGAGGTCTGCGCGCCATGTGGGACCCTCCTGTGGTGGCCGGGGAGCAGCCGGGGATCGAACCGGCGCCGCAGAGGTCACGGGCAGCTTTGCAACCCAGCGCTCAACCACTGCGCCACCGGGGAGGCCCTTGACAATAAATTTTCAATGGGTCAGATCAAAATTGAGCATCAATAATTCACAATTCATTGAAAAATTGAACCTAGGGCCTCCCTGGTGGCACAAGGGGTTAAGCACCCCACTGTGAAGCAGTCAGCTGACTCTGCAGTGCAAGTTCAATCCCTGGCTGGCTAGGGAGCAAACCACTTGGTGAGGCAGACCTCTCCTGTCTCTCCCGCTGCTTCCCCCAGCAGTGTATTTCAGTCGGTCTGCCTGTTCTGTTCTGCTCTCTGTCTCTGGTGAATCCTCTCACCCCCTTATCTCTGGCCTGTAACCCAGGCTCTTGTATGCATAAATAAATAAATCTTTAAAAAAATAAAAAGAAAGAAAAGAAAAACTGAACCTAAATCTCAGTTGCCTTTGTGATCCTTAATATAGTAACTGTGAATTAAGGACATAAAGAAAATTTTTAGATATATGACTCCCTCAGCTTGAAACTCCTGATACTGCCAAAAGTTGGGGGAAGGGGAAGGAAGGAGCCACAGGGAACAAAACCCAAAAAATCCATCTAGTTGGAGCTTATAATGGCGATGCTGTTTAGCAATTCTCTCAAAAGTTATCAGAGGTACCACTCCCAGTTCTATATGAAGACTGACTTCATATTTGTGGTCATATTTTATATATAAACTTCCTAAAAAAACTAAGCATATAGCAAATGCTCAGTCAATTCTAGTAGGTTATTTAATAGAAAGCATATAATTTTCTACCTGTTCTTTATTTACCTAGTACATACTACTCTTTATATATGATCTTTAAATAAAAGAGAGCTATAAACCCATTCTTAAAAGAAAGTGATTTTTTTTTTGGATGTTGAATTTTTTATGGTGGTTTTTCTGCATATTTGCTATCACTTCTCCTTTAATATATTAATACAGCAAACTACATTACTTATTTTTCTAATGTTAAATCACCTGTGCATTTCTAGGTCTAACCTAACTTAGGCATGATGTATTATCTGTTTTTTATAAATCACTAAATTTGCTTTAACAGTTTAGGGTCAAAGGACTTTGTCATTTTTTATGCTACTGTTGGTATTATCTGTTTTTTCCAGCTTTTATTTTGGATTGATTGTCTTACTCCATTTTCTCCTGTCCTACTAGTTTGGATTTTATATGCTATCTCTTTAGGTTTAGTGGTTCTCTAGAAATTTTATATCTATTTATCTTGAAGCTTAAAACTAATTAGTATCTTAACCACCTTCTTAAGTAGTATGAGGACGCAGAACTTCTTAATTTTTACTTCTATGCTACTTTTGGCTTTTATTTTAGTTCTTGTTTTATTATTTTATATAGGCAGTGTTCATTTAGGTTTACCCACATAGCTGTCATCTTATTTGCCCAGAATTCCTTTTTGCAATGCAGATTTGGAGGATGCTTGAAGAATGTCCAATGAAAATTTCCTCTGGTGAGGATCTGTTATTTGGCAATTCAGTATTTGTTTGGTTTTTAAATGTTGTCATTATGCATATTATTGAAAGATATTTTTATTTGGTATGTGATTATTTTCTCTCAGCACTCTTTTTTCTGGATGCCATTGTTAAGGAATCGACCCTCTTCTAATTTTTATTCTTTTGTAAATAATCTGACTTTTCTGTCTGACTGCTTTTAATATCTTTTTTCTTTGGATTCTGTTATTTTTACTGTGATATATTTAGATGTATTTATTTTAATCTATACAGCTTGAGAGTCACAGGGCTTCCTGAATGTGTTGTTAGAGTTTTTCATTAGTTCTGGAAAATTCTAAGCCATTCTCTTTCTTTTTTATAAAACTCTTTCCTATAGTGCCTTTGTTATAGTCTTTTGAACTTCCAGATAGATGTAACATCTTACCATTCTTGTCCTTCATGTTTCTTAATTGCGTTCTTTCCTATTTTTTTCTTCTTTGGGCCTCATTGTGAAGTTTCTTCAGTTTTGTCTTTCAGTTTGTAGTTCTCTTTTCAGTTATATTTAATCTGCAGTCAAATGTAGCTTTGGTTTTGATACTTAAGTTTTTATCATTTTTTGGGCTCATTTTTAAATCTGCCTGGCCATTTTAAATGATAGTTCTTTTTAAAAAATATGTCAATCCCTGTTTAATTTTTCTGATCCTGCTGGGTTGTTTTTTGCCTCCTTTAGTTTCTTTACTTTTACTTACAAATTGTTAACAATACTTCTAACACTAAATTATACATTTGTTGTATGAGATTAGATAATAAAAGTATTGTGTAATATGTGGCATGTAGCAAATAATGGTTTGTAACCTATTACAATATTAAAAATATTGAAATATGTGACACTTTTGAGATTTATAGTACCATACATTTTACTGAAGAATATGAAAGACAACTTCAGCAAATAAAAAAATACTGTAGCTGGATAGGAGCACAGTATTAAAATTTTTGTGTTTGTTTTGTGTTGATTCGTATTTTTTATATTTTAATAAAATTTCCAACTAAATTTATTTTAAAATTTGTAAACATTTTTGATAAGTTAGTGTTAAAAGAGCAAAATAGTTAAGGGAAATTTTTATTTTTGTTTTTAACTTTGTTACAATGGCTTTGTCCCAGGACTGCTTTGGTACTAAGAACAAAATATGATTTCCAAAAGCTTGGGCATACCTTTCACGTATAGAGAAAGAGGGGAGGGCCCTCTGAGCAGGAAAAAAAGGACATGGTTGAAGAACCTTTTCCCATAGAAATGATCTCACAACTCCCAACTATCTTTCTTTTACTTACACATATAGCAGATTGCAAAGGTACTTTCAGTTCCAAAGTGGAAATGGTCCTCTAAGCTTTTCTTGGAGGATTTTTATCCTTTCTTTTGGATGTAGTCTGACTTATATTGCCAGGAACCTAGACGATCAGTCTTAGTAGTACAGATCATTTTTTTCTTCTAGGCCTTTATTATACTTAAGATTTTAACCTAATGTCTTTTTTATTATCTTAGTGAACTTATACCATTTTCATGTGACTATTTGTTGAGCATTTACACCTAAATATAAGTCACTAGTTGAGGTACTGAAAAAAAAAAAAAAAGCAGTGGGTAGACCTTTAAATCTGCTTATTTCAGTAATACTTGTAGGTAGTATATACTGAGGGTATGGTTGTAATATGCCTGACATATTTTTAGTCTTTTCATCCTCTCAAAAAACTGTATGATAGGTAGGATTAATATCTCTATTTTATATACAAGTGGTTTAGCTACTTGTAGCTAATCACCTAGAAGAGGTCTTAGGATCATACCATTGTAAAGGTGATCCTAAGGCTCAAACTCAGGCAAAATAATAGAGATAGCTTTCTGCTTTATATTGCACACACTAGAAGTAAATATTTTTGTGTTTTTTGATAGTTCTTCTTGACTACAAAATATAGACATTGGCTGAGGGGTGAGAGAGCTGGTCTGAGTTAATGATTAACTCTTAAATGTTATTCTACTGTGCTTTCCCCATCAGACATTAACACATACTGTGTGTAGCTATAAAAATAGAAGTGGTTTTTTTTTTTCCAGTGCTACAGAAAGTCATTGTGATGATAGAGGTATCTTTATGTGTTTTAATTTCTTTTATTATTTTGCTTCAAATTTATCAGGATGAAAATATATAAGATCTACACATTTACCTAATGGTGATTTATGTTTTTAGTTATTAGTCAAAATAAATCTGATTGGATTTGTTAGTCCCCTTGGGTCTATTAGACGCCAGTAGATTAAATGATTACCCTATAGAATCAGCAAATCATGGCTCAGTAGCATGTGTTATCTCTGGCGATTAATTACTGGTGGGGGTGACGTGCAGCAGATGCCTGACTCTTCCTTTCCGGGTCTCTTAGCAACAGCTTGAAGAAGAGGCAGCTAAACCCCCTGAGCCTGAGAAGCCTGTGTCCCCTCCTCCTGTGGAGCAGAAGCATCGCAGTATTGTCCAAATTATTTATGATGAAAATCGGGTAAGCTCATGCCATTTCTCATGATATAAGCCTTTAAGGCTACTTGACTGCTTTTTCTAGTTATCAGTGTTCTGTAGTGGTGTTAAATTGTATTCAAGCCTGATTACTGTTAGAATTTTCAATGTTTTTAAACTTTGAACCTGGTGTTTTCTTCCTTATAGATTGAGAAAAGTTTATAATTGTGTCTAAATTAGTTAATATTTCATTTTACATGTTCTATAAATATTATTTGATGAGAACATAATTTTATCAGCTGAATCTCTCTCCTATTTATGCAAACACTGGCAAACAAGTTTAGTAGCACATAATACGAAACAGCCATTCTGTACTTTCTCACTTCATAAGGGGCATTTAATGGCAAATATCATTAATAATCTACTAGAGTTGGGTCATTGGATATGGAAGTGACTTCCATTATCAGCTTTAGAATTGATGGCTTGACTATTGTTTGAATCATAGTTGACCTTTAAGTAGACTTTGTTTTCTTGTTTTTATTAAAATAATTTCTTTCATATTCTTAATTAAAAGTGTACATGGATTTAGGAAAGCCAGGCCTCAATTCTATGAATAATTTTGTGATGTTGAGGCTAGTTTTTGGCCAGAATGTAACTCAGGAATGAATAGTTAAAGGGAAAGTGATTTCAGGTAAAAATAAAGTCCAGAAAACTTCTAAAAGAGCTGCTTAACAGTGGGCTTCCAGTGTTCCCCAATCCAAAAAAGAAAAATATGCTCATAAATATTATGGAAGGGAGTATGCCTGATAGATAAAAATGGTCATAAGTTAGAAGTTGGGATTGGTAATTCAGTTTATTTGCTTTGCAGTGAGTGGAGTCATCAGACAGCTACCTCTAACTTTATGATAGCTCAGAGCCTAAAGAAAATTGGCCCTAAGAAATACAACCATGGGGGCCTCCCCGGTGGCGCAGCGGTTGAGCGCTGGGTTGCGAAGCTGCCCGCGGGCTCTGCAGCACCGGTTCAATCCCCGGCTGCTCCCGGCCACCGGAGGAGGGTCCCACATGGCGCGCAGACCTCTCCTGCCGCCCGCTGCTCCCCTCAGCAGTGTACTTCGGTCCTTCTGCCTGTTCTGCTCCCCGCTCTGGCTCTGGTGAATTCTCTCACCCTCCTGCACTTCTGACTGTACCCAGTGCATGTATAAACAAAAACAAACAAAACAAACAAACAAATAAATAAATAAAAAAAACCATGCCTCTAAAAAAAAAAAAAAAGAAATACAACCATGAATTAGTCATTAAATATTTATAGAAGTGATCTTGTACTTAGATATACTTGTATTTATATAGATAGATAATTGAAAGTTATATATAGTTTTTGTCACAGGTAGATAAAAATATGGACAGTTATATTTTTTCTTGGCTGTACTCAAAAGTAGTCCAGTTTATTGGATTAACAGCACATTTCTTATGAAAAGAAGTTCAGTTAGGATACAGGGCAATAAGGGAAAGTAGTGACAAGGACTGCCTCATGGTATGCCTAGATGGGCAGTGGCTTGGTGGGTGACTCAGGGATATGGCCCAAGATTGGGGAGGGGGATGCTCTTTTGTTTAAGAGAAACTAGGAACATAGGGTTCTCCTTATGTGAACTCTCCGGCTTTACAAAATACTCTATAGAACAACAATTTTGTGGGCTGATTGGCTTCATGGCCAATTTGTGAACTCAGGGCTAAAGTAAATCTGGATTAGAGTTAATATAATAGTGGAAAAGAATCTTACATAATGTTGACTTCTTCATGTTGAGTTAATTTTCAAATAAATTGAATTTGGTAGTTTTTATTAATTGATTGGACTTCTTAATTAACCTTGTCTCACAAACCTAATAAGTAGTTCCAGTATTAGTAAGTTCTTTGGTTGCCTCACTAGGATATGAGGGCTGAAAATTATTGAACAAGTTATCAGTGGATTTAGTTTGTGTTTAATTTTTGTATGTATGTTTTCATTAATTAGTATAGTAAATGTTCCTCTGTATCCATCAACAAAACTGAAAACCCATTTCAGACTTCTGTTCACTTTAGAATTTATATATTCTTCATTCTGTAAAGAATAGGAAAACAACTTTATTTGAAATCTGTCTAAATGTTAGTTTATAGTAACTCACAGTAACTGTAGAAATCATCTTAAAAAAATATTCCTTTTGTATGCCTTGCTATCATCTGCTGTGACTGTGCTTATGAGTCATAGCATTGTTACAAAGGTTCCTGGAAGGGTGGAGATGGCAGCACAGCTGGACCTGGAGCACAGGCTTTCTTACTATTGACTCCTCAGTGGTTTTCCTGCCTTACCATGCTGCCTTTTGTCAGGTCTTCACCTCCTCTTTAGCTTTCTTTTATGAGTGACCTTATCTGTTCTGCCACTGTAGGCAAAGAGAGATGGGTGATGACAAGAGTGCATCTCCCTCTTGTTTCTTGTTTGGCAGCAGTCTACATTGGCTAGGAATTAAGCCTAATGTGGCTAAAGAGACATGAGCCATTATCTTGTATAAGACATGCTTCTTTTATTTAGAAAATTAGTGGGTGGAAAGAAAACTACCCAAAAGTAATGGTTAATTTTAGAGCTGACTTCCTGAGAGAAAAATTGCTTTGCATCTTATTTAAACTTCAGGCTAAGAGTCTTTTAGTCTCTAAACAGACTCTGTTCTTGCACTATATTTAAAGTTCAGTTTGCTGTTACCTTTCCCAGATGAAGCTTTAAAAATAATTTTTAGAATTATAATACACAGAAAAGGGATTGTGTGTAATTTTCAAAAACACATGTATATTTTGATTGAATGATTTGCAATATAATGTGACCCAAGAAGAAAGAAGAGGTTGACTATGGAGAGTGTACTTAGAGCCACCAATCTCTGGTTGCCTTGCATGTGTCCTGGGAATTTCTCTTTCTTTGCCACTCTGAATTTAGTTATTCAGTGAAGTGCATTAGTCTTACCCCCCTAAATATCTGGTTAACTGTTCCTCTCTTCTTCCTTTCCAAATTGCTTAATTTGAACCATCATCTCTCACACAGACGATTGAGTTTCTTTCCTTCAGTCATTTTTTTTTCTTCTCAACCATCCTTCATATTTGAGTCCCCTTATCTGTTTTTCCAAGTAAAACCTTTTGATGATATACTATTTTCTACAAATACCCCCAATTTTTGATCTGTGCTTATATGGCTACCTGCCTGGTCTTGGCCTGATATTCCTTTCTTAGTGATATCTGACCAGAATACGTTTTAAATGTTCCCTTGAAATTCTTAGTACTTTTGCCCCATGATGTTGCTTCTGCCTTCAGGTGGTTTAGTGTTTTGTCTTTCTATGTCCAGGGCACTTGTACTTCAAGATCCAGCTTAAGTATCATTTTTCTATATGAATCTTTTCAAGACCCCTTATCCTTCTGCACCAGGAAGGGTAACTTACTCATTGTTTTTTGATATCTAGCAAGTACCTGGCACATAGAACATAATCAGCATATGAGTGAGGAATGAATTATTTCTGTCTGTAGATTTAGAATACAAATTATAATTTGGAAATGTGAGGGTTTTAAACTTTTTTTCTGTTAAACTGTTGATAGGTTAATTTGTTCTTAGCAGTTAAACATGTAGTCAAATATTTAATAAAGCTTTGCAAAACCTAAATCTTTGGATCTGCAAACATCTTAAACATCAGTCTTTAAAATTGCTCTGTTTTGGGCCTCCTGGTGGTACAGGGGTTAGTCTCAGCTCTATCAAGCTATCACCAGCCACTGAAGCACTAGTTCCATCCGTGGCCAGGGAGCTAACCCACATATGGCAAGGCAGACATCTCTTGTCTTGCTCGCCGCTGCCCTCAGCAGTGTATTTCAGTATATCTGCCTGTTTTGCCCCCCACTCTGTCTCTGGTGAATCCTCTCACCCCACACCTCTGGCCTATACCCCAGTTCTTGTATGCATGAATAAATAAAAATAAATCTTTAAAAATTAATTGCCCTTTTAAAAGTGTATTAATAGAATTCTGGTAAATATTTTTGATAATACAGTTTCACATGCTTGTCTCTATTATTTGTGTACAGTTCTACTTACTCTGCCTTTTCTTGATGTAGACTCTATAATATAGATTGCCTTTAAGTAATTTGAATACTAGTGACTTTTGGTTAACATTTCTTGTTCGTGGTCTAGAGAGATTTTAAAATTTATCATCTGTGAAAATATTTGTGTTATTTAGTATATGCCCACACTCATAAATTTGAGTTTTGTCTAATTACATTTTGGCGTCTTGGGCTTAATAGGTACCTTAGAACAGTTTTTTCCCCCTTCAGTTGGAGACCTTTGTATTTGAAGTAACTTGGGGGAAGATTGGAGGACCACTGGCATTTAGTGGATAGAGGTCAAAGTACCCTGCTAAATATCTTACAATGTGGAGAACAGCCCTCAGAACAAAGAACTGCCTGGCACAAAATGTTAGTAGTACCAAGGTTAATAAACCTTGTCTTAAAACTATCTGTAGAAGTAAATGTACTATGCAAATTTAATGGATTTTTATAGTTTTGTATTTGACGTTTTGATATATTCTCATCTTAACATTTTAAGATTTTTGGAGTGTGGAAATTGTTTTATACTATTTTTGTGCTTCCTATGCTAATTAAACCATTCTTTTCACATAATATACACTAAATAAATATTTGGTTGTGATTGATAAGTAACGATGGAAGGGAGAATGTTTATTTAAGGGACTGTCTGTCTTTACACTTGGGGAATGCTGATTGATATTCCCCTTTGTGTGTCACATCAAAAGCTCTGGAGAGCTTTGCAGCTACAAACACATTGAGGAGGGAGTTGCTGCAGCAGTCAGTGAGTGATTGTTACTACTGAAAATGTGAGAACCATGGACACATTTCCTAGCCATATAATTCTAGTGTACATTTGTCTATTAAGGGAAGGTTTCTGTTAGACAGTACCTTGTTGTAGATTAATTTACTTTTAAAAATGGCATCTAAAAATATGTAATTCAGCATTTACATGCCACCAAATCCTTTTGAGTAATTCAAGCTAATTGTTTCCTTTATTTATGGCTATTACTAAGGTTTTATTGTAACTAGAAAATAAGTTCACTTTCAGTTTTTCTTCAAAGAGATCAATTTGTCTGACTAAAGATTAGCAACTTTATGATTTTTATGGTTTTAAATTTTCATTAAAATTATGAATTAAAGTATTTGGAATTAGATTAATTTTAAATAGATCTCTATTCCTCCTCCCTAGAATCTTTATTTTAATACATTTTTATTAAGGTAATACTGGTTTATAGTGTCATATAAGTTTCAGGGTATGCAGTGTTACACCTAGAATCTTAATTTTTAATTTTAAGAATTTATCAATTCTTGAGGTATTGCTTTCAATACAAATGTTAAGCTTTGACTTACTTTGGTGAGGAAAACTATAAAAATAAAATTAGAGCATATTTTAGCCTATTACATGAAAGAGGAGTATTTGGAAATAAAGATTAAGGTCAACTGTAGAGTAATGTTTAGGTAAATATTGTCAAATAGGTAGTGATTTTGATTTTGAGTAATGTAATTTTTAGTTATACAGCACAATAATGTCTTTATTCTAGAAAAAAGCAGAAGAAGCTCATAAAATATTTGAAGGCCTTGGCCCAAAAGTTGAACTGGTAAGTAAGAATTTCTTTTTTCATTTACAGTGCTTTTTTGGTAGTAGTTTCTCTTGAGGTAAGATGGTATGCAATATATTTACTCTGGAATGAGAGGGATGTAGATGGGCAGAAAGTTTTTGGTAAAATTGAAAATAATTGTGCACAAACTTATTTACCTTTGTAGAAGCATTGTCCTAAGCATGGTTTTGCTTGAGCAACTGCTTAATCAGTCCTGGATAGAAGGAAAAAGAAATAACAGAAATAAAAAGCCCTTTGAAGTCACACTGTTACGATGAGATGGTACTTAATATTCCTTTGCCTTTTAAATTAAAAATATATGAATGACTGTATTTATTGTGGATTTAGAAACCATCAATACTTAAAGGCATGGCTTTATGAGGACATAGGTTAAACAGTTATTCATGGAACTCACATCTGGGGTTTTGGTAGGGCATGTATTAAATAGCCTCATTAGTACTTTACCTGGGCTTACATTAAAATACAAATTGTTGCTTTGTTCCTTCATAGACATATATGTAACACTTTGTATATAAATGTTCAATTTATTTTATAGCCACTCTATAACCAGCCGTCAGACACCAAGGTGTACCATGAAAACATCAAGACGTAAGTATTTATCAACTTGGAGATCTTCAGTTAAAGACCATACATTCTATAAAGAGATTGTTATATGATATTTGCTGACATATTATTATAATATAGTGTAAGTGTGTTTTAGATTTGTGTAATTTGCTGTCGTTTTACTGTATGTTATCTTCCTCTGGCTTCTTGGGGGTTGGGGTGACAGCTTTGAATTTCCGAGGCCAAAAAATGAAATAAAATTTATTGCATAAAACTAGCTGGTTTTATAATCTGCTAGTAAAAAAGGTGGATACTTAACATTGAAATGGCTTACCTTGAGGCTTGAATTTTTTGCCTCCTGTTTTGTCTTTTTTTCAGTGGAGTACCTGCAAGGCGCATGATGAAGTAAGATAATGAAGCTTTTTCATTTAAGACTAGTGATGACACCGTCCCCCACCAAGCCACATCTGCCATTGCAAAGTAGAAGTGCCACGGATCATTTTATCATTATTCAAAATCCTATTCTAGGGAAATCCCTTCCATGATCTTGCTAATGACGGTATTTGTAGACCCTTCTGCCATTTAATGTCCTGGTGCCTTGGAAGCGCTCAAGTCACCTCACGTGGGTGAGGAGACTGCTCCAAAATGTAGTTTGCTTAGCCTTGCTCATCCTAGATACCAGGCCTTTATGGATGCAGATTTTGAAATAATAAGTGAAAAGAACCTAATTTATTGAGCTGATTGAAGAGAGGAAGCCAGATAGACATCTTTTTTTTTAAATTATCATAGTTTAAGAGAATTTTAGGTGAATTATTCTTAGTTGTAACAAAAATGTGATATTTCTACTTTATATGTTTTATTAAGTACAACCAGAACATTATAATTATTTACTGGTATAGTTACTAATGAGCACATTGCTATATATATATATATTTTTTTTTCTTTTCAAAAATTTCTTACTAAGGGTATGTGCATTACATTGGTTAACTACTTTGCAGAACTGGTGGCAAATATAATTTGCATGGTAGTATGCATGAAAAATTGAAATTTGAATAAGTTTAACTTTTGTTAAGTGTGGTTCATAGTAAAAGTCATATACTTAGAATTTTTCTGTGAGACTGTACTATGGTCTTGACAACCCTTAGCAGTAGGTTAGGCAAAACTATTCTAAAATATACCTTGTTTTGGAACTGTTTAGCTGTTTTAACATTTTTAAAAATAAGAATAGCAGATAAAATCTAATTGACTACTTTTAATGATTTTTTTTTCTTCACAAAGCTTTAGTTATGTTTGTGTTCTGTTTCTCCCCCCCCCACCCCCATATTAGCTGGAGAGCAGATGTGTCTGATTTATTTCCTGCTGTCTATACTGTCTACTACAGTGCTTGCTAGTATACTGTCCTATACTTAGTACAGACTGGCTGACTTCTTCACTGTTATTCTTAGGAAGCTTAAAATATTTATTGATTGTCATTTGCCTTTAAGTAACACATAACTGCAATTACAGTTAACTGAATATATGGTAACACTTCCACTCTGTATCACCTTTTGAAACACCTTTATTCTGCTGCATGCATCCATATGAATCGTTCAGTAGCTATTCTTTCATCACCATCATTTGCTTTGTATGAAATAATAGCAAATGTGCATTTTAATAATTCTTTTAATCTCTTGGCTACTTTTCTGTATAGCTAGCTCCTGATTGTTCATGCTTATTTGAATGGAGTCAGTGTCACTGTTAGTCCTGAGTGGCAGATAATCCAAAAAATTACTTCTACTTGCCTTGGCTTTGTATTTATATTTGAATAATCAGCTTGAAATCTGTTCTGGAAGTAGGTGGGGTCTAAATATTTATATTTAACCTGCATGTCATTGTTTTTTGAAATAACAATGTTTAAAGTTTAAAAATTGAAACTGTTATATTGCTGTAAGAGAAATCTTCCTGTTTTGTCACTTTGCCCTCCATTACTTCCTAGAATGGATTGTCATTTTCGTGACTGAAGAGAATCTTCTGTTTATAGCAGAAGTCCCCTCTCTAAATATATTGCTATACATTCTCATACAAGGGAGGTCAACATCATATCTAAGGTGGTGAGGTACCTTTAAAAACTTCCTTCTCACCTACCACCCCTCCTCCAATGAAGTTTATATTACCAGTGTTCTTAAGAAGAATCAGTAACTGTAATTACAAATTGAAGATAAGATTTTTTTATTGAAGGTAATAATTGAAAATTAACTTTTAAAGTCTTGCTATAGAACAGGAGGAATTTTAGTCAGTTCTAATTATTGCAAAATTTTTATTTTGCAGATTGAAAAATTAAAATTAATTTTGATTACACCACATATTCTTAAGTGATTTTTGCTTGTTTTCCAGTGTCTTTGAAAAGCGAAAAGTGAATGCGTTGTGAATTTTCTTAATGTCATACAACCATATTTTTCTCTTCTAGAAACCAGGTGATGAGGAAAAAACTCATTTTATTTTTTAAAAGAAGAAATCATGCAAGAAAACAAAGGGTGAGGTCCTATCCTTGTTAACTGAAATTTGTACAACTTTCCCATCCCCACTTGTATAGACATTCACTTTCACATTAATGAGAATTAATGAGATTAAATTTTTGAAAAGTGGCTTATTTAGAAAGTAACTAGATGTGACTTAAATATAAATCAACTTTTGGCAATATTTTTATATCACAATTCATATTTAATTCCATTGTCAAATTAATTTCTTTGGTCATCTATCGATAACATTTTCATCTTGCCCCCCCCCCAAAAAAAAAAAAGAAAATGGTGAGTAGTTAAAAATATGAAAAATAGGATAATCTACATTTAGTCTCCTTAGCCCTCAAACAAATATGGGTAAGTTATGGTTGTGCTGATTAGACATTACTGTTCTTTCTTTTAGAAATTGGGCCAGCTAAAGTTCAGTCTTTTTAAATTCAAATAGTTTTTCATTTTATTGTATAATTTGCAGTCCAGAAGTTTTATGGTGATAATCTTCTTGAGAATTAAGTTACAAAAAATTTAATGCCAGTGTTCTTATTTTCATAAAATGTTCATACTAATTTTAGACAAACTGTTGATTCATTTAAATTCACTTATTTAGTAAGTAAATGATGTTATTCACATCAGAAGTGAACTTTGTACCTTATATTTAATGATTTGACAATTTAATGAAGTTTGAATCAGCAATTTTTATTTGGTATATACAACTTCTGTTGTCTTAACTTGCTGGTCTAGTCCTTCAGACATCTTAAATTGCTGGTCTTGACATTTTAAAATTTTGTGTGTGTGTGCAAATAACAGACAAATATTAAATAAGAAAGTAGCTGAAGTATTTTTTCCTGTTCTTTGATTGTGTTGTAATTGTGGTAATTGCTAAATTTGCTGTCTGGTCATGTAAACACAGAAGCACAGATTTTGTTTTGGGGCTTCACAGAATATTTGTCTATAATTTAAGTGTTTAACAATTTGTTTAATGATCATTTATTGGCTGTTTACCCTGTACCATGTATTCTTCTACAAAGGTGAGCAAGATAACCATATGGTTTTAGCCTTTAGAAAGCCTAAGGTGTGGGTATGAGGGCACATCAATCATCAGGTAGTTACAGTATTGATGCATAGTGTGGCAAAGGATTGTGAACGCTGTAAGAGGGATAGTAATTATGCATACGTGAATCATGAAGGGACACTTGCCCAGGAAAACTAATTGTCAGGAAAATTGAACAGACAGAAGTAGCAGCATAAGTGAAGGACTAGGAGGTGGAGGGAGTGTGACTGGTTCAAAGACACTTAGTTTAGATTGACTTGGGAGTATAGTGAGAGATGATGAGGCTACGGAAGGAAGTCAGGACCTGGAGGTACCATAACCCTGTAGGCCACATAGGAGACTTTGAATTGGATTCCAAGAGTCTCTTAAGTGTTTAAGGAAGTGAAATGTTCACATTTGTATTTTAAGAATTTGTATCTGGCCACAACATTGAGAATGCTTGGGAGACATTTAGGAGTTAGTTTAATCTAGGTAAGGGTGATATTGACCTGGACTGAGGATGTAACTGTAGAGATGGAGAAAAAGTGAAAGATATAAAAAACATATAGGAGTTGAAAAGAATGATTAGGAAGTAGGGGGTAGAGGGTTGGTATTGAGTGTGAGGAAGATACTGCTCTCTTCTCTAATGCCAATTTCTGAGATGACCAATGTTAACAGTCTTTCATTAGTCCTTCCACACCATTTTCTGTGTGTCATTAGCTATGTACACAGTTCTGTGCACATGTGGAGGGGTTCTTCTGTATTTTTCATATGTATTTAAAAAATAGGATCGTACTTGATTGACTTCTCTAAAGATGTTAATTACGTTTAATGTGTTTTAACTGGACTTCTTTTTAATCATAAAATACAACCAGTTTCTGCCTTTCTCACACTGTCAAAAATGTTTGTTTATATAGCATTACTTATTATAGCAAAAAATTTGCAAGTAACTGAAACCCCAACTGTTAAAGTGTGTTTTCTCTGATAGATTGAAAAGTAACAACAAAATGTTAGTACTGTTCCCTATAGGTGATTGGAATATAAACTATTTACATGTTTCTATTTTTAATTTTCCATTTTTTTGAATAATGACATTGTTATCAGAAAAACAATGATTGTCAGTTGCTAGTAGTAGTTCATTAATTAATTACTTTGTATAGTCTTAAGGTGAACTAAAAGATCCCAGCTAAAATATACTCTGTATGTTGATCTTTCATAGGAAACAGGAGCTCCTTTTAAGATAAAGGACAGCTTTTCATTCACAATTGAGTCATAAGCCAAATGTACTTCTGACTTGACTTGACTATTATACTTTATTAGGTTTGTCAAAATCACGTTTTAGTTTAATTATTGATTTGCACGGGTATTTAATAGGAACAAAAAATCTGCCAACGTTATGATCAGCTCATGGAGGCATGGGAGAAAAAAGTGGACAGAATAGAAAATAATCCTCGGAGGAAAGCTAAAGAAAGCAAAACAAGGGAGTACTATGAAAAGCAGTTTCCAGAAATTCGAAAGCAAAGAGAACAGCAAGAAAGATTTCAACGGTAAATAGTTTGATATTTAATGACTATGCAGTTTTCTTTTCAGTCACACTTGCTCTTTCACAATACTTTTTATTACCTGAAGATTAAGACAATTCATAAGGAATTTTTATTTTGAATGTAAAATTTGATTATCAATCAACAAATACTATTTTTGTGAATTTAGTACTTTTAGATTTAATCATACTGTTGAATCTAAATTTAAGTGAACATTTCAAAATTAATTCTTTAATTCTTGAAAAATATCTATTTCTTTGGAAATTATAATTAATAAAAATAGACCTCAATATCTTTTAGTTTTTCATCACCAAATAATCAAACAGTACTAAATTGATTGCTAGTTAAGAAATCCTTTGATGTTAGTAGATAGTTTTTGATTTGTTTTTACTTTTAGAGAACAGCTTTAGTTTTCTTCTCCACTCTGTCATTCATAAGCATTTCAAAAGCTTTAGTTTTCTTCAGTTTTAGTTTTAAAAGCCTTAGTTTTCTTCTCCACTCTCTCATGTAAGAGTCCTATAAGCCCTTTTAATCACTGTTAAGATTTTTGTGAGAGGATAATAGTTATGTTTTTCCCCTTCTGTTTAAAAAGGTTTATGTTTTTCTAAGCCTGCAACCTTATTCTCTGGAAGGCAGACAAAAGGCTGCTTTATTTGAAATGGAAATGGCACTATTAAGTGGTTTTCTAGAAATTTCATATAAGTACTTACGCCATTTAAATTTTGACATGTAACTTTTAACTCAGCATTTAAATAATAACTAATAATAAATAATAAAATTATATTGCTGAAAAGTATCTACTCAATAGCATTTTCAGTTGTTTTGTTTTGTTTTTCCTGACATCTAGTTTGGTAAAAAAGTTCCATTCAGAAAAATAATGTTTATAAGAATAATTTAATTGGTATGCTCCTTTACTAAAGACTTTAATATATTTATAATTTCTCTTTCATATTTAGAGTTGGGCAGAGGGGAGCTGGTCTTTCAGCCACCATTGCTAGGAGTGAGCATGAAATTTCTGAAATTATTGATGGGCTTTCTGAGCAGGAGGTAAGAAAATTAACTGATTTAATTCAAGTTAATTTATTATTTATTCAGGCATTTTAGCCTCATATCCTAGGAACTAAGGGTTTTTTAAAAAAGATTTATTTATGCATATAAGAACTGGGGTAAAGGCTAGAGGTGTGGGGGATGAGAGGATTCACCAGAGACAGAGTGGGGAGCAGAACAGGTGGTTCTACTGATATACACTGCTGACGGGAACAGTGGGTGAGATAGGAGAGGTCTGCTGTGCCCTGGGGTTAGCTCTCTGGCCAGGGATGGAACTCACGCTGCTGTGGATGGCGATAGCTTGATAGCCCTAAGATTTTAACCCCTGCGACACCAGGGAGGGTTTATTTTTATATAAGCAAGGGAATATAAAGAGTTTGGATTGTTCCAAGGACTGCAACCAACCATTGAAAATTTTAAACAAGGCAGTCACATGATCATATTTGCATTTTACAAAGATTTCACAGAGATGGCTTTGGTAACAGGAAGGCCTTTGAAGAAGTAAGGAGCTTGTTAGGGTGAAAATAAGGACTTGAGTCAGGGCATTAGTGGTAGGGATGTAGAAGAGAGCTTAATAGAAAGTGCAGTGGAGAAGACAAGGTGAATGGATTAACTGGATGAGAAAGAAGAGAAATGGCAATGTTTGCCTGGTTTCTTCTTTAGAGGACTGAGCTAGTGGTGACATTGCATAAAATAGCAAAGGGAACATGTATTTTGCAGTTGTTTGTATGTTCAGTTGTGGATCTGAGGTGCTGGTGGGAACTCCAAAGGTGGTTTCTACCTAGATGAGCTTGGGAGAGAGAAATTATGTATTAATAAAAGAATAAATTTCAGTCCCTAACACTGAATCTTCTTAGCTATGTTCAAACTATCTCTTAAGATTGGTCTCAACGCCATTCACTATCTATTGGATTTTGCCAGTTTTGATTTTATAATACGATGTTTTAAAAATCTCTAAATTTCGAAGATCTTATTTGAATGTGGTGACCCCCTTAAGTAATAATCACAGACATTTATTATATTGCTATATAATTCAGAATTTGTGATCATAATCCATGCAATGAATACTAAAACTCTGTTAAATTTCTTTGCTTGCTTTTTGGCTCATTCCATTAAGGGGCATCTCTAAGCATCCAAAACTAGTGTCAGTTGATGTGATTTCAAGCTAGTGTTTGTCTAAACCAGACTTTGGTGTTCAGGAGGATTGAGAGTACTCCTTAAAATTAAAGACTTTGTAAAAACTTGTCTGTAAGTCCATATCTAAGTTTTAGGAAAAAGCCTAGCCTTATATTTGATTAAATGCTTGTAATTTTGGTAAAAAAAAAAAATGCATGCAAGTTTGTGTTTACAAGCTTCCTAAATCAAGCTTAGGGAAAAATTAATTACATAGATGAAATAAAGTTCTAGTTGAAATTCTAAAGCTAATAGTGTTAAATTTTTAATGGAAAGAATATGTTAGCAAGAAATATTTAATGCTAAAGTGAGTTTAGTTAATTTAAAATTTGCCTATTTTTCTAAAATGTTAATCCTTTGTAGCATTTAATTATATACTTAAAGAATTATTTATGCATACAAAAACTGGGTTACAGGCCAGACATGGGGGGGGGGTGAGAGGATTCACCAGAGACAGAGCAGGGAACAGAACAGGCAGATTGACTAAAATACACTGCTGAGGGGAGCAGCGGGCGAGTCAGGAGAGGTCTGCTATGTTATGTGGGTAGCTCCCTGGCCAGGGATCAAACTCATGCTACAGTGGCTGCAGATAGCTTCATAGGTTGCGTCTTAACCCCTTGCACCACCAGAGAGGCCCCTATATACTTTTTTAAAGTCACGGCTTCAATGGTCTTGACATTACTTTGTGTCTTTTAGTTCTAAAATTCCATTATCTAAAGTATCAGCTTCAGTTAAGTAGTGAGTTTTTCTCAAATTGTAGTGGATTATTAAATACATGCATATTCTGTCCACCTTAATTCATTCAATAGATAGTTATTTGAGGGCCTCCCTGGTGGCGCAGGCTGTTGAGTGCAGCTCTGTGAAGCTGTCCACAGCCTCTGCAGCACCGGTTCGATCCCATCCGACCAGGGAGATACCCACATGGCATAGCGGACCTCTCCTGTCTCGCCTGCTGCTCCCCTCAGTAGTGTATTTCAGTCAGTCTACCTGTTCTTTTTCCCGCTCTGTCCCTGGTGAATCCTCTCACCCTGCCACACATCTGGCCTGTACCCCGGTTCTTGTATGCATGAATAAGTAAATCTTTTAAAAAATAGATATTTACTTGATATATGAGTAATTACTATATGTTAGATGTTTTGTTATATATTACTATTGTCATTTAGCTACAAAGTTGCTTTTTAATTTTTTTTTTAAGATTGATTTATGCATACAAGAACTGGGGTGTAAGCCAGAAGTGCAGGGGAATGAGAGGATTCACCAGAAAGGGTGGGGGGCAGATGTACTGATATACACTGCTGAGGGGAGCAATGGGCAAGACAGGAGAGGTCTGCTATGCCATGTGGATTGCTCCCTGGCTGGCTGGCAGTGGCTGGCACTAGCTTGATAGCGCTGTCTTTAACCCCTGCACCACCAGGGAGGCTCCATATTTGCTTTTTTAGTGTATATTAAGACAGTTGGTCTGTGGGCCCTCTTCAAATATCTGTCTAAGAAATTCTATTTCTTTGTTTGCAGAATAATGAGAAACAAATGCGGCAGCTCTCTGTGATCCCACCTATGATGTTTGATGCGGAACAGAGACGGGTCAAATTCATTAACATGAATGGACTTATGGAAGATCCCATGAAGGTTTATAAAGATAGGCAGTTTATGAATGTTTGGACTGACCACGAGAAGGAAATCTTTAAGGACAAGTAATTTAAATTTTAAATTATGTTCTCATAGAAGCTTATATAAGTCAGTATGAAGTCGTGGCATTTACTTGTAAATTGAATTGCTTACCCCAAAACTTAGCCTTGTTTTGGCATTTGATAGGATACTGTCAAAAGTATGGAATACAGATTTGATATGACCTTTCCATAAGCTTATAGGTGGCAATATAGGTAACAGATAAGAACTGGGATTTATAGAATCATGGTCAAGAGTGGTACCCAAACTTGAGTGGATGTCCAGTTCATGTGAGGGAGCTCTTTGGACAGTGCAGATTTCTGTGCTCTACCATCCACCATTCCAGCTAGTCTCTGGTGAAGGTGCTCGGAATCTGCCCTTAACAAACCTCCAGTGATTCTGCAGTTGTTCCTCGGTGACATTTAGAAATCATTGGGAATTAGTCTGTGCATAATATTTCTATTCACAGATTTTTCTTTTTACTTCTTAATAAGGTTTTAAGTTATTTTTTTGTTGTTGTTTTAAATTCAGGTTTATCCAGCATCCAAAAAACTTTGGACTGATTGCATCCTACTTGGAAAGGAAGGTAAGAAATTGCATTCAGAATGTTTATGGGTTTATCAGAGTTTCTGCTTGAAATTCTCTTTCTTCTGCAGCTTTCTCTTTTTTAGTTTTATTGACTTGCCACTAGTTTACATAACTATATTTTTGGGAGTACAACTTCATACCTCCATATGTAAATGTGCCACACTCTACCAAAGCTCCAGTTTCACAACCCTGTCATCTCCTCTCCCCTGTATTCTCTCCCTCTCCCCCATTTTCTGTTTTCCAGTATATTTATTAATATACTCTAAGAACTATTCTTGTTTTGCTGGTTTATTTTTTTATGTTCCACAAATGAGTGGGACCATCGATGATTTTCTTTCACTTTCTGACTTATTTAGCATAATCACAACATCCATCCCTTTTGTCCCAAAGGGCACTGTTTCATCTCTTTTAATAACTGAATAGTATTACCATGAGTATATATTTCACAATTTTTTTTTTAATTAATAAATTTTATTTTTATATTCCCCATACAATTGCAATCCCCCCATTCTGACCCCAATCCCTCCCCTCCCGCCCCCACCCCCCAAAAAGTGTCTCTGGTTCATAGTTTTTGTTGATTTTGATTTTCACTTTCTTATAGTTATTCATTTTCCTGGTCCCTTATTTAAGTTTTCTAGATCCCTGCTATGAGTGAGACCATCCGGTATTTTTCTTTTTCTTTTTGGCTTATTCCACTGAGCATGATCCCTTCCAGCGTCATCCATGTTGCTGCAAATTGCATGTGTTTATCTTTTTTGAATGCTGAGTAATATTCCATGGTATATATGTACCACATCTTCTTGATCCAGTCATCTATTTTTGGGCATTTGGGCTGTTTCCAAAGCTTAGCTATTGTAAACAGTGCTGCTATAAACATAGGGGTGCAGGTGTTCTTTGGAATTGATGTTTCTGTGTCCTTTGGGTAAATACCTAGGAGTGGAATTGCTGGATCCTGTGGAAGCTCTATGTTTAGTAGGTCCAGAAATCTCCACACAGCTCTCCATAGTGGTTGGACCAGTTTGCACTCCCACCAACAGTGCAGAAGAGTTCCTTTTTCTCCACACCCTCGCCAACATTTGTTGTTGCTAGTTTTTTTAATATGTGCCATTCTCACTGGTGTAAGATGGTATCTCATGGTAGTTTTGATTTGCATTTCCCTGATTGCAAGTGATGTTGAACATTTTTTCATATGCCTGTTGGCCATTCGCATTTCCTCTTCAGAGAAGTTTCTTTTTAGTTCCTCTGTCCATTTTTTGACTGGATTCTTTTCTTTGTTGTTGTTGAGTCTCATCAGCTCTTTGCAGATTTTTGTGATCAGTCCTTTATCATTAGTGTTGGGTGCAAAAATTTTCTCCCAGTTGGTGGGGTTTCTCTTTGTTTTTGTTATTGTCTCTTTTTATATTTCACAATTTTTTTATCGTCATCTCTTGATGGGCTTTTAGATTGGTTCCATGTCTTGACTATTGTGAATAATGCTTTAATGAACATGGTAGTAATAAATCTTTTCACATTAATGTTTTGGTTATTGCTGGATCATATAGTATTTCAGTTTTTAGGTTTTTTGTTCGATCTCACACCATTTACCATAAAGGCTACACCAAATTACATTCCCACCAACAATGGATGAGTGTTCCTTTTTCAATCTTTACTCACATTGTTTCTAGTCTTTTTGATCTAAGCCATTTTCACACAGGTGAAGTGATATCTTACTATGGTTTTGATTTGCATTTTTTTATGTGCCTGTAGGGCCATCTGACTGTTTTCTTTGGAGAACTGTTTGTTTAGGTCTTTCCCCATTTTATGATTGGGCTGTTTTTGTTGTGAATTGCATGAGTTCTTTAATTATTTTGGGATTACCCTCTTGTCAGATATGTGGCTTGCAAATATTTTCTCTAGTCTATAGGTTGCTTTTTTATTTTTGTGATTTCTTTTCAGGTACATTTTTAGTTTGATATTATACCATTTGTTTATTTTTGTCCAGGAGTGTGTCACCTAAGTTTTGTTTTAATGTATTTTATGGCCTCAATATGTAGTGTTCCCAGTGCCATTGAAAGAGGCTTTCTTTTTTCCAGTATATGATCGTGGTTCCTAAGTCAAAGATTAACTATCCATATTTGTGTGGGTTTATTTTATTTTTTTTTTTTTATAGAGGCATGCTTTATTTATTTGTTTGCTGGTTTGTTTGTTTGTTTTGTTTATACATGCACTGGGTACAGTCAGAAGCGCGGGAGGGTGAGAGAATTCACCAGAGCCAGAGCGGGGAGCAGATCAGGCAGAAAGACCGAAGTACACTGCTGAGGGGAGCAGTGGGCGGCAGGAGAGGTCTGCGCGCCATGTGTGACCCTCCTCCAGTGGCCGGGGAGCAGCCGGAGATCGAACCGGCGCCGCAGAGGCCGCGGGCAGCTTCGCAACCCAGCGCTCAACCGCTGCGCCACCGGGGAGGCCCTTGTGTGGGTTTATTTCTGGGCTCTGTAATGCGCCTTTGGTCTGTATTTCTGGCTTTATTCCAATACCATAGAGTTTTGATCAATATCACTTTGAAGTCAGGGCCATGATACCTTCATTTTCTTCTTTTCTCTCAGGATTGCTTTGGCGATTTGGGACCTTTGTGGTTCCATACAAATTTTGTGATTGATGTTCTGTTTCTTTGAAGAATGTCACTGAGATTTTGATAGGTATTGCATTGAATCTGTAAATTGCTTTAGGTATTGTGGCCATTTTAATGATGTATATTTTTCCAATCCATGAGCACAGGATATCTTTCCATTTCTTTGTCTTCTTTTGCTTCCTTATATAGCATCTTAACAGGTTTTATTGGATAATTCATTTGCTTCATTTGTTAAATTTATTCCTAGGTTTTTCATTTTTTTATGGACAACTTTAAATGGAATTGTTTCATCAACTGTCTTCTAATTCATTGTTAGTGTATGTGAATGCAGCTGATTTTTGTGTGTTGGTTTTGTGTTCTGCCACTTTACTATATTCATTTATTATTTCTAGTTTTTTTGTGAAGTCTTCTGGATTTTCTATATATGTCATATGCAAATAGTGATAGCTTCACTTTTTTTCTGGCTTGGATTCCCGTTATGTCTTTTTCTTGTCTAATTGCTCTGGCTTGGCCTTTCAATACTATATTGAATAGTAGTGGTGACAATGGATGTCCATGTTTTGATCCTGATTTTTTGGGGAAATACTTTTGGTTTTGTTTTGAAATTTTTGTACTCTAATACATAGAAGTAGTTAGAATAGTTTTTGTTTATTTTTTTTGCAAAGGGCTTAATACAGAAAGGACCTTCATGTGGCTAATATATTACAGTTATATGTTAGCACATCTTAAGTATAGAACTCAGACTAGTTTTCATGTAAATAAAAAATGACCTGATAATTATATTTCTCTGAAAACAGTGCTTTTGAGCCTCATTAAATTTCTTATTAAAATATCACAATACTGATTTTCCCTGAATTTTTTTCACAATGGATTTAGTGTTTTGAGCAAAATATTTGAAGAGACATTTTGAAATATTTATGTGTATAGAGTCAGGAAATCTAGTTACTGGTTACTGAATGTATCTTTTACATAATTTGGATTAGGACAGCTATAATCATCCATTAATATAGTAGATGTAATGTATTTATTTTTGAGCCTAGATATGCCGTAAAATGCTTACCATATGCATTTCTCTTAAATTTATACTAGAAAAAAAAAAATTTTACCAGAAATTTTCCTTGAAAGCGATAACATGGTTTTTAAATTTTTTTGTTTCATTGGATCCTCAATAAAATGTTTTTCTTTACAGAGTGTCCCTGATTGTGTTTTATATTATTATTTAACCAAGAAAAATGAGAATTATAAAGCCTTAGTGAGAAGGAATTACGGAAAACGCCGAGGAAGAAACCAGGTGTGTTTCATTATTGTATGGAAAGTTATTTCAGGATTGGTGAGGATATGAAAATGAAAAATGATATAATAGGAGCTTTGGGCAGCAGTCCTTCTGTCCACCTGTGCCTGTGCTGGTGCTTATTTTTGCCAACTTTCTGTCCCTCCGCAGGGCAGCAGTCCTTCTGCCTGCCCGTGACCTGTACCAGGCACTGGCAGTACTGCACTGACTTCCTATAGCAGAGGCAGCTCTCTTTAAGGCCGCCTGTCAGTGACCATGCAGGCCTCTCTCTTAGCAAACCTGTCCCTTTCGGGGATGCCCTTTCTCTCCCTTTTGTTTATGCAAGTGTCCTTTATCTTCTCTCCCTTTTATAATAAACCTGCCCTTTTGGATATTAAAAATAAAAAGGAGCTCTGTACTTAATGTGTACTTTAGGGATTGCCATTTCTATTACATTAATTAGGGTATTACGAACTTGTTATGATTATTTTGAAGTTTTTATATGTAATGCTTTATAGCTTCTATTTTGGCTATATTTTTTTCTAGTGTAGTAAAATTAATGAGAAAAGTTTTACACTTCTGTCACCTAAATTGTGCTTTTCAATGTTAACAATAATAATGTGATTAAATGTGATACCCTTAAGACCTTAATATGCCATCATTACCAGTCCATTTATCCAAGAAGGAGTCATGTAGGATAAGGGAGAGAAATAAGGGGATTGTTTACTGAAGTATCTGGGGTCTAATTTTGTTTAAGATTAACTTCATTTTTGGAATTTAGTTTAATTTTTAAAAACACTTGACCTAAAAGAATAGCTTTTAAACACAATACAGTATGTTTTCAGTTGCATTTCAGTGCTTTCAAAGTTGTTTTCCCCCAAAATAGCTTATCAGCAGCTGTCATAGTTCATGTATGTTTTCCCAGAGGATGCTGTGTAATGCCATTGCCCATTCCATTCCATACCCAGATGTAAGTCAATATGGAATTGCATGCATGGACTCTGAAAGCTGATGACAGCTTATTAGCATTCCCTAAGCTCTTTTGTTTTTCCCACACAGCCTTCCTTTCTTCCCGAGGTGTCTTGGCCACCAAATACAGGTTCTTTGACATACTTCTATCATTATTCATAGTCTTAACCCTTTTTTGTGTTTTCTGGGTCATTATTTCCTACAGAACATTACTGTCTCACAAGATTTGATGACGTTGTCTTAAGAAACAGTATTTCCTGGTCAAAAAATGTGTAGGAGGTGTTTCATGAGTTAATTTTATAAAATGCTGTTAGTGATTGCATAAGGTGAAGTGACCTAACATGCACTTTCAGTACATTGGTGAGGAGACCAGAAATAAGATTATAATGAGCTGAAGCGAGTAAGTGGCAATAGTACAAGTGTGCCCTTGTGTGTATGATTTGTTTAGAAAAGAGAAAAGAGCATTGGGTGGTGGGCTTATGAGGATCAGAAGGGAGAAAAAGAGCATGCTTATAAGCTGATGGAAATGATCCTCTAGAGACAAAGAGATGATTGTAGCAGTCCATAAAGATTTGCTAACTGAAGGGGAGAAAATTGAATGTTGGTAGTAAGGATCCTTCCACCAAAGGATCCAGGACCTTTTCCTCTGCTTCCCAGAGAGAAAATAGAGTCAAGGTTGTTTAACTACAGATGTTAGAACCTGTTAATATTTTGAACAAGTTTCAATTATAAATTTTTAATAATAGCTTTATTCCTAATTACAAAACCATATTCACTTTTATTTTTAGAAATTGTTTATCTTAAACATTTTTCAATGCCAGATGATACTAGAGGATAACCTATTATACTTCACCTTTGCCAGATTAGCAATCTGCTGCTTGTGATGGCAGAGAAGAGAGCTTTAATGGGATGTTTGGTGTGACAGGGAGTATCTGTTACTCTGAAACATTGCTTTTCTGTACAAATGTTATCTGGGACACCATTTCACTCCTCTTTTTGGCATATTTGCCCTTGCTAATTTCCAGTCATGTTAGTGTTTTCTTCTGAACATTTCATGCACTACCACTGTTAGCATGTCCCAGAGTATATTTATAGAAGTGAGGTTTTCCATATGCACGCTCATCTTCACCTGATCCTTAGTATGCCAGCCACCAGGTAAATTCAGTTGCCAACAATCTAGTCCTGACCACATTAGCTTTTATGTTTATTTGTTTATTTTTTTAAAGCTTTTTTTTATTTATTTATACAGGAGCCAGGGTACAGGCCAGAGTCACGGGAGGGTGAGAGAATTCACCAGAGACAGAGTAGGGAACAGAACAGGCTGACTGACAAAATACACTGCTGAGGGGAGCAGCAGGCGCGACAGGAGATGTCTGCTGCACCATGTAGGACCCTCGCTGGCTGGCCGGGATTGAACCGGCACTGCAGAGGCTGCAAACAGCTTCACAGCGCTGCGCTCAACCGCATGCGCCACCAGGGGAGACCCCACATTAACTTTTAAGTTATTACCTTGAGTTTTTTATCTGATTTTGTATTTATCTGGTTGTTTCTCAGAGCAAAAGGATCTTACTTCGTTTTAAAGTTGATGGGCATCATTTAACTTCCTCCTTTCCCAAATTCCCAGTGAAACAACCAGTTAGGAGGTTATTTTAATAATCCCATTGGCTTGGCCTAGGCTGTAGTGGGGCAGGTAGGAAGAAATGGTCAATTTCTGTGTATGGTTTTGAAGGTAAGACTAACTGGTTTTGTTGATGAATTGATTGGGGGGTAGTTGGCAGGAATCAAGAACAGTCATCAAAGATAACTGAAGTTTTGGCTGGTGGAGTTATTTATTTGGCTGGTGATAGGCATGACTGAAGGAGAGACAGAATTAACTTGCAAATTGGGATATGCTGAATTTCAGACACCTCTTAGATGTCTAAATGGAGATGTAAAATGGGTAGTTAGATATGTAAGTAGCATTTAGGGAAAAGATCTGGCTGGAAGATAAAGAATTTGCTGTATAGAAGAAATTTCCTAAAGACTTAAAGAGTCTAGTTACAAGTTAAGAATTTTTAAATCTGTGTGTCAACCCTTTGGATTTTACCCTGGTAGATATAGAGATCCAACTAATTTGAAAATCACTTTACTGCTTTATTATCCAATCAAGTTTGAATCAGTAGGACTTACCCAGGTAATCTAGAGGGATTATGGTGTATTCATTTCAAGACTTTGTAGGGTTCTTCTGAAGTTTATGTTCAGTACTTTCAATTTTAATTTATTTACTTCCCCTCCAATCTCTTACTCATGGAGAGTAAGTTTTATTCAGATATATACTGTTGACTGAGATATTCTAAATTTGTGATTTTTAATTTGTTCCCATAAATGGTACTGCTTATTTCTTACTCTGAAAATGAGTTTTAATCATAGGGAAATGGGACAGATAATCATATTTTGTTGAAATTGTGTTCAAAGATTGTTGTTGACAAAAGTCTTAACTCTTCTTTCAAAATTCTGTTACTGCCCAAACTAATTTTATAGTTCAACTCATTAGTGTCACATTATGAGAGTGAGTGTGGTTATTTATAAATTTTAGTTCAAGCCATGAATACACCTCAAAGATTGGAAGCTAAAAACTACTCTTCAGCATTAGAAGCTGGGAGCTACAATTAGAAATAACATGCCAAGAAGTAATTTGATTCTGTGTACATTTTTGTTAGCATTTGTTCTTTCTTCCCCCAGCATAAGCTTACAATAATAAACCTGTCACTATTAGATAGTACTACTATAATATCTGCTAGCAATCTACAATAAAGCAAGTCATTGTTTTGAAACCACATTCTTCATTTCCAAGTATTTGATTATTTTTCATAAGAATTTGTGCTTTTTTATGTTGAGAGCATCTTCTCCTTTAAATATATCAGTTTTTATTCCCCAAAGTATTTAGAAAGCATATGGTTATGTAATTACAGTAACTTTGAAGTTGCAAGAGTTTCTGACTAAACTGGTAGACACTAGGTAGAAAGAATGTTTTAGGAGGATTAAAAAATTGAATATAATGGAAAGAACTTTAGAACCAAGAATGCTTTGCCTTTTTGTATCTTTGTATCCCTAAATGTTATTCCTTCACTTGGTGAACCTTGGTTTCCAGAACGGTGAGAGTAGGGGCAGTAAAATTCATCTTGCAGAGTGAACATGAGAGATACTTATATGTGTAAAATCCTTGGAGTGTGGTGTCAGGCACATAGGAGAGTGCCTCCCAAATGGTAGCAGTTGTTACCTCTGTTGCCTTCATGATGGTATTTTTTGGTGATTGACAGCTTTTACTCTTCAGGAAAGTAAGTAGTCTCAAATTCAAGTGGTTTAAAGACATTACTTATTAATAAATTTTGATAAGATAGGCAGGAGAGACTTCTGTTGCCTGAAGTGCTTTTTAACCAAAAACACCCAGTGGCTGAATAGTTCTTCATTCTTTCTGCCCTTTGTACATTTTAAGTTAACCATAGCTGCTTATTCTTTAAAAATTTAGTCATATCATTTATTACCAGCATCATTGTCTGCTGAATGGAAATTAATTTGTCACTAAAGATTTGTGCATTTTAACAAATATAAGCAGAATGTGTGTGTTAGATATACATTTAGATACAGTACTAATAAATATAAGCAGAAACTATTATTGATCTTGTCATAAAGGATCCTGCTGAAATTAACCCTGTCCTTCATTTATCATTATGAAATGTTTCATGTTATGAGAAACTCCCTAACAGAATAAAACTTTTTTTTTTTTTTTTGACTCAAATGTAAGGCTTCAGAAGGGAGGAACCTGATAAAAAGCTATCTTGGGAATGCCTATGTCTAGTAGTGTACCTTTAGAAGAATTTCCTTTGTTCTACTCAACTTCTAATCCATAAGTCCTGCTAACAGGGTTGAGGTACATAAATTAGTAACCTCCATCCTAGAAAATGGGGATTGGCACTTTTTGATACAGACATGCTTTAAATAAAAGCAATTACACTCTGATTGCTGCTGACTGCACTCTCTAGCCTCCCTGCCCCTTTCTCCCCTGGCTGCTACCTAGTCAGTGTGAGTGCCACTGGGAGATGAGTAAGAGGTTCTGCTCCAGAGCTGTTCTGCTCTTTCCTTCCCATTGACTGGCTTAAGCAGGTGCTCCAACTGCTTCTTGGTCGTCTCACTAGGGAAGAACTCGAAGTCAGCTGTTGCCTGGATTTGAAACAGCAGGGAATGTTTGGGATTACATACTTACCTCAGTGTTGGTTGACATTAGAAGTAGAAAAGTATTAGGGAAATAAGATTAAATGTATTGTCCAAGTATAAAGAAATAGTAAATCTCATACCTTCAACTGAGTTGATACTTTCCCATCATTTCTTAGGACTTTAAACCATTTTCTGGGTTACGCAGTTCACTTGCAAAGCAAAGAGCCAAGTTTGTTGTTGGTATGTGATCTTGTTGATTCAGAATGACAGATGGGTGCTATAGTTGTGGAAGTATGTAGGGTGAGGTTATAGGCATTTGAATTGGTTCTTGTGACTACTGTGGTATACTAGTAAGCCAATCAGACGGAATGAAGTTAAAACTTCCAATTATAAAGCATGCCTTGTCGTGGCTGGAGAGTGTACATTCGAAAATCTTCTCGATTTCTTAGTTTTCTGTAGTAATAATAAATACTCAAAAGAAAAGGAAACTGGGAGCTAGGAAGGATGAGAAATTGGGACGGTCAGATAAAGTGAGAAAGAGAATCATGGTATTAAAATGATTTATCAAAAGGTCACAGTGGAATAGATCTTGATGGACTGTGAAAATTTCATAGAATAAAAGGATAAAAGTTCAAGATGAGGACGTAAAGCAAGATTGGCAACAGTGAAAATGTAGGATGATTGAGGCGTGGGTGGTGGTGATGGGGAGAAGATGTTCTGATATCAGAATCTTGGAGGTGAGGTAGTGCCCACTGAGTGATGAGGACACTGCTTCACTTGTGGGGAATTTAATGGGCATGACCTTAAAGTATTTCAAGTGCAAAATATCATATTGCTATAAAAGTCATTGAGATGCATTTTGAGATCCTAAAAATAATAGCAAGGATAATGTCCCATGTGATGAGATCTGTGCCTTATTAGGGAGTATTTGAGAAGTCAATCTATAACTCCAAAAGAGAAAGAAATGTATCACAGGTTTTGTGAAAAATGGTAAAGTATTTTGAAAACATTTGAAGTGATCATTAAATAATAAAAGAGAGAACCAATTTGAGATTTCAGATTTCTAAGTGAAATCTTAACATTTTCATTTCTGATGGGTCCAAACTGAGAATTTTTATGTGTATGTGTGTGACTTCTTAAGCCATACATATAAACAGTAAATAACATTAGACTAATACATGGCCTCTAGTTACACTATACTTGATTAATACATTAATCATTAAAAGATTTTTCCCATATTATAATTCATCATTACAACTTGAGGAGCTATTTCTTTTACCTTTGAGTTTTGCTAATGTTGGTTCCTTCTAGCAGCAAATTGCCCGGCCCTCACAAGAAGAAAAAGTAGAAGAAAAAGAAGAAGATAAAGCAGAAAAAACAGAAAAAAAAGAAGAGGAAAAAAAAGATGAAGAAGATAAGGATGAGAAGGAAGACTCTAAGTGAGTTAAATAGAGTTCAATATGAATAATTAAATATTAGTTTTTTTAAAAAAAGGAGTTTGAAACTACTGGTGTTATAACATATTAAAAAAAAAGAGTCAGTGGAATATGTGCTTTGACTCTCATAGTTAATTAATATAACTAAGGATTTGAATATTCTAGTAAATATAGCTTTTGGATTAGTGAACTTACTTGCCAGACATGGGATATTAATTTTCAGACAGGATAAACTATAATAATAAACAATTATCACTAAGAGATACAGAGTATAATTTAATCTTTGATTTGGAAGATACCTCCAGATTTGTTTTTGAATCTCAGGATTGTACATCTTTGTAAATATGCTGACAAATGATTTTTTATATAATGCCTGATATTCCAGTTTTATTCATTTTATTTATAATATAAAATAGAGTTCCTTGTTTGTGGTTTTTGTTGTTTTTTTTTTCCTGGTTATAAAAGTAATTTTGTTCAATATAGAAAATCAGGAAAAGAACACAAAATATAATGAATTGACCTGATTCTGCCTCTCAGACACAGCTACTATTTATGTCTTTGTGTGCATATTGGGGCAGAGTAGGGTAGGGGCCTTAGCAGCTGCATTGATTGTTTTCCCTCCAAAGATCAGCTTTGTTGAGGCGTAGTTTATGTCAAATAAAATTTACCAGTGTTAAATGTATATGTTAATACATTCAGATAAGTTATATGTACTCATGTAACCATTTCCACTGTTGTGATGTAGAATGTTTCTATCATCCCAGAAGGTTCCTTTGTGGTTTTCTTCTCCCCATTACAATGTCTGGCAACTACCAATCTGTTTTACTTATCTAGAATGTCATATAAATAGAATCATAGAGTATGTAATTCCTTGTGTTGTTTCTGCAGTCGTCTTGGAAAGTTTGAAGGTTTATCTAGCTTTGTGGCAACTGAAACATTTGCCATAGTTCTTAAAGATTTGGATACTCACGGCATTCTAATTCTATACTTCAGGAAGATACTTATTGTAAAAGTTTTTTTTTTTTTTCTTTCAGATGTTCAGGTATTTATACTCCCATGTGGTCAGTGGTTCTACTCATATGGAGTTATTATATCTAATTCATTTAGCAGTCATTCAGTACTGATGTGAACTATGAGTTTTGTAGAGGATGCAAAATAGATAATATATGTACTATTCTCAGTAGTTGGTGAGTTTATGGGAGAAATTAAGCAAGGCACAAATACCCTTTAAGACAAGAAAAAATTTGAAAGAAATGAGCAGAACCAATAAAGTATGTTGGGAGATTGAGAAGAGGTCAAGGTTGATTCTGTATAACTTGGAGCATTTTATGCAGGAACTAGTGGTTAATGTTAGTGGCAGAACACAGGAAACTTCATGAACAGATATGCTGGGTTTTTAAAAATTAATTAATTTATTTATACAAGCACTGAGTACAGTCAGAAGCGCGGGAGGGTGAGAGAATTCACCAGAGCCAGAGCAAGGAACAGAACAGGCAGACTGATGAAGTACACTGCTGAGGGGAACAGCGGGTGCGGCAGGAGAGGTCTGTGTGCCATATGGGACCCTCTGGCGGCTGGGGATCGAACCAGCGCTGCAGAGTCTGCGGGCAGCTTCACAGCCCAGCGCTCAACCGCTGCGGAGGCTCCGACAGAATGCTGTTTTGAGAAATGTCAGGTCAGATAATGGCTTTATTACACTAGAACATAGGTGCCTGAAAAAGAAAAGTAGACGCAAATTGGGTTAGATTATGTGACTTAATAAAAATGAAAATATAGTTTTCTTTCAGGAAGCTCAGGGTGTCTTCTTGAGTATAGTATGGGGTTAGAATGGATGGTTTATTGCCAAAGTTCTTCTGTGAGAAAATTGCTTTATTAGCAGTATAGAATCTATGAGTTAGAGATTTAAGAGTCAGGGAGTCTGTTATAAAGGATAGATTAGGATACTAAGGCACTGAATAATATAGTATAGAAGAAATAGAGGTGATAGAATTTGTAGGAGAAATATTACTGAGATGAAACTTGTTATTAAATAATATATAGCAAGGAAGGAAAGGGAGCAAGCTAGAGATGATTTCAGACTGTAAGCGTGAGGGACTAGGAACATGGTAGTACTACTTAGAAAATGAGGTGGAGCAAGAAGCAAGGGTATGAGGATGAATATATTTTGGATTTGTTGCATTTGTGTTGATGAGAAATCCAATTGACTATTCCAGCGGGTATTTGGGAAGATAAGTCTGGTTCTTAGGAAATGGAGAATGAGTGTAGAGGTAAAGATTTGAAGTCATCCCAGTAGAGTTCATAACCTCGTAGAGGTAAATAGGTAGCTTCACAGAGCTCTAAGGCCTGGGTAGAGCCTTAGTAAATTTCTGTATTAAAAGATGAGAGAAAAAAGTCAATTCCCAGAAGGAGAGCCAGAATAGCAGTATGGGTGTTAGGAAAGTGTGAAATCCTAAAAAAAGCTAAGTTGAGAAGGCTATAAAAAGAGCTGTCCACAATGTAAGTTGCAGCAGAAAGATTAATGTGATGAGAATTGAGAAAAGATTATTTGATTTTGTTGTTTATAAATCATTTGAATTCTGACTAAACATCTTTAATAGGAAACTATTCTCTTTGGTAAGAGAACAGAGAAGTGAAGGGAGAGAACTACTTAATAACTTCAAGGGTACTTCAGGACTGAAGGGAGGAAAATTCTTGGTTTTTTTTTTTTTTTTTTTTTCTTATTTTGGGGACAAACCTGTAATGTGGTAAGTGAACCATAACAGGTCTTTTACTTGTAAGTAAAATTTGGAAAAAAAAATACCTTCCAAGAAGCAAGAATAATTGAGTCTTTGACTATTACCAGCTATTTATTCATACACAGAAATGTACATTAAGCACCTTGATTATAAATATGCTAGGGGATAAGTAGTACAGAGAATGGTCTTCCAGTATTATTTGTAATACTATTACTATTAGTGGTAACTACCATCTGTTGGGTTTTCCCTAAGTGCCCGAGACTATGATAAATACTTTAGACCTAAGGGAGGTTTAACCTTAATCATAGCATACACGTATGATTTCATGTCCCAGTCACTGTTCTGAGCATTTTGTATAAATTAGCTCCTTTAAGCCTTGCAACAGCCCTAAAAAATATATTATTATCCTCATTTTGCAGAAGAGAAAACTGACACTCAGGAAGGTAAGGCAGCTTGGCCAAGGTTCTCATGGCCTAGTAAATCACAGTAACACAGACCTGGCTCCAGAGGTTATTCTTCTAATTATTAGGTCAGATTGCCCTGTTTGCATGTAATTAGTACCAGAGGTGATTTAGAATGTTGAACCTGATTTCAATAAAAACGATACTGTAGATCATTACTACATAGGGCATCTGCCTTGGAGACCATCTGTTGAGCTTCTTCATTTCACTGAGGAGAAAATATATGTCAATGCAAGTCAAGAAATCCATTCTCCTGCCTTTTAATATACCCTACTGCCTCTGGATTGCAGAGAGGATCTAATAGGTTTTCTGCTGTATTTGTTACTTCCTCATAGAATATTCTGGCTCTCAGATCACTTAATTTGAACTTTGTTCAGATAAGAGTCCATTAATATATACAACAGACTTTTGTGAAATAATTTGAATCATTCAGAGTTCTTCAAAATTGGGACATGACAAGATTTTTTGTAAATTTTGATTGAACTAACAGATTGGGTAGTTTTATTCAGTTTCTATTTAAAGAATTTTCAAAGCTAGAATCTTCGTATACTTTTAAATTACACAAAATCTTTATTCACTTTTGTTTCCAGAGAAAACACCAAGGAAAAGGACAAGACAGAAGGTACAGTAGAAGAAACTGAGGAGAGAGAACAGGCTACACCACGGGGGCGAAAGACGGCCAATAGTCAGGGCCGCCGAAAGGGCCGGATAACCAGGTCCATGACAAATGAAGCTGCAGCGGCCAGTGCTGCAGCTGCCGCAGCCACTGAAGACCCCCCACCACCTTTGCCACCACCACCAGAACCTAGTGAGTGGATGAGATTGGAGGGAACAGGCTGTGGTTTTGTTGGAATTCTGTTTCAGTATTAGGAGAGAGCCGGAGGAATCTCTCTAATGTTGACAACCTAGAAATAATGCAAAATAGTATGACCTTTCATATCAAAAGAGTATGATTTTTTTTTAAAGATAAATTTACTTATTTATACAAGCACTGGACATAGTCAGAAGCACAGGAAGGTGAGAGAATTCACCAGAGCCAGAGCGGGGAGCAGAACAGGCAGACTGATGAAGTACACTGCTGAGGGGAGCAGCAGGCGCTGCAGGAGAGGTCTGTCGCGCCATGTGGGACCCTCACTGATGGCCGGGGATCGAACAGGAGCTATAGAGGCTGCAGGCAGCTTCGCAGCCCAGCGCTCAACCGCTGCGCCACCAGGGGAGGCCCTAGTATGATTTTTTTTTAATGATTTTTTAAAAAAAGATTTATTTATACAAGAACTGGGGTACAGAGAGGGTGAGAGGACTCACCAGAGACAGAGCGGGGAGCAGAACGGGCAGATTTACCAAAATACACTGCTGAGGGGAGCAGTAGTTGAGATAGGAGAGGTCTGCTGTGCCATGTGGGTATCTCTGTGGCCAGCAGGAATTGAACTGGCACCACAGAGGCTGTGGACAGCTTCACAGAGCTGCGCTCAACCACCTGTGCCACCAGGGAGGCCCAAAATAGTATGATTTTTATATCAAATTCTTTTGGAAAAAACATCAGCCCCAGTATTACTATCCTAATGTAGCTATTTTTCTTTTCTTTTACTCAGTTGTAAATACTTAGTTTTCTGATGTTTTAACTTTACATATATCATATGTATTTTCTAGTTTCCAAGTAATCTTCATTTTGAGTTTTTGATGACTGTGTAATGTTGGCATGGTGTTCCTGAGCATGATGTTTTGAACCTTTCCCTATTGCTGAATGAATAGGCTGTCCCTCTCCTCCTTTTAAACTAGTGTAGCTAGCATTATAATAAAAAAAATAATTTTTTAATTCACATATCATTTTCTTCCTGTTAAATAATTTTTTGTAGGAATAAATTCTTCCTGTTAAATAATTTTTTGTAGGAATAAATTTTTTGTAGGAATAAATTCTTTATTTCAGTTTCTACGGAGCCTGTAGAAACCTCTCCCCTCTGTTGCTAAATATTATCTCATTAGTTTATAAAAGGATTATGTTAATAATGGGTACCACCATTGGTGTTCACTGACACCAGTTTTATCATAATGTGAATTATGAAAGAAAATATAAGTTCTAGGAATGGCAATAATGATGTGAGGGAAATAACTGGACAAGAGGATGGGGGCAGATCATGATGGGCTTTGTTATAACTATATCCTACTTTGCTTACAAGTAGGGAGCCTGCAAAGGTTTTTAAATAGAAGAAAGCTATGATTAGATTGGTGTTTTGGAAGGACAACTGTGGTAACAGTTGTGGAGGTCAGGTAAGAGAGAGTAAGGGCTGGAGAGAGAGAGGGATCATTTGGAAGGGTCCAGGCAAGTAGAGGGTAGATTCAGATTAGAATTGATACACATTATTGGGAGTGGGTGGTAAATGAGAGAAAGAATTAAAAAATGAAGCATCTTGTTGATAATTCAAGTGACTTGGTGATGGTCTTACTATTAATTAAGAAGGGGAGTATAGTAGGAGCTCATTTCAGGCCCAGTAGTGTTCAGTATTGATCCATCTGTGCATATCAGTCCTTATGAACATAAACATTTTTAGGAGTTAGGAGGAGATGGGGGTTCAGAAAATGGGAGAGAAGTGTGCGTATCTAGGAGGAATGGAACCCTAAGAGGGACTTCTTAGAAAATACTCAAGCTATTCCAACATGTAGACATAGGTGGGTTTTTAAGGATCCTTGAAAAAGATCATAACACTGAGAATTGTTGAATTTACCCTTTTAGTTTGCTGGGGAAGGAGGTTAATATCCTGTTCCCATAGTTTTTTTTTCATGAAGTGTTTTTTACAGGCTTTGCCTCAGATAAATAGGTTAAAGATTTTATGATTGGTACCATATAATCTATGAAGGAAGAATTTAACTTAGTTTTCCCCTGCCTTACTGGATTCTTTCTCTTTATTTCAGTTTCTACGGAGCCTGTAGAAACCTCTCGATGGACAGAAGAAGAAATGGAAGTTGCTAAAAAAGGTAAATGATAGTTCAGCTTCTTTACATTTGTTTAGGGTTATTAGTGATGAATGAGATGGAGCTGTTGTTTTTTTTTTTAAATTGTAAAAAAATACATTCTTCCACAGTGGTAAATTGAATTTTAGAAGTAAATTTAAGAGTTCTTTTTGATGATGTGTTCCCCTATAAGTTATTCCAGTATGCCTTAAGAGACCCATTTTTATTTTGAATGTCACTTTGAGAATATAGGCTCTTCTATCCTATGTGTATATATAGAGCCTACATAAAGTTACTCTGCAACTTTATGAATCTTGTATTTCTCTGTTGTTGTTTATTAATGTTGTTTATTTTGAAATTGAAGTAAAATTTCTAATATAATTGATTTATAAATTAAAAATTTATCTTTTAAAGTAAAATTAGTGGAGGGGTGTTAAATATTTACCTTGTAGTTCTAAAGAAAAATTTTTGTAAATATCTTGACCTTTTAGTGACATATTTTAGATTTATTTTTATTTAGTAGGTGGAGAATAATACATTTAAGCATCAAATAAGTCAACTTTGCCAAAACTATGGCAGTTGAAAGTGTTCTGTCTTCAAATTATTTTTATTTGAAGTTAATTTGCCATGACTAGCAAATTTATTATTTACCATGATTACATGAATAACTTTTTAAGATTCACATTTTTTCTCATCTGGTCATAAAAATGTCATGGTGATTGGATAAGTAGATGTTAACTGTATTATAATCTTTTTTTTGGGCAGCTATACCTCCATGTGACTGTTAAGTCACTTAAACAGTGTTTAGACACTACTCTTCATTTCTTATTCATATATTAGAAAGGATTTGGAAGTGATACTCCATCTCTGTCATTGATAGGGAGCTACTTGTATTAACCTTGAAAAACGGATGTCTTCCTCCAAAGTGTTAAACTGGTAGTGAACATTCCTACCTGTGTGCACTTGTATCTAAAGTATAGTTTTTGTATATATCTCTCTCTGTGTTTATGAATTTATATACCCGTATTCCTTGTACTTACATATGTGTGTGCATACATGCATTTTTTGGTTGAAGTGTAAAATTGCTTGATTGCAAATAGACATGCATTTTACAGAGTTATATATACATATATATATTTACTTTGTGTTAATGACATATTGATTACTTTATTAAGTTGTTGTGATACATTGTCTCCAAAGATAGTTTATCACTCAATTTAAAAAGTGTTTGACCTATTACTGTGTATCCAACACTGGCCTGCTGAAAGATACACAATAAAGATAAGATTGAACTTTTCCATTGATAAGTATTTTTTAAATTTGGGTGGCAAATAGAACTGTCAGTGAGTTTGTATATCAGTAAGTATTTCTGTAAGTATTTTAGTATATCAGTAAATTATTGAGAGCACACTTAGTGTTAATGATTGTGAATACAATAATTGATTTTATTTTTCCTCTTGTTTGCTTATCAGGTGACTGTACAATTAATGTTTGGTCTGTTTTCAAAATACAGGTTTAGTAGAACATGGTCGTAACTGGGCAGCAATTGCCAAAATGGTGGGAACAAAGAGTGAAGCTCAATGTAAAAATTTCTACTTTAACTATAAACGGCGGCACAATCTTGACAACCTCTTGCAGCAGCATAAGCAGAAAGTGAGTATATGAGAGATGGTGAACCTATTTATAGGTTTTTGTTTTTTTAACATTTTAAAGACAGGATTATTAGGAAAAGGAAAAAGAAAAAAGAGACACCTGCATAGACACAGGTGGGAAAAGAACTGCTTTGCAAAGGGAAAAGGTTTGTGAAAAGAAATGACTGGATAGTCACAGGAAGGCAGGAGAGCTGTTATTAAGTGTATTTTTTGGGGGGAGAGGTAGATGAAATTGAAAAGATTGGTTTTGAGAGAAACATTGTTATATTTTTTTTATTAATTGTATTTTCCTATAAAGGGTGTGCTTGTTTCTTTGCACAGGTTGACTAGTTTTCTGTTTACTGACCAAGGAGTGCAGTTTTTACTTGAATAATGGGAATCCAATGCCTTTGAATTAATGTAGACTGGTTTTGAAAAATACAATCAATTCTATTGTACATGTTGAATAAGTTGATTTGTTATATTAAAAAGATTTTTTTTTTTCAGAAAGATTCCTTGGGATAAATATTAAAAGCCAGAAATTTTAAGATTGTTGAAAAGTGTTTAACATGGGAGTTCCAATATTCTAAAAGTCCATGATTAAATGAGGTTAAAACTATTTTTATGAAAATGTCCTTTACTTTTTCCCACTGCATTGACATTTGCATTGATGATGTCAAAGCAATATTGGCTGAAAGTGCTAAATGCCTTAGCATGAATCATAGTAGGTTCCCACTATGCTACCTACCTAATATATTCTTCATCTCCAAGCATGAATCATAGTGGGGTACCATTTTGCTAACTGAGAATTTGTTCTTCATCTTCAGGTGCAGTTTTTTTTGTTTTTTTTTTTAATGCCAGTTTCATTTAAGAATGTCCTTAATGAAGCAAGATTTAGCTTTACTGGGCCTCCCCGGTGGCGCAGCGGTTGAGTGCTGGCTTGAAAAGCTGCCCGCAGCCTCTGCAGCACCGGTTCAATCCCCAGCTGCTCCCCGGCCACTGGAGGAGGTTCCCACATGGCGCGCAGACCTATCCTGCTGCCCGCTGCTCCCCTCAGCAGTGCACTTAAGTCTGCCTGCTCTGCTCCCCGATCTGGCTCTGATGAATACTCTCACCCTCCCGTGCTTCTGACTGTATCCAGTGCTTGTATAAATAAATAAAAATAAATCTTTAAAAAAAAAAAGAGCTTTACTATATCTTAATCCTTGAGTATATTTCATCATATATGTGACCAAGTGCAAAGTCTGCCTAAAGCCCTTCTGCTGTACACCAAGTATAGTGGTTCTTTCAAGCACTTTTGCAATTATCTTGAGTTCCAAGCTGAACTCACCTCCATCTTTTCGTGAAATACCATCCTACACTGAAAGAATGACAGGCAAACTGATTTTTTAGACTTGGATGTTTTGGCAGACATTTTCTGAAATAAAGTGAGCCTGTCTTTCAAAAAAAAACACAGTAGTATCTGTTGCCACTTAGAAGTTTTGAGCTTCGAAGTAAAAATGAGAATTTTGGAAAATAGATCCTTTACCATGAGCTTAAAATCTTCCCAATATTTAGACTTCTGATGATATCAATGGTAATAATAACTCATGATGTTTTGATATTATGTAATAAAATGTGTGCATATTTAAAAAATCTGTGTAACTTGTTTTCCAGATGACCAATTCATGGTGTCCCCATGGATGTCATGTATGGACAAAAGAGTCAGGAGTATTTTTTAATACACCAGAGTTCAAGATAGAGGAATAAATTTTAACAGTATATAAAAACTGTGTGAGGGTTTTAGATTTTAAGTTTGTTAATATGGTTTCATATTTCATATAGCATCTAATTTTAAATAACTGGTTGCTGAGTTTTGATACAAGGTCAAGGAATAATATCCATGGTCATCTGAAAAGTCTATTAAAATTATGAGTCCCTTTTCTAACTACAGTTCTCTGTCAGACCAGATTTTTTCATATACTTCTACCCAAACTGTATTATCTCCACAGATTAGATTACATGTAGAGGAAGCACATTTGAAAATTGTGCTGTTTTCTATTAGACACTAAAAAGATTTCTAAAAATGTAACACAGTGTGACTGTTTCGCTGGTTTTTTTTGAAGTTATTTTTTATTAAAAATATGTCCTTTATGTCAGCATGTTATTACTGTTTTTATTTATTTATTTTTATAGTGATTCTTTTTTTAAAGATTTATTTATTTATACAAGCACTGGGTACAGTCAGAAGCGTGGGAGGGTGAGAGAATTCACCAGAGCCAGAGCAGGGAACAGAACAGGTAGAGTGACGAAATACACTGCCGAGGGGAGCAGCGGGCATGGCAGGAGAGGTCTGTCGCGCCATGTGGGACCCTTGCTGGTGGCCGGGGATTGAACTGGCGCTGCAGAGGCTGCGGGCAGCTTCGCAGCCCAGCGCTCAACTGCTGCGCCACCAGGGGAGGCCCTTATTACTGTTTTTAAATGAATTAAATATTTTAACTTTTTCAGTTTTAATTTCTAATATAGTAAATATCTATCTATGGAGATATAAAACCCTCATTGAACAAAAATTCCTTAGGGTCTCTAATATATATTGTGTCCTTAGGCCAAATAGTTTGACAATCATTAAAGATTGGGTAATAAGAGGAGAGATATTTATGCTTGCTTAGATTTGCACTTAGGAGTAAGAGGATTTGAAGTATAACATTGACTTAAAAAGTTATATACAAAGAGCTTTTAGTTAAAAATAAGAATGTAACAGTTAAAAATAAGAATGTGAGAGTTAAAAATGTGCTTTAGCAATGAAAACAAAGGAAAGCAAGCAGCTACAATAACAAAGCATGTGACAAAGACTCAGCCTCACCAAACATCACTTAAAGTGTTTTTGTAAAAGAGTAAAGAGTGAATCTGATGCTGTTTTTAAAAAATAAAGATTGTATAATTCCGGGTTCTCCAGAGAAACAGAACCAACCGGGTGTGTGTGGGGGGACTAGGGAGGTTCTGGGTAGATAGTAAAGATTTAAGAATTTGATTGTGATGTTGGAGGCCCAAATCTGAAGGGGTCTGACAGTCTGGAGACTCAGTGTAGAGTTGCAGGTGGAGTCTGCTGGCCAAATTCCTTCTTTGTGGGGTGTGTGTATTGGGTGGGCTGTAGAGAGTGGTCAATCTTTATTCTAAGACGTCCAGTTGATTGGATGAGCCTCACTCCTTCCACATTATGGAGGATAATCTGCTCTGCTGATGAGTCCATTGACTTAAATGTTAATCACATCTGAAAACTAACTACACAGAAATAGCTGGGATAATGTTTGATCAAATATCTGGATATTGTGACTTAGCCAAGTTGACATATAAAATTAACCATCACGACTTTAAAACTTCCTGTTCTAATCATTTAAATTACAACTGAAATAATAGAAACTTTAAGCTTTAATTGTTTTTTTTTAATTATTTATTTATGCATACAAGAACTGGGGTACAGGCCAGAGGTGTTGGGGGTGAGAGGATTCACCAGAGACAGAGTGGGGAACAGAACAGGCAGATTGATTGAAATAACACTGCTGAAGGGAGCAGTGGGCGAGTCAGGAGAGGTCTGCTATGCCATGTGGGTAGCTCTCTGGCCGGGGGGTCAATCTTGTGCTGCAGTGGCTGTAGATAACTTCATAGGTTGCATCTTAACCCCTTGGGCCACCAGGTAGGCCCTAGGCTTCAATTGTTTATCTAGAGTATTTAATTGTTTTTTAAAAGACCTCAAGAAAACATGGCAAAATGTCTATTAAAATTCATTGGAAGATTTCTGTATGTTTAAATAGTTAAAAATTTGTGAAAACTATCATATAGAGAAGAAAATGCTTGGATATATAGTAGACTGTTGCATATGAAGGGAGGAATGTTGTGTAATACTGGTAAAAACTTGTCTTTACTGTAATTTTCTGTGAAAGTACCAAACAGCATGGGTTAGTATTGGCAAAGGAGGGATATAGATTGGGCACAGAAAAAATCTATATGATAGCTATTATTTAATGCTTAAAAATATTACAGGGTTCTTCTGAATGTTAAAAGCATAGCCATTGTCAGGAATTCTTCCCTGGCATTCCTGCTAGTAACATAAAAATGGATTTTTTTAACCTTTAAACTATCACCTAGTTCTATGACTCTGACATCAGAAAATAATTGTTTCTGTTGATTTAAAAAATGCTTTAGGTTGAATTCAAAATAGCATATTCATATCTAAATATTACAAATAAGAATAAAAATATTGGTAGTTTTTTACAGTTGGGATTATAATTATTTTACTCTATGAGAAATCTCATTGTGAGCGTTTGACTGCTGAAGTCTGGGCTCTATAAAAAGCAGAGAACTGTCAGGATTGAGATTCTTGGCTCTGTAAACTCAGGAGACCTATCTATATTTAGCCACATAAGATTATAACAAATGGCTAATGCTTTTTAAATATGTACACATATACCCTTACAGATGTCACTGCATTAGATAAGTGAGCAATTTCATAAACATAGTTTGCAGAATGTAAAATCCTATTAAAGAAAAAAAATTTACCCTCATTAATAGTAAAATTCAGTAACATTGATGATGATTGGTAACCCCAAAGATGAGTTGTTGCTTATAAAATAACATTATTCTTTTTTTAAATTATTTTTTAAATTTTATATATTTTTGACATTTTTCATTTTGCACAATGTATGTATTTTCATCTTGGTTATAGTCCCCATACAATCCCCACCTCTTACTCCTACTCCCTCCCTTGCCCCCACCCCCCCCACCCCCGTAGTGTGTCTTTGGTTTATAGTTGCTTGTTGATTTTGATCTTTACTTTATTATAATTGGTCTTTTTCTTGGTCCCTTAAAATAACATTATTAATGCTAGTGAAAAGTGAAGCCAGTGCTACAAGAGTTCTTACAACATTATTTGCAATACCAAAAGTTAAATATTAACTAAATGCCTTATAATAGGTGAATTAAAAATTATATTGATACAGTGTTTTTATGGACCTGTTAATAAAAATAATGGATTTAAATAGTTTATGATTTATGAATATGTTCAGTTCATGACTATTTGGTTAAATCATGTATAATATATAATTTCATAGAGACTTACTGGTTTTGTTTACTTGTGTACTTGTAAATGCATATAAAAGACTAAAAAAGAAAGTACCGGTACACTAGGACTCCCTTGGTGGGAAATTATGAGCAATCACTATTTTTCTTAACATAATTTTCTGGGTTTTTTTCCCCCCACATTTCAATGCATGTTATTTTTGCTAGGAAAATATATATGTTTACTAGAAAAGTACATTTTTTTGGGTGTGGAAGGAGAGCAAGAGTTTTGTGATTTTTGGTATTTGTACATGCATAATGACAAGTAGTTCCAAAAGTGGTTCAGGTATAACTTTTGGTTGGTTTAATGAAAGCAATGAAAACCAAGATGGCAGTTGGTTGTGACCTAGAGATAACGGCAGTTTAACCAGAGCAGTTTTCAAGCATGCAGCCTTTTTGTTTAGTGTATGTGTATAGTGTTCTATTATTTTAGATATAAAAAGATTTGTTTTTTTCCTTTTAGTTATTTAAATCTGTAACAAATTTAATATTTCCTATTCTTTTAGACATCACGAAAGCCTCGTGAAGAGCGAGATGTGTCTCAGTGTGAAAGTGTAGCTTCTACTGTTTCTGCTCAGGAGGATGAAGATATTGAAGCCTCTAATGAAGAAGAAAATCCAGAAGACAGTGAAGGTATCTCAAAATCCTAGATTTAGTTGAGACTTCAGCTAGCTCCAATGTGTAATTTTTATCTTAGTCATTTGACTACTTAGCAGTTGTTTCATTAAAGAAATAATATATCAGTGTTCTTATGGCATGGAGTCTTTAACCGTGAGTGGAATATATTTAATCAATCAACAGATAATCATTTATGTAGCAGCTGAGATGGGCCAGGTGCTACAATCATGAGATCTTTTAAATGGTTGTTCCACTTCAGACATTAGTGTCAATATCAATAAAATGTGTGCATCTGTATCAGTGCCACATTTATTTGTTCAGTTGGCATCATCACTTACATTCCTCTCTTTATGTTACTGCATTGATTTTGATTTATTTCATTTTTGATAAAAATCTTTGTCATATCTTTGTTTTCTTATAAAAATAATGAATGCTCCAGAACCATTTGTAGGGAAAAAAATCAACTCAAGAAGCTTAGGAGAAGATATAAAATTCTTTTTGTCACTTGAAATAATTAATGATAGTCTGTTGAAAAGGTATTTTGAATTTTTGTTAAAGAAAAATAAGTACCTAATTAATTTCAATTTATATTACTGTTAAAGTTTCTGTGGAATTCTTTTGTAAGTTAACCACTTCTGAAGTGTGAATCCTCACAATGCTTTTATTAACATTTTATCTATTATGTATAGAGCATGTTCATGTTTTGTATATGCAGATATTTTCTCCATTTTGTTCATGTTTTATCTTTAAATTACCAGAGTTTAAACTTTGTATATAATTAGAACTGTTTATGTCTTCCTTTATAGGTTCTTATATTTTAAGTTTAGGAAGTTCTAGATTTTTGCTTTATTTTTTTCAACGTGTTGTTGACTTTTAAAACTAAAATTTGTCTTGAAATGGGTTTTGACTTTGAACGGTAAGTAAACTTTTTTCTTTGAGGTGTTGTGAAAAATAAACCAGTGTTACAAGAATAAAATTAATATTGGAACAAGCTCACCCTAGGGTGCTGCAAAGACTGGGAGGCAGGATGGTTTGTTTATTGTACTTACAAGAATGTCAATTTTAATGGTTTTGTAGCTTGTAGCTAATATGCCTATATACATAAATTTATGTATATGAAGCCTGGAGCTTCATATACATAATTGTATGTGAAGGCTATATTGGTCTGCTAGGTTACCACAAGAAAATACCACAAACTAGGTGATTAAAACAGCAGAAATTTATTTTCTCATGGTTTTGGAGACTTGGAAGTTCAAGATCAAGATGCTGGGCTGGTTGGTTTCTGGTGAATCTCTATTCCTGATTTGCAGATGGCCACCGTATCAGTTTGTCCTCACGTCTTTTCCTCCTGGTGTCTCTTTATTTTCTTATAAGCACACTCGTACTTTTGGATTAGGGCCTCACCTTTATGACTTCATTTAATCTTAATTATCTGAAGGCCCTATTGCCAAATATAGTTCCCATTGGAAGTTAGGGCTTCAACCTATGAAGTGGGGGTGGGGGGTGCTGTATACACAGTTCAATTCACAAGACCTAAACATAATTATTGTAAGTGCTCTCTCTTTCAGAACGAGAATCCTGTCCATGCATGAGCTAACAAATTATCCAAAACTGACTTTTCCTTCTGTTTTCTTCCTGTTAGTTTTATCTTTTGTGTGAAACTTTTTTCAAGTTGTCATATATCTTACTATAATGTTTCCATCTAATCAAGTGTAGAGTGCCATAGTTATATCATGCCCAAATCATACATGTGGTTGTGTTGTGACATCTGGAATAATTTTCTCCTTGTAGGAAATGAACTTGTCACTAGAGTTGTGAGGCCTCTCTTCATTTCCTTTTGATTTCATTTGGAAAATGTCAAAGAAAAGGCAGTGCAATACAGTTTGCATGACCTATGATTCACACTTATTGGTAAACTTAAGGAGACAAGGTTCACTCTTTATTGTATGACATGTGGGAAAATGAAGGCAACTGCTGAAAGGAAGAGTCCCTGTATGTCTCTTTTCCTAAAATACATATTTGACTGTGTGACTGTCTTCACAGTTAGAAGAGTAAATCAGAACAACCAGAACTACCAAAATTTGGATTTGTTCTTATTTTCTCCTAAGTTATTCTTTAAGGAACTAAAAAAAAAATTTTTTTTAGGAAAAGACAATTATATTTGGCTATTGCTTGGTGAAACATGCCTTAGAAATATCCTTGTTCTTTTTTGTCTTGGAAGAAAAAAAATAATTGAAAAAGCACTTAAGTCAAATGATACTGTCTATTGCACAGTCACTAACATGACTTCCAATAGTTTGAATATAAATGACTTGTTGATTTGCCTTTGATTTTGAGGCTTTCCATCACGAGATGAATAGAAGTGAAGGTGAAATGAGGCTTTTTATTAGCCTTTTAACACTTGGTTTCATCTTTTATAATAAGAACTCAATACTTGCGAGGTGCTGTTCTGAGTTTTTGTTTTCTTTTGTTTTGATTTCATTTTGGAGACTTGAAATTTCATCTGAACTTGATGACTCATGCATCTAACTGCCTACTTAACATTTCTATTTGGATACCTAAGAGCCACTGCAAACCACATCCAAAGCTACCTACTTTACCTTCTGTTCTTTCCCTAAGTAAATAAGTGACGCTTTAGTAACTCTCTCATATACCCCACACAGTCTATCAGCAGAACTTGTCAGATTTCCTTTAGAGGCACTATTAGAGTCTTATCATGTCTCCCTGACTCCATTGATGCTACCTTGGTTCCGAGTTGTCATCTCCATTGCAGCACTCTCAATTAGTGTCCTTGCTGTCTTTTTTGCTATTGTATTTTTTCCCCCTTCACACAATGGTGAGAGTAATCCTTATATAATATAAATCAGATATATTTCTCTTCAAAATCCAGTGATACTGGGCCTCCCCGGTGGCGCAGTGGTTGAGCGCTGGGTTGCGAAGCTGCCCGCGGCCTCTGCAGCGCCGGTTCGATCCCCGGCTGCTCCCCGGCCACGGGAGGAGGGTCCCACATGGCGCGCAGACCTCTCCTGCCGCCCGCTGCTCCCCTCAGCAGTGTACTTCGGTCCTTCTGCCTGCTCTGCTCCCCGCTCTGGCTCTGGTGAATTCTCTCACCCTCCCGCACTTCTGACTGTACCCAGTGCATGTATAAACAAAACAAACAAATAAATAAATAAATAAATAAAACATGCCTCTATAAAAAAATTAAAAAAAAACAAACAAACAAACAAAAAAAAAACAAACAAAATCCAGTGATACTTACCCATCTCATCAGAATAAAAGCCAGAGGCCTTACTGTGACTTATGAGACCCCACATGAACTGATCTGTATACCCCTGTGACCATTCTGCCTGTACTTTTCTGCTTGCTCATTCTGTTCATTTGTTTGTTTATTACATATTATTGCCATGACATTATATATTACTTCCAGGTGTATAACATAATGATTCGATATTTATGTTTATTATTAAGTGTTCATCATAATAAGTCTAGTTAACAGAATTTTTTCTTGTAATACAAACTTTTAAGATCTTCGCTTCTCACAACTGAGTATTATTAACTATACAATACAGTATTACTAACTATAGTCACCATGCTATATATTACATCCCAGGAGTTAATAGTTTTTGTACACATAGTCATGCTGTTATTAAAATATATCATTTGATTAAAAAAACTATTATAAAAAGTTTAGAAAGGGCAGATTAGTAAAAATCATTAAACCATTGTTAATATTTTTTGGTTGTGTTGCCCTTCTAATATTTATATATATTTATATATTTAAAATATATTCACATATGTGTGTATATATATATTTTTGAACACATACAACTTGTGTTCCTTCTAAGCTGTGTCACCCGTACTCAAATAGCTCCCTGTGCTGTAGGTATTATATATTTGAATGAATGAATGTCTTTGTAGTGTTTTAATATATTATGCATTAAAAACATTTTTTCCTATATGGTAATTTAAGTTGTTACTTTATTTTATATGTAAGTGATATATTTATAGCTTCAATTTTCTGTTGTGCTTAAGGTAATTTCTATATGCTTCCTGAGGTTATATATATCTTGCCTCAAATTATCTTCTAAAAGCTTTTAAAATCTTTTTTCCATCTGGAATGATTTTTTTCTGTATGGTAATGTTCACATTTTCTTTTCAGATAGGCATTTCTGGGAGAGATAGTTTATATAGTAAAATATAAACTTATATATGTTAACTTTCCATTTAATTTAGTATCTGTTTCTTGCCATTGTCAGCTGTACAATTGATTCATTTTTTTCTGTCACTGTGACAGTTTTAAATATGTTGTTATACATGGACTTTATAGTAAATATGAATTATCTGGAGAGGCAAGTATTCTTTCACTCTAGTACTTTTCAAAATTTTCTCAGGGACATAATTATTTTATGTAAATTATAAATTTAAGAAATTTTTTTATAAACTATTGGGATTCTCACTAGATGTGTATGTATTTTATGTGCATGCATTATATATGTATATGTAAATAAATTTTAGGTGTATATGTTGTGTCATAGTCTACTTTAAGAAAATAGTTTAAAAACCTTATGCTGCAGTGAACATCTCTGTATGCTATTTCTAACAGTGGCAAGTTGGAAGTAGTCCAAGGATCCAGTAATAAAGGAAAGGTTAAGTAAATTTAGACATATTCACAACCTTTCATTCCCTTTATACTCAGCCAATATGTGAATTTGTTGTGTTTCATGCACAGTGCTTGTCTCTTGGACTTTGATCTCTGCCCTGATACTATTTATAGCCTAGTGGAAGAAACATTCAGAAATCAAATATTTATGAATAAATGTAAAATTGTAACTGAAACTGGTATATGTGCTCTAAGAGGCATAGTAGCAAAATTAAAATATGCTAAGAAAACGATAGAAGGCATTTTTAAACATGTGACAACTGATCTGATAACCAAATGAAGTAAAAGTGCCTTTCAGTAGGTGTAAGTGGAATAGTCCCTGTGGTAAGAGACACACGGTGTGTTCATAAAACTTAAAACAGGTCAGTGATCATGGAAACCAGATTGTAGAATGCAGACTAAAGCTTGAAGGACTGGCAGGGGCTTACCAGGCCCTGTAACAATGCCATACTATAAATTTTGGAGCTTTGTCACAAGTGTAATGAGATTCCACTGAAACGTTTTAAGAGGGAGGGGCAGAAGGGAGAGTGTATAAGTGAGTTATGGTAAAATTCTGCTTTTTCAAAGATCACATTGACATTGTTGTAGAGAATGGCCTGAAGTAGAAGGTAGGTACAGTTTATTTTGGGTTAGACTGGCAGTTTTAAAATTGAATAGAACTGGATATATTCAAGAAATTTTTTTTGTTTATTTTTAAGATTGATTTATTTATTTATACAAGCACTGGGTATAGTCAGAAGCACGGGAGAGAGAATTCACCAGAGCCAGAGCTGGGAGCAGAGCAGGCAAAAGGACCGAAGTACACTGCTGAGGGGAGCAGCGGGCGGCAGGAGAGGTCTGAGCGCCATGTGGGACCCTCCTCCGGTGGCCGGGGAGCAGCCAGGGATCGAACTGGCGCTGCAGAGGCTGTGGGCAGCTTCGCAACCCAGCGCTCAACCGCTGCGCCACCGGGGAGGCCCTCAAGGAATATTTTTTTAAAAAGATTTTTTATACAAAAACTGGGGTACAGGCCAGAGGAATGGGGGGAGGGGTGAGAGAATTCACCAGAGACAGAGCGGGGAACAGAACAGGCAGACGACTGAAATAAACTGCTGAGGGGAGCAGCGGGCGAGACAGGAGTGGTCACTGCGCCATGTGGGTATCTCCCTGGCCAGCTGGGAATCGAACCCGCGCTGCAGAGGCTGTGGATAGCTTCACAGTGCTGTGCTCAACCTGCTGCGCCACTGGGGAGACCCCTCAAGGAATATTTTTAGAGAAAAATCTGTGAGACATCTAGGCAGGATTTGGGGGTAAAATGTAAAGAGGTTTAAAAAGAGAACTCCTAAGTTTCTGATTTATTTATTTGGTTAACAACACTAGAAAAGAAGTTAATTTGGGAGTGTTGAGTCCAAGTCTAGTGTAGGACATACTCAATTTGTGGTTCTTTTTGAGATAGCTCAGTAAAGATAAATATATTTATAAAATGATACCAGTGAAGTAGATAAAGGCCACTACTATAAAATTAAATTAAAAAATCTGTACAAATTTTTTCAACAGCTTTGCTTTTAGGTTGTAGTCACCACTAGACACATGTAGCTTATGAGCTCTTGAAATGCATCTAGTATAAATTGAGATGTGCTAAAAATGTAAAATAATCAGATTTTGCTTAATACCAAAAAAGGTAAAACATTACTAGTTTAATATTGATTACATGTTAAAATTGTTAGTATTTTCAACATATTGTTAATTTTACTTACTTAGCTCTTTTTACTTTCTTAATGTGATTACCAGAAAAATTTAAACTACAGCCGTAATTCTCATTATGTTCCGATTGGACAGTGCTGTTCTAGAGTATCCATTCTCCTGGGTAAAAAGAAATTCACAGAAACAGGCTGGTAGAAATAAACCAGAATGTTACCATTTATGGGAATGGTTTTTGTTTAGTTTTGTTTTTCCATCTTTCTTAGTCTTCCAAATTCCATGTTAAGTTTTTTTTTAGTCATTAGACGCTTTTACGCTTTCAATTTCAGAAGGTCAAGACAATTTGATCTTTCTTTTTCATACTCTGTAGCAAACTTTAGTTTTCCCAATGGCTATAATACTTCATTGAGATCATCAAAGGATTCTAATTCATCCTGAACAGCTACTTTGAATCATGGCTCTGTCACCATCTGAAACATGTTCATTATCAGATTTTTATGCTGTATCATTATCTTTAAGGTGCTGAAAATAGTTCTGATACAGAAAGTGCTCCTTCTCCTTCACCAGTTGAAGCTGTCAAGCCCAGCGAAGATAGCACTGAAAATGCTACTTCTAGAGGAAATACTGAACCTGTGGCCGAGCTGGTGTCTACCACTGAAAATCCGCCCGGTGCATCTCCCTCTTCAGCAGTTCCAACTACAAAACCAGCTGAAAATGAAAGTGTGGAGACCCAGGCGAATGACAGCATCAGTGTTGAGACAGCAGAGCCGATGGATGTTGAACATCAGGAAAGCGGTGCTGAAGTGACTTCGGTTCTTGATCTCCCCACAACTACCAAAGCAGAATCCGTAGATGTTGAAATGAGGGTGCCAGAAAACAACCCCTCTAAAGTGGAAGGTGATACCAAAGAAAGAGACCTGGAGAGAGGTAGTGAGACTACAGAGCCTAGAGATGAAGATTTGGTTGTGACTCAACAAATAAATGTCCAAAGGACTGAACCCCAGTCAGACAATGATTCCAGTGCCACCTGCAGTGCTGATGAAGATGTGGATGGAGAACCAGAGAGGCAGCGGTAAGACTCACTCCATCAATGTAATCCTATTCTTTATTTCTTTGTTTGTGGGCTGAGTCATAGAATGGTACCCTTGCAGAAATTACTCCTGCATAAATATTGACAAGTTAAAGGTATTCTATATGTTGGTTAAATTGGGTTATATGCTTTTTCGTTTGTTTATATAATCAAGAACAATTGTGTGATTATTATTTTTTAGTGAAACAATTGTTACCCGCATTCTATATGATAAAAGAAAAGGGGGGAATCTCAGCTAATTAAGTTGTGAAATAGGCCACAGGTGATTGCTGTTCTTGGCAAGTGGAAGCTGTGTGATGCGGTGGTGAAGGTACAGATGAGAGACATCAGCTCCCACTTTGTTTGCTCTAAGCCCAGCCTCAAAACAAGACCTACTCTACTTATGTATTAGGTGTCAGAAAATGCTGAGAGGAGAAACATATTAAGTGTATTGGAAGTATTTTAGAAAGCATAATCTGAGTACAAGTTACTGTTAATTATAATGACTACTTTTTATCAGTTAAAACTTTAGATTGTTTACATTTATAATTTAAAATATTAGAAAAATTACAGAGTAAAACTATAAATACTTTATAGGAATATCCAGTACTATTTTACTTAACAGATTTAATGTCCCAGGTTCCTTTTTCTTGAAAGAAATGGGATTATCTAGAAACAGTAGAATGCTAAATTCATCTATATAATGAAGTATCTCATCTGAAATTAGGTCTGTGTTTTGATAACTATTTATAAATGAAGGAAAATTAGGATGTCAGTAATCTCAAAAGAGCATCTTAAAAAATGAAAATGATATTCTAGAAATAAATTAGATTGAGACATCATTTAATCAGAAACCTAATTCATCCTGCCTTTCTCCTCCTTTTTAATAAGAGGTAAATAATAAGTTACTCATCAGATAGCAGAATTATATTTAAAGCTCAACTTTAGTTGTCAGTCCTGGTATCATTGTGATTTGTCCTTATGGTAGATTTTCCATCAACCAGAATTGAAGTAGGGATTCTACTTAACCATTGGATTTTCCAGGAAATTCAGCCAACTAGGTCGCTCTCTTTCCCCTCATCTCACAAAAATGTAGATTTTATTTTAAAGGTCCCAGACTTTAACAGGAGTAAATAAATGTAAGTGGATTCTGGTTGTGTAGTTCCTTTTTAAACATTCTTTTTTGTGTTTTTTTTCCTCAAAGATTTATTTATGCATATAAGAACTGAGGTACAGGCCAGAGGTGTGGGGGTGAGAGGATTCACCAAAGACAGATTTGAGAACAGAACAGGCAGATTGACTGAAATACGCTGCTGAGGGGAGCAGTGGGCAAGTCAGGAGAGGTCCGCTGCACCATGTGGGTAGCTCCCCAGGCGGGGATCGAACTCTTGCTACAGTGGCTGTGGACAGCTTCATAGGTTGCGTCTTAACCCCTTGCACCACCAGGGAGGCCCCCCCTTTTTAAACATTCTTTAATGAAATATCTCATCTGAAATTAGGGCTATTCTGTGTTTTGATAACTAAATGAAGGAAATTAGGATGTCAATAATCTCACAGGAGGAGCATCCTAAAAAATGAACATGACATTGGCCTTGAAATTCAAAAATTCTTTGTGTAAATATATGGTGGTTTATAAATGACACTCTAATGCCAACATTACTTCCAAACTATCGAAATAGAAATTTCAGTTTTCTACATCTTTAAAATCAACATTTTTATGTAAAATTTAACTCATTTTCTTTTATAATACATTCTAAATTCTTATTAATTTATAATTTGTAAATACTCATATTCCACCAATAACTGACAATAAGCCAGAAATGTATTACACCAATATATATATAATTTTTTCAGTTCATGTGTTGGGTGTCCTAAGCTCAAGTGCAAGTACTGAATATGAGTGAAGCAGATAGAGTATAAGAAGGCAGGTGTGCTAGCAAGCAGAGAAACATGAGCTCATTTTACATGCCAGTCTAGCATGTATATATGTGGGTAGGAATGATGGTTTTGCAAGAACAGTTTTCATTTTTCTTGAATAACCAGGAGTCTAAAATTTGGGGTGAAATTCTAAATTTAAAGGTTGTCATAGCTTATCCAAATGTTTTAAAAAATGTGTTGTGATCCTAGCAAAGCATCCCATAACTGGAAACTATGTTGTAACCTGTGTTAGTGGTTAGGTTTTGTAACCTATGTTAGTGATCATTTTTTGATGGCTTTTGTTCACTTTGATAGTTTTAGATGATTCAATTCAGATAAATTTCAACCTATAAATCAGTATTGGGTTTCTTTAGCTGGAAAACTAGCATTATAGATTGCCTTTTCTTTACTTTTAAGATATCTTAGAAGGTTGATGTGGCATGTGTATGTGTTCATATTAACCTAGAAGGAATCATGGTGATTGCACCTTTAATGTCTTAACTAAAAATGTATTATCTTCTTTATTGCCTATTACAGAATGTTTCCTATTGAGTCAAAGCCTTCATTATTAAACCCTACTGGATCTATACTGGTCTCATCCCCAATAAAACCAAATCCATTGGACCTGCCACAGCTTCAGCATAGAGCAGCTGTTATCCCACCAATGGTAAGTTATCAATATGAGTAAGAAAAGTAAGATAAAAAAAAAATTGGAAACTTATTTCTTTATTTCTTTAATGAGTTCATTTAAAAAAATGTCAAATAGATATAAAATTTACCATCTTAACCATTTTGTTTGTAGTTTACTAATGTTAAGTGTACTCACATTGTTGTGAACCAGTCTCCAGAAGTCTTTCATCTTGCAAAATTGAACACTATACCAATTATACCATGACTTCTCTTTTCCCCTGTCCCCCCAACCTTACTAACCACCATTCTACTTTCTGTTTCTGTGAATTTGCCTACTTTAGATTATGTAAGTGGAATGATAATGGATTTGCCTTTTTGTGACTGACTTATTTCACTCCATATAATGTACGTAGGGATCATCCCTATGTTGTAGCCTATGTCAGAATATCCTTTTTAAGACTGACAATATCCAGTTGTACGTAAATTGTTGCATTTTGTTATATCCCTTCATCTGTTGATGAACTTTTGGGTTGCCTCTATCTTTTGGTGTTGTGAATAGTGCTGCTATGATTGGTACTTGATTTTAGTACCTTGTTTTCTCTAATATCCTCTTGAGTTGGGCTTGAGTTAAGAAGTACAAGGGTATGTGGAGGGCAGAAGTCCTGAATCTGACTTTGTGGAAGAACCCTTTTACATAACTGACATTTATATACATAGTATGTTGTTTTTCCAGATGGATTCATTGTGATGATTGATTGAAATGGTCATTTCCAATTCAGGAAAAAAAATTCTTTAACCATAAATGTTAGTGTTCCATTTTTATTTAGCTTGTTCGTGCTAAGATTTGAGTAGAATAAATAATATAATAAGGTTGAATATTTAGACTTAGAGATTATAGCTAACTTTGGTATACAATTTCAAATCTAATTTTTTTTAAAGATTTATTTATTTATTTATACAAGCACTGGGTACAGCAGAAGCACGAGAGGGTGAGAGAATTCACCAGAGCCAGAGTGGGGAGTAGAGCAGGCAGAAGGACCGAAGTACACTGCTGAGGGGAGCAGCGGGCGGCAGGAGAGGTCTGCGCGCCATGTGGGGCCCTCCTCCAGTGGCCAGGGAGCAGCCGGGGATCTAACCGGCGCTGCAGAGGCTGCGGGCAGCTTTGCAACCCAGCGCTCAACTGCTGTGCCACCGGGGAGGCCCTCAAATCTAATTTTTTACACTATACATTAATAGTGTCTGAAAGTTTGACTTACTTTTGATACTGAATTCCAGTTTGGGGTATTGCTCTTTCACTTAGTTGTAATTCCAGCTTTTGCTTTATTTCAGAGGGTATGAATTTCTTTTCTGCCTCACATAATTGGTAAGCGTTAAGGGTATGATTATTAAATGTATTTGTCCATTCATTGACTTATTCAAATGGACATTTATTGTCTACCCAGTTCAAGACACATTTTTAATGTTGTGGGCAGTATTTATATTATCACAGTCTTCTAGATTTAGAGATTGCTCACTTCAGTGAGAATGGCCTATATCCCAAAATCTGGAAACAACAAATGTTGATGAGGATGGAGAATAAAGAAACCCTCGACATTGTTGGTGGAAATGCACTCTGGTCTAGCTCCTATGGAAAACAATATGTAGGGTCTTCAAAATATCAAAAGTAGATATGCTATCTAATCCATTCCACTCCTAGATATCTACCTGAAGAATATAAAATCACTAATTCAAACATGTGTACATACTTCTGTGTTCACTGTAGCACTATGGAAGCAACCTAAATGCTTATTCACTGAGCAGTGGAGTAAGAAGATGTTGTATGCATACACAATGGAATACTATTCAGCTATAAAAAGAAAAATGAAATCTTGCCATTTGTGACAATATGAATGGAACTGGAGGAGATTATGCTAAGTGAAATAAGTCAGGAGAAAGACAAACACTGGATAATTTTACTCTTATGTGATTTATATAAAGGAAAAAAAAAAAAACCCACCACAAAGGAACTGACAAAACTAAACTAAAACAAACCCTAGAAGTGTGACTGCAAAGATAAGGATAGAGGGGGTGGGAGAGAGGAGGTGGCAACAAGCGGTAAGGGTCCTGTAGCCTGGGATAAAGGACTGTAGGTGCTTTGATGGTGAGGCTGATTTGGTAACATACATCTGAAGTGTGAACCTATGCCCCTAAATCATATATAGTGTTGTAAGCTAATGTTACCTTAATAAACAAAACAAGACTTAAGAGACTGGTCTTGATAATAAGGCATAGAAAAAATTCATGATTAAAGTGTGATGCTTTGTTGGTTAAAAAATATTCCAGGGCTTCCCTGGTGGCGCAGGGGGCTAAGCGCAGTGCTGTGGCTGTGGAGCTGTCCGCAGCCTCTGCGCCGCAAGTTCGATCCCCAGCCAGCCAGGGAGCAACCCACATGGTGCACTGGACCTCTCCTGGATCACCCGCTACTCCCCTCAGCAGTGTACTTCAGTCTATCTGCCTGCTCTGTTCCCTGCTTTGTCTCTGGTGGGTCTTCTCACCTCCCGCGCCTCTGGTCTGTGCCCCAGTTCTTGTACAAATAAATAAATCTTAAAAAACATATATTCCAAAGGTATTTCAGAGGAAAGAGAGCTTCCTTCATAATGAGATACTTGAGGAAGACTTCACATAGGAAATAATATTTTGGTTGGACCAAAATATTTCATTTGGTTTTATAAGGTTTAGGGAAAAAATCCACTTACAGTAATGTAAAAACATGAAATTTTTAGATAACAGTTTTAAAATGTCAGCTCTTTACTCTTCCCAGGACTGTTTTTTATTTGTGACATAATTGATTGTGGTAGGGGCTTGTCCTTCATGATGTGGGAGAGAAAATAAACATATAATTGCAAATAGTGGTAAGTGCTGTGTACTGTGAAAGAAATGGAACAGGCTGTAGTAACAAGGGAATCAGGGAGGGAGTCACCATATTTTACTGGATGATTGGGGGTGGCCTGTCTGAAGAAATAACATTTAATTTCCATCCTAAAAGAATATGTCAATGAATTAGTTGTGGGAGGAGAGGAGATTGATTAGTAGGATGACTGCTAGTTTTCTAGGTTAAGCTGCTGAATTGAGTTTCCATTTTCTCAGATAGAGAGCACTGAAGGAGAAGCACTGAGTTTAGAAAACAAATAGTACACTTTTGACTATGTTGCGTTTCTTTGAGATACGCAAATGGAGTTGTTAGGTAGGTAACTTTATGAGTGTGGAACTTGGAGAAAACTTAAAGTCTTAAAAATAGAAATGCATGATCTATTATCATATGGATGATATTTAAATCCACAGAAGTGGGTGTGGTTACCTGGTGAGAGGACATTGGAAAGTGGACACTCAAACTAGCCACCAGGAATTTGACCATCTTATGTTAGAAGCAGACAAATGCATTTTACACAGCACTGTGCTCAAACCGCTGCGCCACCGGGACGACCCCAGACAAATGCATTTTAATTCCTGGTTTTGATTTTTTTAAATGCAACTTTTGTGATTTTTTTTTAAATTTTTTTTTACGTCATTGTTCATTTTTTTTTTTTCAAAGATTATTTATTTATACAAGCACTGGGTACAGTCAGAAGCATGGGAGCAGAACAGGCAGACCTACGAAATACACTGCTGAGGGGATCAGCCTGTGGCAGGAGAGGTCTGTGTGCCATGTGGGACCCTCGCCCGGCGGCCAGGGATTGAACCGGCGCTGCAGAGGCTGCGGGCAGCTTCGTAACCCACTGCTGCGCCCCTGGGGAGGCCCAACTTTTGTGATTTTTAGTGTTTGTTTTTTTAAAGTAACTGTCAGTTCAAGCATTACACTTTACGATTACTTTGTTTAAAAAATGGTAAAGATCACTTAAAACAGTAATATTACAAGCAATAAGCACTACTTGGCAACAGGTAGTATTTATTGCTATGTTGGTCATTGGCATATTCGGAATTCTTTTCTTCGTATAGGTTTCCTGCACCCCATGTAATATACCAATTGGAACCCCAGTGAGCGGCTATGCCCTCTACCAACGACACATTAAAGCAATGCATGAATCAGCACTCCTGGAGGAACAGCGGCAGAGGCAAGAACAGATAGATTTGGAATGTAGAAGTTCTACAAGTCCATGTGGCGCTTCCAAGAGTCCAAACAGAGAGTGGGAAGGTAGGTAGTACTGTCACCACAAAGAACTTTCTTGAAGAGAAATAAAATTATACTCTAAAGTGTAGTGTACTTTGTAATTTGTCAGCCTATCATTAAACCTGTCTTGAACAAATAAAATTGCTTTAAATTGATCTCAGTTGAAAAATCAAGGAATATTAATTTTGACTACTACAGGATGGTAGTAATGTTTTTAGTAGAACGCTTATTAATATGAATTTTCTGATCTTCATCTTTATGCTGGGAGACAATTAAAAGCCATGCTTTATGCTGCATCCATCTGAGTTTTCAGAGTAAGTGAGAATTGTTACCCTGTCCTTCAAGCAAATCATCTATAAGAGGGTAATATTCTCTTTCTCTGCTATTACAGAAGACAACTTTGTGTAGTGTATAGTGCCAGTCAGACCCAGTCATAATACTCACCCCAACATTACCAGCTCTGCGCCCATGGGCAAGACATTTAGCCTCTTGGAGCTTTAGTTTTCTTATCTGTAAAATGCAATGTATATACATACATATAAAACAATACTGAATGTTTATTTTTTTTTTTTACAGTTGTAATCCCAGCAAGTTATCAGGCAGCTGAGCATTATTTCATGTGTATATATGTATAATATAATTAATGTATATAGCACATACTAATTAACATATTAGTGTATACATAGTATAAGAGATACTAGGAAGGTACTGTTATGTCAAGTGACAGATTTGAATTGGTACATGATACACTTAGTTTCTTTTAAAAAGGAGAAAGGGAGTGGTTTCTAAATTTTAATAAATTCTGGCATTTTTAGAAATTGACATGTGTTTTCCTTAAAGTCAACTCATGGACTACATGCCCTGACATGCTTAGAATGTTTATGGTTTAGTTCTTTTAATAATGATACAGAAGACTCTTTGTAGTATCTCAAAGAGTTACAAGCTTTAGAACACTGTGCATCTAAGGTCTATATAATATAAACAGTAACTCTGGTTCTTCACTGATTCTGCTGATTCCCTGTCCTGATTCCTCTGTACACCAGAGACTTATATAGTTGTTACTTGATGTAGTGAATCTGTTACTTTAGATTTTTAAATATAAGATTGTTAGTGTTTTAAGTATACATTTTATTCTAGTAAAGGTGTGAACTAGAGTGATAATCCTCACCAAGGATGAGTTTGTAACAGCTGCTAAATGGTATTTCTTGATTGATAGTAGGAAAAGAAATGGCAGTTTTTGGGCTTTTAGTATATTGCATCTAGAGAATTTTTAATACCTAATGTAGCAGTTGACACAATGTGTCGTTACATGTTGAAGAGATCAGTTACATGAACTAGGGAACACAAATGGACTTGGGAAAAGTGCTGCTTTTGCGCATTCCAATGATGAGCCAGTCTGTCATTACGAGAATGAAAAATTAGAATAATTTAAAAGTCTGTTAATTTACTCCTTACATAAATGATTCAGAGTAAATTTTGTGAGGAAGAATTAAAACCCAGAAAAATTACTTAAATGGTGTTTGCTAATCTGATGCTAAAACTTAATGTTATTTAGTTAACAGCATTTGGATCATTTTAATATGAATATTGTACAGTTATCTTGGGACCTCAATATCTTTTCTTGATCTACTTTAAAAAATAGAATTGGAGAGACTGAGTCAATCTAGAACTCCAAAATCTAAGATTCCAAACTTCACTTCTTCACTTCTCTGTGTTCAATCACATTAATCCATGTGGTTAGATTTGATTGGTATCTCTGCTCTTAATCATAAAGAAGTGGTCTTGAAATCAAATTTTAATTATATTTTTAATAATTTGACAGCAAGATGATGTGATACCAGTTTGGTTCAGGGTGACTGAAAACTAGAAGAACTGATTACATTTTATCCCAAGGTTAATTACTGTTTTTACTAATCTGCTTAGTATGTTCATCCAGTAGTTTACTTAACAAGTGCCTAAAGTCTCCTAAATTTATTGCTCATTGTATTAGCATAGTCTTCCTGAATAACATTTTATATATTGCAGTTCAATTGCTTGTCTATAGAATGTTTGAAATGAATGTTTTAAAGGTAATGTCATAAAATAGTTTTAGAATGTTAAAAATAGTGAGAATGTGAATTTACCTATAAAACCTCACCAAACTGCTATTGTCCACCTGAATTAAGACCATGGTTTTGGCTTGTTCCTTCCTGGTCTCTTTTAGAAAGCAAAAGGCAGCACCTAAGTTTTGCAACTGTTTGATTGTATTCATCTCTTCTTAATGTCAATGGTACAAATAATTATTGTAGATAAGCCCTTTGTAAATGGCCTAAAGTCTTTGCATGTGTAGAAAATCTTGAAAAAAATCTTAGGGGAGAATTGTCTTCATGTTACATTAACATTTACAAAAGTTGGCCTCTGCTTTACTTTCATGCCTTTTTCCTACAGTGAAGGAACTCACACACTGTTAGAGATAAAAGTAGAATTGAACTAATGCAGGTTATAATAATCTGTACAGTCAAAATAAGAATTCCTTTATGTAACTGAATCTAGTTTATATTTTTTTGTTTTTCTGACTCTAGGTACGTAGTGATCCAAGTAGCTATATTTAGAACCATCTAAATTTTCTCCCCCTTTTTTTCTTAACATTAGTATGAAAAGTGAATTTTTCTATATAATTATAAACTTACTGGAAATGGTGAAACAATCAGACAGTGAACTTATAATACACTATAAATGTTAAATTATCTAGAAAGGAAGTATGATTTTCCTTTGAAGTTGGTTTATTTCCTGAATCTGTTTGCAGAGGATTAGGACACTTAATAATCTAATTAATTGTATTGATGTGAGAGAGAAAGCACAGTCATTGTGAAATTCAACTCTTAGCTCTTGAGGGAGACATTATTGTATTGTGATCTAGAGTTCGGGGGCCAGGAATTGCTATTATTAAAAAAAAAAAATCCCTGTGGTCATATTAAGTGTGATTCTTCTGAACCTCAATTGCCTCATCTGTAAAATGTTAATAATATTATTAGTCATGAGAACTAAATGAGATAATTTTGCACACAGAGCAGATATTACTATAATTGTTTCCTGGTTTTTAGAAACATTTCACTAAACAAAATAACTTCATAATCCTTGAGATAATGAATCCCCATTTGAAACCAGTTAAAAACCTTCCACTTAATAATTGAATGGTAGAGTTCATCCTATCTGTGGATAGGAATGATCAGGGTGCCCATTATTACAGCCATGCAATAAGGAAAAGGGGACTCACGAGGTTAGGTATTTTAAGGGAGAAGACAAATTATTATTCATAGGACAAGATTACCTAGAAAACCTAAAAGAATTAACAATTATAAGAGGTAAAAGGAAAGTTGGTTAAGTTTCTCAAAAAACTCAATATACAGAAAGTCACATTTTATATATCTATAATAATCACTAGTTTCCTCAATTAGTAAAGTCATTATTATAAAATATAAATTCAGTATTATAAAAAACTTATAAAATTTATATTCATAAATTCAGTATAAGTCCAATGAAAATCCAAATGACTATGTTTTGAGGAAGTAGTCAAAATGACTTTAAGCGTAGATTTATTTGGAAGAATAAAGGGATAAGATCTGGTAAGCAAAGGGATAATAAACTGGGAATTTGTTCAAACAAACCATTGAAATGTCACAAATCTAAGTGAGGGTTAATTAGGGTTGCAGATGATTTTCACTTTGTGATTTTCTAAAATTACTTCAATATGTCAATTTTATTTAAAAAAGGAAACAGTATTGGTAGAATTCTTTAAGTCTTAATGTGACATGCCCTTTAAATACTTAAAAGTTTTAAATGCTTTTGTTGTAAGTTATGTGGAGTAATTTTCATTAGCATTAGTGCAGTAAAATTCATAATTGTATAAGCTTGTTGAGGTTTTTTAGATTATTTTAATCTGCATCTTTGGAAAGGCTTCTTCTGTGTCTTGACTGTAATTATCATATTAAGTAGCGAACTTTAACAGGCTAATTATAATGGTTGAAATCCTTAGAGATCTGACATCTGTCTCAGGCCAGACTTGAATTACAAAATGGCTCAATAATCTGATGTTTGCCTATTGTGATCTTATTGCATATGAAAACACTTGATTCTCCTAATGAGAGGAAAGAAAAGTTCTTTGTCCTTTAAAAGGAAAATTTAACTTGAGGATTTTATTAGGTTATAGGTCATAGTGATGATGCATACACAGAAGATTTAGTCTTACAGGGTTTCGTAACCTCTCTGCGGGTGGATTCCTCCCCAGGGAATTTTAGACCTTGATATTAGTATATATTTGGATCTAGCCCTGGATGGTGTGGGCTTGGTCCTTTCACACTATTTTAATTTGGGGTTCTTCCCTTATTTTGATAACTTTAACTTTCATAGGAAAATCAGTCGCCTATATGCCTTATGCTGAGGTCAGACGTGCTCTAGAACAGGAAGCACAGATGCTCAATACTGCAGCAAGGTCAGCATCACCGTGTAGGCTCTCTCCAAGAGAAGTCAGTAAAGCCGCTCCACAGCCTGATATGAGTACAGCCCGCTATAGTGTCCCGCCAGGTAAATATTGTTCCTCTGTGCAGTGGCTGCTGGCCATCTACCTACAGATATTAGACCTGGGTGGTTTAATGAACTGCTCTTCCAGGACATGATCTTGCTATTTCAAAATTATGTTCTTGTTTCTCTGCATTCCATCATCAGTTGTATTCAGTTGAGCTTCACTGGGCCTCTGGGAAGTTTGTGTTCATACTTGAATACTGTGACATTGACTACATTTTCTTTTAGAGTACATGAACTTTGTAAAGATCTTGGGATTCCCTTTTCCTGCCCTTGATATTCAAGTGTTTGTGAGAGCCAGAATCAGTAAATATTTATCAAATTATGCAAGATCCAACGAGGATGTGTGACTGGTTGCAATCATGTCTGTATATTCTACAAAGTTGTAACATCAGCTATACCTTTGCCTTTTTTCTTACCTCCATTGTGAAGTCCGAGGAATGATGGAGAAAGAAAAAATTATTAAAGACTATTGTTTGCATATGCTAAGCAGAAATAGGTGAATATTAGCTTGAAATCTCTGGTTTGACAGGGAGTTAAGTATTTCATCCTCACAAATACCATTTGTTCCTGAATGTGTATACAAGTTTAATTCGAGTGAAAGAGACATTTAAAATAGGAGTACTCATCTTCGCCTTCATCTTGCATTTATACTTTGTGACTTTGAAAATTCAAGAGTGACTGAGAGGTAGAATGTTGCAGATTAAATGGACAATTTTAAACCTTTTTTTTTTCCCTTCCTTTTTAAAGTCCTCCAGCCTGCTCCACATCAAGTGATAACTAATCTCCCTGAAGGAGTTCGCCTTCCAACAACTCGACCAACTAGGCCACCTCCGCCTCTCATCCCATCATCCAAAACCACAGTGGCTTCAGAAAAACCTTCTTTTATACTCGGAGGCTCCATCTCACAGGTAAAATGACTTCTAGTAATTTTTCTGGTGAATTACTTTTTTAAAAAACTGTGATCTGATCTTAGCTTACAGTGGTTCAGTCAATCAGTTTTGACTAATGTGTACAACCAGTGACCACACTCCTGTCAGGTTATGAAAGTTTTCCCTGCATGCCAGATAGCTTTCTCATACCCCTTCCTAGACAGCCTCCACTCCCTCCCACAGCTGAAAGCAGTTGTTCACTTTCTGTTGTCACAGATTTTGCCTTTTCTATAAATTTCATAGAAAAGAAATTGCACAGTGTGTACGCCTGTGTTTGTCTTCTTTAATTCAGCATAATGGTCTTAGGGATTAACCCAGGTTTTTTAGTCAGTAGTTTCTTCCTTTTTATTGCAAAATAATATTCCCTTGTATGAACTTACCAGTTTATCCATTTTCTTGTTAGAAACCTGAGCTGTTTCTAATTTTGAGCTACTATGAATAAAGTTGCTATGAAAATTCTTGTAGGCCATTTGTGGACATAGGTTGTTGTTGTTGTTTTTTGTTTTTTTTTTTTTAAGATTTATTTATTTATACGAGAACTAGGGTATAGGCCAGAGGTGTGAGAGGGTGAGAGAATTCACCAGGGACAGAGCAGATAGCAGAATAGGCAGAAGGACTGAAATACACTGCTGAGGGGAGCAGTGGGCGAGACAGGAGAGGTCTGCCGTGCCTTTGGGAATCACCCTGGTCAGACAGGAATCGAACCAGCACTGTAGAGGCTGCGGACAGCTTCACAGTGCTTCACTCAACCTGCTGCGCCACCGGGGAGGCCCTGTTTTTATTCTCTTACATAATTCCCTGGTGTGGAATTACTGGTATTCCACTGGAATTCCCTGGTGTATGTATGTTTTTCCTTATACTTTTCCTGAGTGGTTCTACAATTTTACACTGCCACCAGCATTGTTTCAGTCTTTTGCTGTTATCAGTCTTTAATTTTAGTCATAGTAGTGGGTGTATAGTAATACTTCATTGAGATTTTATTATGCACTTCTTTGGCAACAAATGATGTTGAATATACTTGCTGTTTGTACATCTCACTCTGAAGTGACTGAATTATTATCTGTTTTTATTGAGTCTTTGTTGTTAGGTTCCAAAAGTTCTCTATATATTGTGAATGAAAGTTCTCTGTGGAATATGTGTCTTCAAAATATTTTTTCTATTTATGACTCATGTTTTATATTCTTACTGATGTGCTTTGATGAGAAGTTTTATGTTCATATATGTTCTTTTTCTCTAAGAAATAGTTGTTTGCTCCAAGTTGTGCATATATTCATCTCTATTTTCTTCTGAAAGTTTTATAGTTTAGGCTTTTATATTAAGTCTGTGACCTATGTCAAGTTTTTGTATTCAGTGTGAGATCAGAATGGATATTTATTTTTCCATTTGGATTTCCAGTTCAGTAACAGTCTTTGAAAAATATCTTCTTTCTCTTACTTGATTGCTTTAGTCTTTTTGTCAAAAGTGGTTTGACTAGTCAATTTCTGGACTCTTCTGTTCATTGATGTACTTGCCTATCCTTTTATAGATGCCACCATCTTGATTACTACAGCTTTGTAATAAATCTTGAAATCATGTAATATTACTAAAAGTCTTGTAATGCTTTTATTTTTCAAGAAGTTTTTGGCTATTTTATTTCTTTTGTACTTACATATTATATAATCAGTTAATGTCTACAAAAATTGTGGGATTTTCATGGAATTGCATTAAATCTGTAGATTAATTTGGTACAGGATTGAACACCATAAGAATATTGAATCTTCTCATGCATTAATATACTTATCTTCCCTTTTATTTAGGTCTTTAATTTCTTTCAGTTGTGTTTTGTAGTTTTTTCTGTAGTGATTTTTATACATTTTGTTAGATTTATCTTCAATTAATAATTTTTAATGTATTTTATATTTTCATACATACTATTTTCAAATTTTTCTTTTTCCATTTCTTGCTAATATATAGAAATAGTTCATGTTTACATTTGATTTCCCTCCTGCAGTATTTCATACCTATTCTAGTAGATTTTTTTGTTTTGCTTTTTTTGGGAGGTGGGAGGAGCAAAATTCTTAGGATTTTCTATGGATGCATGTCATTTGCAAATGAAGTTTTACTTTTTGTTTTCTAATCTTTATGCCTTTCCTTTTTCTTGTTTTATTGAGCTGGTTTGGATAGAACTTTTAATATGGGTTTTATAGAAATGATGAATTATGGATATGATTCTTTGTTGCTGATCTTAGTGGGGAGGCATTCAGGATTTCACTGATAGGCATGCTAACTCTAGACTTTTCATCTATACCTTTCCTCAAATTGAATGTGTTTCTTTATATTATTAGTTTGCTGAGAGTTGTTTTTTCTCTCTACTTCTTGGGCTTTTGAATTTTAGAATTTCTTTATGGTATTTTTTAATGGTTTCTTTCTCTTTGGTGGCATGTCTCTAGTGAGACATCTTTTCCATATTTTCCTTGAATTCTTTAGTTACGGTTCCCTGCAGTTCTTTGAATATATATAAAATAGCTGATTTAAAGTCCTTTTGGTGGGTCCAAAGTTCAGGGATATTTACCCTCTCTTCCCCCATGTGTGAGTCATATTTTTTTTTCCTTTGCATTCCTTGTAATTTTTGGTTGAAAACTGGACATTTTAAATAATGTGCAACTCTGGAATTCAGATTTTGTTTTCTTCCTAGGGCTTGTTGCTATTTGTTTTGTTTATTTCCTTAGTGACTTTCCTAAACTAATTCAGTGAAGTCTGTATTCTTTGTCATGTTGGCCTCTAAAGTCATTGTTCTGTTTACTTAGTGGTCAGTAATGATTGTACAAATTTCAATAAAGGCCTAGAACCAGTTAAGTTTCCCACTTTTTGCTAGGTCCTCTCTTGCCTGTTGGGGCATCAGCAGGATAGTTGACAATTGTCTTATTCTTCCCTTCCTGCTTATACAAAGCCATGTGGTCAGCCAGAGGTGAGAGCTTAGGGCCCTCTTGTGTCTTTCACAGGCATAGGCACATCCTTGCACATGCATGTAGACATCTCGATTCCTAAGACTATGTTGGAACTTGTCACATCCGCTGCACACATCTCATTCCTTAATGTTTCCTTTTAAGAATTTTGGTTAATCTGTTTGCTCTAAGGTTATCTACTGACTTAAGACCATGGAGAAGTTAATTGACTCTAATTGTTTTTTTTTTTTTACAAGCATGTACCTCCTTCCTCACCCCAAATGGGTAAAATGAATACCGCTTTGCAAATAAATGGGTCTCCTGGAAAATCACCAGACACATAAAATATTGACAGTTAACTGTGAATGAGGCTTTTAAGGTGATTTCAACCTTGTTCTTTTTCTCTGATTACTTCCAGGCTACTGTTTTTTTACATGATTGGTTTGTTGATTTTCAAACTACCATAGAATATGGGAATCAGAGCAAGTTATAATGCTACCAAGCTCATTGTTCTTAGTTAATTCTGCTATTTTTCTTGAATAAATTCTCCCAGATTTCTGTAAGCCTTTGGTTAATTTCCAGAGTTTTTTTTTTTTTTTAATTTATTTATTTATACAAGCACTGGGGTACAGGCCAGAGGCTCGGGAGGGTGAGAGAATCCAGCAGAGACAAAGCAGGGAGCAGAACAGGCAGAAGGACTGAAATACACTGCTGAGGGGAGCCGTGGGCGAGCCAGGAGAGGTCTGCCTCGCCATGTGGGAATCTCCCTGGCCTGCAGGGAATCGTACCAGTGCTGTGGAGGCTGCAGACAGCTTCACAGTGCTGCGCTCAACCCTCTGCACCACCGGGGAGCACCCTAATTCCCAGAGTTCTTAAAAAAAATTGATTCTTGCAAATTTTTCAGGTTTTTTGGTTGCTTCTATGGAGGAGACATTTTGGAAATTCTTGCTCAGCCATTTTCACTGATGTCACTATCCTGTAGCATTTTTTTTTTTTTTAAGATTTATTTATGCATACAAGAGCTGTCATACAGGAGGTGTGTGGGGCAGGCAGGTGGATGGTGAGAGGATTCACCAGAGACAGAGCAGGGAACAGAGTAGGCAGATTGACTGAAGTACACTGCTGAGGAGAGCAGTGGGTGAGTCAGGAGAGGTCTGCTGCGCCATATGGGTTGCTCCCTGGCTGGCCCAGGGATTGAACTCCTGCTGCAGAGGCTGCGGGTAGCTGCAGAGGCTGCATCTTAACTGCTTGCGCCACCAAGATGCTCTCCTGTAGCATTTTTAAGAAGAACAGATGTTAATAGTAGGTTACATTTTGAGTTAAGTGCTTTATTTACATAACTTGTTTATAGTAAATATCTATATGAAATATCTACATGTAATTTCAGAAGGTATGTCTTATTCCCATAAAAATTATTAAAAATTTTAATTAACTATTTTTAATTTTGGGTGCCATCGGTGAAAATTTTTATAAACAAAATGTGAACATTAACTTTATGTTTGACTTGTGAAAAGGCAGTGTTGACTTTAGTCTTTTAAAACTTTTTAGGGAACACCTGGCACTTACTTGACTTCCCATAATCAGGCTTCCTATGCTCAAGAAACAGCTAAGCCCTCAGTAGGCTCTATCTCACTTGGACTCCCACGGCAGCAGGAATCTGCCAAATCAGGTCAGTGAGTTAATATATCTGTAATGTTCCTGCAATTGTAGTATGATAGTCAATAATTCAGCATTTGATCTCTTCTCATTTCTCTTATTTTGGTTCATAGCTACCGTGCCCTACATTAAGCAGGAAGAATTTTCACCCCGAAGCCAAAACTCACAACCTGAAGGTTTACTGGTCAGGGCCCAACATGAAGGTGTGGTCAGAGGTAAAATATGCTCTTTGGCAAAAAATATTGAACATTTATCCTCAGCAAATTTGTTAAGTCAGCCATTTAAATGTTTTAATGATGGACTTTCAAGTTAGAGCATTTAAAATCTAAATTTATGTTTTCTTTTTGAAAAAAAGAGTCAAAGCTTTGAAATTCTATGCTTCAACAGTCTTCTTTAATGCTTACAATATCACTTTAAAAGTGTATGTCTATAATATGAGCTCCTTTTTTTTTCTGTTCCTGTTTGTGCTACTGTTATCTTCCCATCCCTCTTTCAAGTAGAGGCTAATTTCTTTCTTTTTTTTTTTTTTTGCAGAAGTAGGGAATATGGTTTGCTAATGATTTTGTTTTTGTTCAGGTACCACAGGTGCCATTCAAGAAGGAAGTATAACTCGGGGAACTCCAACCAGCAAAATTTCAGTGGATAGTATCCCATCCCTGAGGGGCTCTATCACCCAGGTGAATTCCAGTCATCCCATGTATATTGAACAACAGAAGTAAAGTCTTCAGAGCTTCAGCTATTCCAGGAATACAGTTTTGTGATTAAGTTGTTCATAGTCTGAGTCATGTGACTGGGTTTCAGTGATGATATACCTCAGGTTCATGAACCATCTGCAGAAAGACATTTTAATATGATAATTTTGATCACAACCTATCTTATCCATACTGTGGTTCATTCGAAAAAGTCACTTATTTGCAAACTGGCAGAAAAAAACAAGTTCTAATTGATGCAGTTCTCACTTTCTTCCTGACAAAGCTTTTACCATGTATTCAACTTAAACAGAAATTGAGAAGAAAATTATTATAAATTATTTGTTGTATTCGCCTTTGTGAAAAGGAGCATAATCTCGGATTATATGTTGTCTTGTTAGAAACTAATGCTAATCTTAGAGATATGATGGTATTCACAAAAGCACCAAAAATCAAGTATCTTCTAATTTTAGGCTAACTAAATCACCAATTTTGATAATAGAACGTTTTTCTTTTCCTCAGATACAATTTTAATTTGAAATGTAAAGTAGTCCTTAGACTACTAATGTAGATCTGGCAAACAAAAGTTCTATTTTGGGAAATCAGAATCCTGTGATTTTGTACATTTTTAGCTGTCACAAGTTTTCTGTTTCCTCAGTACCTGTCACAAATTTTCTATTCTAATCCTTTTTGTGTTCCATGGGACAGTGGTTATCAAAGTGTAGTCCCAAATCAGAAGCATCAGCTGGGAAGCGTCTTGACATAGAGATGCTGAGGCCCCACCCCAGACTTACTGAAGTCACACTAGTGGGGACAGGATCTAGCAATCTGTTTCCCAGTGCTCCAGTGAGTATGTGCTACATGCCTGTTTGAGAGCCATACCCTGGGACCTTGCTAACTAAGTGTGGTATGTGTTGGAGCAACACATCACCTGGTAACTTGTAAGAACAATGCAGAAATTTCAGTGCCTACTTGAGACCTACTGAATCAGAATCTATGTTTTTAACAAGATTCCCTGGTGATTCCTCTCTATGCATGGTTTATGGAATATATGGCATGTAGTAATCTAGAAAAATATGTTCTAATACTTCAAATGTCTTTTTCCACATTTAACCAAAGTACATGTTCTGTTGAAATTAGTTTTTAGAATAAGTGAACACTTTAATATAGACAGAAGAAAACTAAATGCCATGTGCATATTATCTTTTCTTCATTTTTGCTCCTGCATTCAGAATCTGGATAAGAAGACAGTGTGAACTAGATCAAATGAGGCTAGATTTTATTTATTTTGAAATCAGTCTGTCTATGTGACATGAGCATTTGCAAAGTGGGTGTTAACAATTTTCAGATGTTTTCTAATGGGCTCACTTTAACAGCTAGATGAGTAAATGTATTGTTCTCATCATTCTTCCTGCTTACGAATGTGTAGTTTCAGATTATCCTCATTAGAGTTTTAGAGACACTAAATGTTTGAGTGGACTAGGTCTGGCCTTCCCAATCCCATTTCAACCCAAGCAGCTCACTTTTACAAAATGTTCTATAAAGTTCCTTGAATGATTTCCCTTTTGAAGAAATGTTTCACTGCTTTTAAAGGAAGAGTGAAAAGAATCCTGACCATAGATAACCCAGAAGAGGAATAATGAAGGCAGATGTTTAGACAACATGACCTAGACTCAGTCCATGTAACAAAATGGAGGCCAAGTTTATCTTCTCTTCTTACTGATGATCAAGGTTCTGATATAATACATAGTTTCATAATTGAAAGTTCTATTTTTCTTTTACCACAATATGAACTTTGTGATACTCTAAATTTAAAACTTTGTCTTCTTTAGAAACTTTGAAAAAGCCTTATTACTAAATTTGTATGAATTTGTGTTACACTTTTTTTTTTTTGGTTTAATTTATTTATTTATACAAGCACGGGGTACAGTCAGAAGCGCGGGAGGGTGAGAGGATTCACCAGAGCCAGAGCGGGGAGCAGAGCAGGCAGAAGGACCGAAGGACACTGCTGAGGGGAGCAGCGGGCGGCAGGGGAGGTCTGTGCGCCATGTGGGACCCTCCTCCGGTGGCCGGGGAGCAGCCGGGGATCGAACCGGCGCCTCCGAGGCCGCGGGCAGCTTCGCAACCCAGCGCTCAACCGCTGCGCCACCGGGGAGGCCCTGTGTTACACTTTTTTTCTGAGCGTTAAGTGCCCTCATAGTTTGACATCAAGATAGGGAAGAAAGCTATCAATAGTTCACCTCATATAACTACTAGCATTTTAAGGAGTTTTATATGGTGGGGTCCAAGGACAAAGTTGCACCATTTCTTTGTTCATAAAATGTAATCTCTGGTTTCCTCTCATGTGCTTGTCCTTTCTTCTTTGAAGATAAGGATTATCTGATTCTCAGTATGCTAGGTTACGATTTCTGAGTATCTTGCCTTTTGTCTAAACAGACACGATTTGACTTTCTTGGTGCTTGTGTTTAATTTGATGGCAGGGTACCCCAGCTCTGTCCCAGGCTGGCATACCAACTGAGGCATTGATAAAGGGTTCTATTTCAAGAATTCCCATTGAAGAAAGCAGCCCTGAGAAAGGCAGAGAGGAAGCTGCTTCCAAAGGCCATGTTATTTATGAAGGCAAAAGTGGACATATCTTATCATATGATAGTAAGTATTGCATTTAAACACTGAAGCCAGTACTGTAATATGTGACTAAAAAACACAGCTGCCGTTTCTCACCATACTTGTTAGAAGAAATTAGTTTTTTTCCCTGAGGCCACATTTCCTCTCTGTTAAAGGGGTTAATAATAACTTTTGTGAGAAATGTACGGTTTTGTGAGACTTTCATGAGAAATGTACTGAGAGTCAATGAAAAGTGGTTAACAATGCAGATACCATGGTTGGTGTCCTAGAAATGGTAACTAATATCAACTGAGGTCAGTTGACTAGCTTAGGTGAAGAATCTTCGTTTAACTTTAGTAGAATCACTTTTATTTTGAAGGAATTCCTATTTTATATGCTAGGAATTAATGAAGAAATAATAGTCTGATAATTCTGGGAAGAATATTGAACTTAAGTTCTCCTTAAATTTAACTAATTTAATTTAATTTAATGTTCTAAATTAATGTCTTAAATTTAATTATTTTAATGTCGGTATGTAAACATTTTCTTTAGATGTGTTATATTTTCCCTGTACTATTATTTTATAAAAATGGCGCAGTTATGGTATAAAGGCCAAGTTATGGACTAGATCTGAGTTCTCATTTGCTACTGTTTTTGTGATCCAAGCAGTCATTAGTCATGATTTATCTTTTTCTTCGAATACAAAGGAATAAAGTATGTGAGCACATAGTGCCTGATGCAGAATACATAATAACTTTCCTGTTTCCTTCCTTCTTTCTTGTTTTAACAGTTCAAGTGTATATTGCTTTACTTTTTTTTCCCTGGGGAAAGAAATTAATGCACATTGCCTACGCCAGAAATCTGGGTGTCATAATTGACTTCTCTTTCTGCATCCAGTTTGTCAATCAATCACTAAATTGTTCCTGTTCTATTTTCTCAAGTCTTTGGTGTCTGTCCATTTCTCTATATTCCCTTTTGCCACCATCACCTTTCATCTGGATAAATTGGTAGTTACTTGACTAATCTCCCTGCCATCACTCTTACCCATATTTGAAATTGTACATCATGTAACTTCTTTCTTGGCTCTTTATTGCCTTTAAGATAATTATGATGCCTTACCTTGGTTTCATCACCCCCACCCATACTTCCAGTGCATCTCTTTAGATTTTTCCCTTCCCACTTTTTTTCTTTTTTAAAGATTTATTTATTTATGTATGCAAGCACTGGGGTGTAAGCCAGAGGTACTGGCCGGGGAGTGGGGGGAAAGGGTGGAGGATTTACCAGAGAGAGTGGGGAGCAGAACAGGCAGATTGACTAAAATACACTGCTGAGGGGAGTAGCAGGCGAGACAGGAGAGGTCTGCTGTCCATGTAGGTTGCTCCTTGGCCAGGGATCGAATTCGTGCTATAGTGGCTGGCAATAGCTTGATAGCACTGTCTTTAATCCCTGGGCCACCAGGGAGGCCCCTCCCTTCCCCCCCCCCCCAGCCCTTTGAGTTTCCCTCCCTCACCACACCTCCTTTCCTCCCAGCTCCACTGTACTCATTGGCCATTTACTGAGCTTAAGTTCCCCTATGTACCATACTCCTCTTAGCTTTGGGTCTATACCAGCTCTCCATCCTTTAACTTAAGAAGTTCTTACTTATCCTTCAATTCTCAGCTTAAACATTACTTTTTCAGGGCAGCCTTATCTAAACTTTAAGTGGTAGGTTTCCTTTCCAGCATTCTCACAGCATATTTCTCTTATAGTACTATTTAATTCTGAATAATAATTGCCTATTTATCTGTATCTGTCATTAGGGGGTCAATTTCATGAGGGAAGTGACTTAATTTGTTAACCTTATCTGCAAGCTTGTGCCTGGCATACAATAGATATATTTGAATGAATGAAAACATTTTTGTAAATATCTACACTGATATATATTATTGCTTAAATCTACTTTTTATATTACTTTTACAAGTAGACAATGAATTAAGATAACTTATTTGTTGTATTATAGATCTTGGACCCTGAGCAATTCTTGTTTATATATTTTGCAGATATAAAGAATGCCCGAGAAGGGACAAGAAGTCCAAGAACAGCCCATGAAATCAGTTTGAAAAGAAGCTATGAGTCAGTGGAAGGAAATATAAAGCAAGGATTATCATTGAGAGAGTCCCCTGTATCAGCACCATTAGAGGGTAGAATGTTTCATGAGATATTATTTAGATATATTTTATTTTGTGTAGTTAAGTTTTCAGTGTTGTTTTTTTTTTTTTAAAGATTTATTTATTCATTTTATTTATTTATTTATACAAGCACTGGGTACAGTCAGAAGCGCGAGAGGGTGAGAGAACTCACCAGAGCCAGAGCGGGGAGCAGAGCAGGCAGAAGGACCGAAGTACACTGCTGAGGGGAGCAGCGGGCGGCAGGAGAGGTCTGCGCACCATGTGGGACCCTCCTCCGGTGGCCGGGGAGTAGCCGGGGATTGAACCGGCGCTGCAGAGGCTGCGGGCAGCTTCGCAACCCAGCGCTCAACCGCTGCGCCACCGGGGAGGCCCTTCAGTGTTGTTTTAGGATGTATTTAATTTCGCCATTTCTACCTGAAATTTATGTTAATGAAAGTTTAAATTTACATTCATGTCTGTGTATAAATCAAGTGTTCTGTGGGCAAAAGTAAATAGTAAACATAATTGGTCATATCATGGGTAACTATTAGAATGCTCATGTAATTTGTAGATTATTCCTGTTCGAGTGAAATTAGTTTAAAAATGTAAAGTTCATTATAAGAACTTTGTATTGTGTGACAGATGAAGTTATATGATGGATAGAGCAAAGGCATGTATTTGAATTCCCAGCTTCACCCTTTCTTGGTGACTCCTCTGTTTCTTCCTTTGTAATTGTGGAAGAAAATCTTCCTCTCTGTTCATCTAACATGATTAGAGACAGTTGTCCAGCCTCATGCTGACCTTGTGATAGGTGCTCAGTAAATGATAGCTTGGTTTTGTTTTGTTAATGACTCACTTTCTTTAAATCATCAACTTTAACCAGACTAATTTTAATCTAGATGAAATGCTAAAGGCAGGGTAAGGACTCCTCTATGTTAGAAATCCTGTTCACTTTTCTCATAGCTGGGTTTTGTCTGTATTAAAAAAAAAAAAAAAAAACAAAAATCTCACTTTTCCTTTACGTTATGATAAATGCATGTGTTTTATTCCATTCCTTGATTCACATTTATCATCAGTATAATGTGAAACTTCTTAAGAGGTTATTTGCATCCTTTCATTTTGCTTTGCATGTTTCATTTAAAATACTTTTCTTATTTTCAAGATTTCCGTATTTCACAGATATGGAAATCTCACAGATAAATTTCACAGATACATTTCAGAGCTAAATCATGATGTCCAATCCCTCTACATTTTCTCTTGCCTTAGTAAGGAAACATTGTGGTTTTAGATTTTGATATGATCTACAATTAATGGATGTATTCTGTGACCATTTTCTACTAAGGGAAGCTTTTAAAAAGGAAAGAATGATACCATGTCATGATGGCTTCTTCCAACTTTTATTTGTTTTCATGCTAATCTTGAATAGTTTACAAGTGTAAAATACCACTTTTTTCATAGAGCTTTTATGAAAAATACATACTCTAGGGACAGTATTAAGTATGTGTGAACTGACATACGTGTACATATGTTTAATACTTAAATTGCTTTCTTGTTTTTAAAGGATTAATATGCCGAGCATTACCCAGGGGGAGCCCTCATTCTGATCTCAAAGAAAGGACTGTGCTGTCAGGTTCCATAATGCAGGGTAAATTTTTTGCTTGTTTTGGCTTTTATTTATTACTGTCTCACTAACAAAGTAGTTTGTAAAGTCTGTTTTTCAAGATAGTTTCTTTTTTTAAATATTAGATATTTTAAGTCTTGCTTTTAGCTCTTTCATCTCTGAGCAAAAAGCATTATTTGAATATGGATAGCTACCTAATATTTCAATGTACTTCATCTTTAGTGTGCCAGAAACATTCTGTGATTGTGATTAATGATGTATTAATCTTGAGTGACCCTAAGAAAATAACGACTGATGAAGACTTACTTATTTGAGCATTGTTGTAAACAGAAAATTGATTAGGAACTGCAAGATGACAGGACATGAATCTTTTAATGATTTTAAGTGTATTGTTCAATTGCATTGCTATGCAACCACAACTATTAATGTTTCTTGAATTCTTTTTAAAGGCACACCAAGAGCAACAACTGACAGCTTTGAAGATGGCCTTAAGTATCCCAAACAGATTAAGAGGGAGAGTCCTCCAATACGGGCATTCGAAGGTGCCATTACCAAAGGAAAACCTTACGATGGCATAACCACTATCAAAGAGATGGGGCGTTCCATTCATGAGATTCCACGGCAAGATATTTTAACTCAGGAAAGTCGAAAAACTCCAGAAGTAGTCCAGAGTGCAAGGCCAATAATTGAGGGTTCCATCTCCCAGGTAACTATCATGGCTCTTTTTGTCAGCATTTCACTTCAGATTGTAGTATTTATGGGTATTTTTTAAAAGTTACTTTATAAGTAGTTCTTATGATCTCAGTTCTCTTAGAAGTAAGCATGAAACCTTTATCTGTGCTCTATCTTTAGTGTTTCTTGTGTCCATAGCATGGAGTGTAGAAGGTGGAAGGTATGTAAATCAGGATTGGTAGGCTTGTGATTAAGACATCCACACAGGCAGTAAAGACTACTACAGCAAACTAGAATTGCCATGAGCCAAACATAGACTTGAGATGGAAAAATATTTAGATATAATATTTGTTTCTTTCCCTTTAGGGTACACCGATAAAGTTTGACAGCAACTCAGGTCAATCTGCCATCAAACACAATGTCAAATCCTTAATCACTGGGCCTAGCAAACTACCCCGTGGAATGCCTCCATTGGAAATTGTACCAGAGAACATAAAAGTAGTTGAACGGGGAAAATACGAGGATGTCAAAGCAGGCGAGCCAATGCGTTCCCGGCATACATCGGTGGTAAGCTCTGGCCCCTCCGTTCTTAGGTCAACACTTCATGAAGCTCCCAAAGCACAGCTGAGCCCAGGGATTTATGATGATACTGGTGCACGGCGGACACCTGTGAGTTATCCAAACACCATGTCCAGAGGTTCACCAATGATGAGCAGAGCTTCTGATGGTATGATACTCTCATATCCTTGTCTGGTAGTTTTACTGTGCCCTATTGCTTCTGGCAAGTGTTAAATGTCTAAGTGTTAGCTTTTTTGTCACAAGATTTTTAGGTTATGCTTGGTCTGTGGGCGGCCACCAAATTAAAAACAAGCATAATTATAGGTTAAATGCCTAATATTTAAATTAAATAAAGAGTATAGTGGAGTTTAGAAATGCTCTCAAATAACTATTTTTTTTAAAAGATTTATTTATATGCATACAAGAGCTGGGGTACAGGCCAGAGGTGTGTGTGTGTGGGGGTGAGAGACAGAGCAGGAAACAGAATAGGCAGATTGACTGAAGTGCACTGCTGAGGGGAATAGCGGGCAAGACAGGAGAGGTCTGCTGCTCCTTGGTCGGCTGGGGGATGGAACTCGTGCTGCAGAGGCTGCAGAGGCCGCAGAGGCTGCGGACAGCTTCATAGGTTGCCTCTTAACCCCATGTGCCACCAGGGAGGCCCTCAGATAACTATTAGAGTGGCTTTTCAGCTAATCCTATAATGTTTCCTGGAAGTCAGTTTTGACTTGTTTTTTAAGCAGCAGTAGTGGTGTGATGGTTGGAAGTTTAGACTCTGAAGCAAGACTACTTAGGCTTGAATTTTAAATCTTAAATTATTTTATAATACATATTTACTAAGGGCTCATATGCAGGTTCCTGGACTCCACATTGTGGGGGCTGTAAAATGGTGTTTTTGGTGGTGGAAGAGAAGTAGCAAGGAGGAAGGAGAAAAAGGAAAGTGTCTACTTATGAATAGGGTCATGAATCCAAAGCCTTTGGACTCTCGTTTTAAAAGAAAAGTGCTCTGCACAGGGGAAAGGCACTCCATGTATGAACAGATTGGGGTTTGGAAAGATGTTACAAGCCAGTGTGATTTCTTGTTTTAATAGGCAGATTTTTCTATCATGGCAAAGTTGACATTATCAAAATATTAATGAAATAGTGGTGTCCATTGCACCACATTATGAATGTACTGAAATACCACTGAACTGTACCCTTTAAAATGACTCAGATGGTAAATTTTATGTTCTGTTGTAATTTACCACAGTTTAAAACAGTTGAGACCAATAAATAGTTGGATGTGATAGACATTGGTATGATAATCTGACTTCTCTGAATAACATCATTTAGAAGAGACTGGCATAGGGAAGAGATTGATGTCAGTGACATAATGAGAAAGTCTGCTGAAGTACAGAGCAAGGAAAAATGGTATAAGTATGACTAACAGACAGCAGGAAGTCTGGGTAATGAAGGTAAAGAGAATAAATTAAGATTTGCTACATGTGAGACCCAGAGCATCGAGGATGTTAAAATAAAATAGGAAACAAAATCATTTACAATAGGATTGTAAAATAGGGCCTCCCCGGTGGCGCAGCGGTTGAGCGCTGGGCTGTGAAGCTGCCCTAAAGCCTCTGCAGCATCGGTTTGATCCCTGGCCGCCGGCGAGGGTCCCACATGGCACTCAGAACTCTCCTGCCACCCGCTGCTCCCCTCAGCAGTGTACTTCATCGGTCTGCCTGTTCTGTTCCCTGCTCTGGCTCTGGTGAATCCTCTCACCCTCCCGCGCTTCTGACTGTACCCAGTGCTTATATAAAAAATAAAAAAAAAATAGAATTTTAAAATATTTAGTGAGGTACATTGGTTTATAACATTATGTAAGTTTCTGCTGTACAGCTTTAAAATTCAACATCTGTATTTACATCATGATCATCACCAATCTGTAAAAATTTGTTGATTCTTCATATTCCTCATATGAATGAAATCATAAGTATTTGTCTTTCTCCATTTGACTTATTTTACTTAGAAAAATCCTTGTACATTGTTGGTGGGCTTGTGGACTGTTACAACCCCAATGGAAAACATTATAGAGGGTCTCTCTGGTAGTGCAGGGGTTAAAGTCTTAGCTATCACCAGTGTGTCAAACTATCACCAGCCACTATGGCATGAGTTCAATCCCTGGCCAGGGAGCTAACCCGCATATGGTGCAGCAGACCTCTCCTGTCTTGCCCGCTGCTCCCCTCAGCAGTATATTTCAGTAGATCTGCCTGTTCTGCTCCCCACTCTGTCTCTGGTGAATCCTCTCACTCCCCCACGTCCATACCTCTGACCTAGACCCCAGTTCTTTTATGCATAAATAAATAAAAAAAATCTGTAAAAAGAAAACATTATGGAGATTTCTCAAAATATTAAAAATAGATCTGCCACATAATCCAACAGTTCCACTCCTTGGTGTCCATCTGAAGAATATAAAACACTAATTTGAAGGGATATATACACTCCCATGTTTGTTGCAGCACTATTTACAATAGCCAAGTTATAGAAACAACCTTTGTGCTTAATAATAGATGAGTGGATTATGAAGATTTGGTGTATATACGCAAAGGAATTTTACTGAGCTATAAAAGAAGATGAAAGCTTATCATTTGTGACAACATGAATGGAGCTGGTAGGGATTATGCTAAATAAAATAAATCAGGAGAAAGACAAATACCAAATGGTTTTAACTCATGGAATATAAAGAAACAAAACAAAGACACAGACTAAACTAAAGTAAAATCTAGAAATCTAACTGTAGAATTGAAGCTACTAGAGGGGTATAGTGGGGGAGGGGCTCAGTGGACTATGGTGGAGGATTTATGGGTACTTTGGTGACAAGCATGGGGTGATAACAAACATCTGGAGAGTTGTAAACCTATACCTTAAATCATACAGTGTTGTAAACCATTGTTAAAATTAAAAAAAGATATATTTTTAAAAATAATAAAAAAATAAAATCTTAAAAATTAAGAATATCATAAGATCCAGCTACTTCTTGCTATTTATCAAAAATATATGAAAATAATAATTTGTAAAGATTTGTGCACCCTTATGTTCACTGCAGCATTATTACAGTAGCCAAGATACAGAAACAACTTAAGTGTCCATTGATGAATGAATGAAGATAAGGCATGCAATGGAATACTATTGAACTACAAAAAAAGATGAAACTTTGCCATTTTTGAAAACATTGGGGGGGGATTATACTAGGGTTTAAGGAGGAGTTTTGAACTTTATTTTTAATTTTAACATTGGGTGGTAAATTCTGTGTTCTACAATCCATAGGTGGTAATCGCCAAATCTCAAAAATTCCTGCTAGTTTTTCAGACTTGCGTATCTTGTAAGCTTGAATGTTAAATGTTTAGTGGAAAGAGAAGATCAAAATGTGTGAATAGTCTATATTTGAATATTTGAGATAAGTATATTATCATTCTTAGCAAATTTTCTTAAGAATTTGTGGTGTTGGCTCTTTTTTTCCAGTTACCATTTCCTCTAGCAAGTCCACCAATCATGAAAGAAAATCAACACTAACCCCTACCCAAAGGGAGAGTATACCAGCGAAGTCTCCAGTACCTGGGGTGGACCCTGTAGTAAGCCATAGCCCTTTTGATCCCCATCACAGGGGAAGCACTGCAGGAGAGGTTTATCGGAGCCATCTTCCCACACATTTGGACCCAGCCATGCCGTTTCACAGGGCTCTGGATCCTGGTAAGAAGAGTGATTAATTAGGCAAAGAAATAATATACCTGTGTGACTTTTAAAAACTTATTATATTTCTATTTTCTATTCATTAAAATACAATATGTAGACAATTGCACATATCATTAGCATACAGTACAGTGATTTTTCACAAACTGCACACACCTATGTTACCAACTTAAATCAAGAAACAAATTACTTACCAACTGAAAATAATAGATGAAAAGCCCTCTTATCTGATAGCATTTAATTAAAGTAATTGAAAAAGTGGGTTGATGTGAAGAATTTTTCAATGAAACAGGCATACCTTAAATATTTCAATTTACAACAATGACATTCATTTACTGGTATTCTGACCTAAGACCAAGATCCACAAACTAAAGCTCACCATGTCCTTTTTTATTTAAATAATACATTTTTAGGTTTGGGTATTTAAGTGAAGCTAGAATTTGAAGATACCTTGAAGCAATTTAATCTAAAATCCTTTTAGATTTTTTCCTACTCTTAAAATTGTATAGTCCAGCCTGATACAACAACTTTCTTCCGAAGCAGTCACCTTAGTTTTCAAAGAAACCACTCTTCATTCTTCTTTTATTGATTTATAGACTATTTCATTAGTAACTATTACACAGTTACTTCTGGAAGAAACTTTTGAAACAACTACCGATTCTGGGTAAATAGCCTGATGTTGCAGAAGTACATGGGTTTACCAGAGAGCAGCTTGTACTGGGTGCATGGCAGCACGCCTGCGGGGCCGCAGGGCAGTGTGCTCTAGAAAGGGAGAGAGCAGAGCTGTCAGCAGATTGGTGGGGTCTCTGCTGGGCTCTTGTGACCACCTGCTGTGCTGGCTCTGCCTGTCCTTCCACATCCTAGTCCCTACTTCTCTTGCACATTAAACCCACTCAAATGTCATGTTTTCTTTCCATACCTCTTCTCCATCCTGATCTGCTGGCTTATTACATCCTTCAAGCTAAAGTTGGGATACAGAACACTTGTATTCACCATGGTCCTGAGGGAAACATTTCATTATAAGCATGCCAAATTAGAAAGCTGTTTTCTAAGGGTTATTTACATTTCATATTAGCAAGGTGCTTATAGAAAACATTTTATCTAAAAACTATGTTAGTGCCTTCAAATTATTTGTCACTTAAGAACATTAAGTTTTAGTGCGTCCCTGGTGGCCTAAGGGTTAAGACTCAGCGCTATCACCACTACAGCCTGAGTTTGATCCCCAGCCAGAGACCTAACCCACATATGGTGCAGCAGACCTCTCCTGTAGAGCCTGCTGCTCTCCTTAGCAGTGTATTTCAGTAATTCTGCCTGCTCCCCACTCTCTCTGGTGAATTCCTTCACCCTCTGCACCTCTGGCCTACACCCCAGTTCTTCTACAAGATAAATATTTTTTAAAAATTAAAAAATAAAAAGAATAAGTTTTAGAGGCGCCTAGTTCATCAGACTGTCTCTCAGAACTAGAAGTACCCAGAGGTACTCAGAGTTGGCTCTCAGACTCACTTGGCTGGGAGTTCTAGATGGAGAAGAAAACATTCCAGGAAACTTGTCAATTTGTTTTTCTAGGGAGAATATGTAATAAATATCTTAGTTCACTCAGATCAAATTATACTTCAGTGTTTACCATCATTCTTTCTTAATTTATAGAAGTTTCATTTGCTTGTCATTTTTGAGCCTCAGCTGGATTATACATGTTTTGAGGCTAAAAACTTTATTTCCTATTTTTGACCATATCTCCCTTTTCCCAGCATCTTGTATTATGAGCTTTTTGCAGTGGCCAACTTTTGACTTGGGAGTGAAATTCTTCTGCTGCCTGTTTCTGTAAAGTTTCATTACATCTAGGCCATACCGATTTGTTGAGGGTCTATCTGTGCCTGCCTTCACCCTACCATGACAGACTTGGAATTGCTGTATGATCCGCAAAGCCTAACATATCTACCATCTGGCTCTTATACAAAAAGTTTGCTCATCTCCTTTCCCTTTATAGAGCATTCATCAAATGCTTACATACCAATCATTTTTACCACCAGGAAAGTAAAGGCACTATTTGTCACAATATGTATTCACATGTTTTCCATTTGGATGTGTTGAATGATCATTACTACAAAAATGATTTTATTTTCAAACACAGTGTTTGGAGATTTCAGGTGAATATATAATAGTTACATGGCAAAGACAGAAAGTGAAACTATTGGCAATTTTAAAGCTGCTGTTCAGTTGTTAGAAATGTTAATAACCATTTTGTCTAGTTTCTTTTCCCCCTTTCTATTACGTCTGACATTAGAATGTTTATAATCACATTGCTGATATATCAAGGTCTGTGATGAATCCACCCTAATCTCTGTAGCACCCCTCCCCACACTAAATAAAAGTTGCATGTGTACATTAGTTTAGCAGATGGTGTTTTCCCTTACTCTTTATATCAGTGATATTTAGCAAGTGAATTTTACTCAGACTAAATGCCTTTCTTTCATTCTCTCAATTAGCAGCTGCTGCTTACCTGTTTCAGAGACAGCTTTCACCAACTCCAGGTTACCCAAGTCAGTATCAGCTTTATGCAATGGAGAACACAAGGCAGACAATCCTAAATGATTACATTACCTCTCAGCAAATGCAGGTGAACTTGCGCCCAGATGTGGCCAGAGGGCTCTCTCCACGGGAGCAGCAGCTGGGCCTCCCATATCCAGCAACAAGAGGTATGTATCTTTGTAGTTCAGATTTCATAGAATTTATTATGTATATCCAAAATTTCTTAGGTACTAAATAAATATTTGTTGAATAAATGGTAGAAAGAAAGAGAAGGCAGCCATAGCCTTGTCTATATAGCCTTTATCCCTTGAGGGCAAGCATTGTAATGTATTGAGACAAGGGTGTCTTGGTAAATACTATAATACTACACCAAATCAGTGTGTCAGATATTTATAATCAGTGTTTTATCAAATTGTTGTCTCTCTTTAATCTGTCCATAATTTAGTTGCTAGTATGAGCTTTAGTATTTCCTATCCTTCCCTAGAAGGATTTAGAGAAAGATTTACAAAGTAATGATTATCTTTTTTTATTTATACTCTACACAAGTTATCATTAGGTTATAGAGATTAAAAAGCCATTTGTAGTCGTGTATTTATAATAGTGCTTAAATTTAACTTTATTTTATTGCATTTGTTTTTTTGAGCAGGAATCATTGATCTGACCAATATGCCTCCAGCAATTTTAGTGCCTCATCCAGGGGGAACAAGTACTCCTCCCATGGACAGAATCACTTATATTCCTGGTACACAGATTGCTTTCCCGCCCAGGCCATACAACTCTGCTTCTATGTCTCCAGGTAAGAGTCTGCAGTCATACATCTCTCTGATATGAACAATGTGCTCCAGTGTTTATAGCATAACCATTGATACAGGCAGTCTTTTCTATTTGGTATGCTGTTCTTTATTTAACAGTAATAATTCCTATATGCCATCTGTCACTAGACCCTGCCTAAAAGCTTGTTTTATAACAAGCTTGTTTTATAACTTGTCATATAACACTCTTAATGAAAAAACTTCCTACATCTGAAATTTGGAGCATTTTCATCTTTAAGTTGTAGATACATATTTGTCTTTTACAGGACATTCAACACACCTGGCAGCAGCTGCCAGTGCTGAAAGAGAACGTGAAAGGGAGCGGGAGCGGGAACGGGAACGGGAGAAGGAGCGGGAGAGGGAGCGGGAACGCATTGCTGCAGCATCCTCAGACCTCTACCTTCGGCCAGGTGAGTGCCATGGCTTTATTCATTTTTTATTTTTTTGTTTAAAGATTTATTTATTTATACAAGAACTGGGGTACAGTCAGAGGCTCAGGAGGGTGAGAGGATTCACCAGAGACAGAGCGTGGAGCAGAACAGGCAGATTGACTGAAATACACTGCTGAGGGGAGCAGCAGGCAAGACAGGAGAGGTCTGCCGCGCCAGATGGATATCTCCCTGGCCGGCTGGGAATCAAACCCACGCTGCAGAGGCTGTGGACAGCTTCATAGCGCTGCGCTCAACCCGCTGCGCCACTGAGGAGGCCCGTTATTCATTTTTTAGATGTATCTTGGTAATCTAGTATGATGGAACACTGTGCTTCATATTTAGGGTATGCCACCATGATTTTATAAGAATTATAAGACAAAAATTAATTACATGCCATAAGTGAAATACAGGTAAAAGATACTATAGAAACCAGTCTTAAGTAGTAACATGGTTTCCATGGTGAAGTTAGTGTTTTGATTTGGCTACTGTTGTTGGCTGCAGTTGGGCCTAAATATGCTTAATGCAGAGATCAGTAAAACTGAAAGCAGCCCAAGCAGAAGTTCACTGATATGAAGACTCATGTTATTGCACCAGAGAAATGGAAAATACATTTGGAAGTTTGTGTGGCATTTTGAATTACAAGTAAAGTGTTGCCTTTTAGTTTAGGAGGCAGATAACATGATCAGAGGGGCATCTGTACCAGGGAGCATGAGGTGGGTTGGTACCCTGACAGTGGGCAGGGTCGGTAGCAGGATAGTAAGACCATGTCACTATTTCCTGTGCATGCCAGTGACAACCTGAGATATGTTGACACTGGAATGGCAGAAAGGTCCTGCTTGAAAGAGTATTGTTAAGGTAAAATCAAAAGGACTTAACTATAACTAGATGTGGGGAATGGAGAAGAAATGGAAACAAAATTGGTCATCATCTGAGATAGAGCAGGGATAGTAAGGACAAAGAGATGATTTTTATTTGGATATGCTTAATTTGATATGTCTTTGAAACATCTGTCCTCATCCCTGGTATACTTGTTTTTTTATATTGTTTCCATCAATGATTCAAACCATTTACCATGTCCATTTTGTCAGATATATAAATCTTACAGTTAAGAGAAATGGCAGAACTTGAAATGGTGACTTGGGAGACATCTGTATGAGATGAAATTCTGGCTTGAATGAGATTTCCAAGGGGCAAGTGTGTGAAGAGAGTAGATCAATTCTTAGATGTTACAGATGGTGGCAAAAGGAACTAGAGACATGGTCGGAGAGGTAGATGCACAACACAAGGGCATATTGTAAGGAGGTCATCATATTCCTATGTTCGTAGGAGATAAACTGAGTATGAGTGATGTAGAACTTTGGTGGGAACCAGATTTTAAAAATGATTGTGATCCCACTTATGAACAGCATGTATAATTAAGACAATACCATTTTCCTCCATTGGGCATTCACAAAATTGATTTAATATTCTGTTAGCGTGTTAGCGAATACAGTGTTTCTTCAGTGGCAGTGTAAATCGAGATAGCCTTTTAGGAGATACAGAAATTTAAATAGTTATACTTCTAGGAATATGCACTCTAGAAACAATTCATATAAGCTGATGTATGGTCAAGAGAGAAAATTGCTGGAAAGGCTGCCCTAGGTGGTCCTGCTTTGGAGATAAGGGTATGTGATGGAACTGCTAGCTCTTATTAGGGCAAAGAACAACTTAGGAGTGAGGACATAGAACAAGAGGCTGTGGAGAAGAAAATGATTAGAGAGGGAATGTGAGAATTTGAGATCATCATAGTAAATTAACTTTGACCAAGTCAAGTTCAAGTTGTGACTTTGTTATAGAAGAAAGAAGATTAAGTGACCAAAAACATCTCAAATATTGAAGAAGTATATAGTTAATGAAACTAAGCTTTTGTGGAAGACAGTGGGAATGCCTTCATCTCAAAACAGCTTGCTGAGAAAAACAGCTATGGAGTGCAGTAAAGGAATGGAGCTGGAACAACTGATGGAATGAAACAGCTTTGAATCCTAGCATTGCCATAGCGGGCGGCAGGAGAGGTCTGTGCCCCATGTGGGACCCTCGCCAGCAGCCGGGGATCAAACCGGCGCTGCAGAGGCTAGTGGGCAGCTTCGCAGCCCAGCTCAACTGCTGCGCCACCCGGGAGGCCCTGCCATAGCATATTATTTTCATTATTATACCAAGTTTGATTTGGAAATGATAAGCACACCAGAATTTGAGAAAAAAATCTGAGATGAAATTTCTGACTTATATTAGTACTTCATTATTGGTGTTACTTTTGTTTCTAGAATCATGGCACAAACAATGGAAATGACAGTAATAGCTAATGTTTTTGTTTTAAATTATCAGAGTGGTTTTATTGCATTTTTATAAAACTTTTTTAGAACATATTACTAAATGGCCACAAAGTGGGATGTCAAGTTGCTGATCTCATTTTCCTATTTAGGATTATTGGGAAATTAATCCCTAAATGTTGCTGTCTTTAGCTCCTTTTTTTCCTTGGCCCTTGTAGGCTCAGAACAACCCGGCAGACCTGGCAGTCATGGTTATGTTCGCTCCCCATCCCCTTCAGTAAGAGCTCAGGAGACCATATTGCAGCAAAGACCCAGTGTTTTCCAGGGAACCAATGGAACCAGTGTAATCACCCCTTTGGATCCAAGTGCTCAGCTACGTATCATGTAAGTGTCTTATATACATTTTGTCTAAAAAAAAAAAAAAGCCAGTCTCCTGTATACAGTTTTAAATTCATGACTGTAATAGTCTAGTAATGATTTTATACCTGCTCAACTTTTTTTGGTTTTGTTTTTTTGCAGTTTGTCCTTTTCATCTCCCCACCACTCCTTACCCCGTCCCAATAAAGAACCCCCCCTTCACAGAGTTGTGATTTGGTTTTATTTACAGGCCGTTGCCTGCTGGGGGCCCTTCAATAAGTCAAGGCCTGCCAGCCTCCCGTTACAACACTGCTGCGGATGCCCTGGCTGCTCTTGTGGATGCTGCAGCTTCTGCCCCCCAGATGGATGTTTCCAAAACAAAAGAGAGTAAGCATGAAGCTGCCAGGTTAGAAGAAAATTTGAGAAGCAGGTCAGCAGCAGTTAGTGAACAACAGCAGCTAGAGCAGAAAACCATGGAGGTGGACAAGAGATCTGTTCAGTGTCTGTACACTTCTTCAGCCTTTCCAAGTGGCAAGCCCCAGCCTCATTCTTCAGTAGTTTATTCTGAGGCTGGGAAAGATAAAGGGCCTCCTCCAAAATCCAGATATGAGGAAGAGCTAAGGACCCGAGGGAAGACTACCATTACAGCAGCTAACTTCATAGACGTGATCATCACCCGGCAAATTGCCTCGGACAAGGATGCAAGGGAACGTGGCTCTCAAAGTTCAGACTCTTCTAGTAGCTGTATGTATCTCAATCTGAGTTTCGCAATGTGATATCCAAGTAAAGAATTACTTTATTCTTTAGGTAAAGCAGAACTATATGGTATAAAAAAAATCCTAATCATGATAGTAAATGTTAATAGAAGAGGATTTGTGGGTTAATAGTACAAAAATGTCTCTTCTACTATTTTTATGATTATTGAAATACCAGAGTTTATCAATGTATTTTCCTTGGGAAAACTATGCCCTTATAGAGTTAAAGTTGGAATGCAGATAGAGGACAAGGCTCATTAACATTTTCAGGCATTTGAAAGGTGACAGAAATACCATCAAGCTCTGTACTACTAAGGCCTGACTTCTCAAAGTGTTTTTTGGAATGTGGTTCAATAACCACCTAAGGTTACCCCCAAACCCCTTATGTCCTTTTTCAAAAATACAGATTTTTAAAAAGTGAGACCGCTATTATTCGTAATTTGTTTTTGCATCGCCCCTTTCTTATGAATTGGATTTTGATCAAGTCTAGTCAGTCACTGTGACATCCACCCTAAGTCTAGGAATTCACAAATCTATATACAGTATAAAAGCCAGAAGTTACTTTAAATTTATTTTTAATTATTGCCTAAATTCTATGTAGTATTCCCAAAGGAACAAATAGGTATTTAAACAAGTATCTACTAATATCTGAAGTAATTTAATCACATGTTGTCACCTCTGTTTTCATTAATAAAATTGAATAATTATAATGAAAAAGTGATTTCTTGTCCAGCCAGCCTGCAACATGCAATTCTTTTTATCCCTGAGCATCCCTTTGCCTAATCATAATTTGTTTCAGTAAAAACCTAACCCATTGGTGAGGGTTTTTGAAGAAAAGGAGGCAGCTTCTGTTGTGTAGTCAGGACTTCCATTTAGCCTGGGATTAGGAAAATCCATGAAATATGTATTATGCACTAGGAAAATTGCTAGCTGAGAAAGATCATATTTATATGAATATGCCTTTGAAGGGAAGTCACCAGCACAGCTGCTGACCCAACCTGTAGCTTAATGAATGCTGTAGCAAAATCCCCTAACCTATAGATAACACTACAGATTGCATCACAAACTTAACTAAAACCTTGCTCCAGGAATTCACTTTCAGAAGATCTCAAAATAGCAAGCCTAGTCTTTTCTGAGTGTTCATGTTTCTGAATGTGGTTCGTTATTTATTACCGGGTAAATTACTTGTGTGAAGCCCATTGGATATTGATGGTTATTCAGTGTGGTTTTCACCTTTCCCATAGAATTGATTTCAAGAGCATTGTGAACACAAGTTAGTATTAGACTTTCTATTGGTTGTATGTTGAATTTTTTTTTTTAAAAGACTTTTTTTTTTTTTTAAAGATTTATTTTTATTTATTTATACAAGCACTGGGTACAGTCAGAAGCATGGGAGGGTGAGAGAATTCACCAGAGCCAGAGCGGGGAGCAGAGCAGGCAGAAGGACCGAAGCACACCGCTGAGGGGAGCAGCGGGCGACAGGAGAGTCTGCGCGCCTTGTGGGACCCTCCTCCGGTGGCCGGGGAGCAGCCGGGGATCAAACCGGCGCTGCAGAGGCTGCGGGCAGCTTCGCAACCCAGCGCTCAACCGCTGCGCCACCGGGGAGGCCCTGCATGTTGAATTTAACAGGCAGATTTATGATGTCTGGTATACGAAGTGATGACACAAAAGATGTACCGATGGATAAAAAAGTAGCAAATTAGCATAAGTTGCTTTGAATATAGTGGCTTATTTCAATTTCTGGTTTTAGTTCCCTCCAAAAAGATTATTTCCATCCCAATTATCAGATTTCTGTCCTCCTGAATGTATGAGAATCTAAGTAACTGCTATTTCCATTAACTTGGTGGATGGTAGGGGGGAAAGGCTGTTTAGCTGAGTTCCAGAGGAATGGTTGGTGAGAGAGTTCAGTCCCACCTTCTATACTTGTGTCCAGGATCTATCAGTTGATCACACTTTCTAATCTAGGTGGTGTTATATACTCTGTGGACCACTGACAGTTTTCTCAGATTCTTTGGTGCAGCCTGTAAATGCAAAGGGCATTGTAAAGCCAGAAGGTTCCTGAGCAGGTGGTTACATCTGCCTCTTCCCCATTCTCAGTGCCAAGGCCAGCATAGGATTGGCAAAAGCTGCCTGTACCCCTACTGCTAGAAACTATTTCCTTGTGCAACCTTCTTTTCTGTCAATAGAGTGAATTTGCTTCCCTTGCCCATTTCTTACTATTTCTGTTTATTTTCACAATGTAGCATGATGCTAAAATATAATTTCATTTTTGTCAGCAATACTTGTTATTTGAGAAAGTATTAATGTTGCTTAATGTACATACAGATTTAAAATCATCATGGTAGCAAAGCATCTCTATAGCCTCAAAGTTTTTCTTAAAGCTGACTCCAGAATTGATATTTTTTGAAATAATGAATTGTTGAGATTTACTCTCTTATTTGCTTAAATTTCTTCTAATGAAGGCTTTCCTGGTGATTTTCTTTTCCAGCTCCTAGGAGAAATGTCACAAGGCTGTTCTCTATTCTGTCTTATCAAAAGGTCATAGAGCCCCCAAATTTCAGAAAACTATATCCTATTGTGATTAGGAACACAGAGGAAGTGCCTGTGGGCCTTTTGCTATCAGTCCAATTGAATTTATTTTTATTTACCCGGGGTACCATTGAATATTTCTGAGACTAAAAAATGAAACTATGCAAATAGGTTTGAAGATCTTAGCCTTTTGAAATTTTTCATGGGATTAATTTTAAAATAAAACTCTTTTCTTTTCTTAAAGTATCTTCTCACCGGTATGAAACAACTGGTGATGCAATTGAGGTGATAAGCCCTGCCAGTTCACCTGCACCACCACCTCAGGAAAAACTACAGGCCTATCAACCAGAAGTTAAAGCAAATCAAGCAGAAAGTACGTCATTTTAGCCACCAGTTTGCATGTTTTTGTAATGGCATTTATCATGTTTTCAGTTCTCTGTCCTGACTGTATTAAATAATTAACTTGTTAGTTTTGTTTTAGAACAACCCTATGATTCTGCTTTAGAAACATGTACAATTGCACTAATGAAAAACTACTTCTAAGCTATTATTGATTACTCTTATTTATAATGATACAAAAAGTAGTTGATATAAATTATATTGCCACCTTAAACATTATATTCTATATTAGCACTTTGATTTTTATCAGTGAATAAATATCTTCAGAATTAAGATAGATGAATCCTGTATTTAGGGATATTTAACATTCCTTTTGTGTGTTCTCCTAGATTATATTTAATCTTTAATCAGTGAAAGTTGGGGACATCTCTGGAAAGAGACATTTATTTATCTGTCTTCTCTCAGATGATGCCACCAGACAGTACGAAGGACCATTGCATCACTATCGACCACAGCAGGAATCGCCATCTCCACAACAGCAGCTGCCTCCATCATCCCAGGCAGAGGGGGTGGGGCAAGTGCCCAGAACACATCGACTCATCACACTTGCTGATCACATCTGTGTAAGTTTTTCTTTATTCTTAGTTTTTTCTTTTTTTAATGATGCAGAAAGCACACTTCATAGAATCACAATAAAGACATCTAGATTTTTTTCATGCTTCATTTTTGCAAGTACTCAGTGGATTTAACCACTTATTTTTCTCATTCACAGCAAATTATCACACAAGATTTTGCTAGAAATCAAGTATCCTCACAGCCTCCCCAGCAGCCTCCCACTTCTACATTCCAGAATTCACCATCTGCTTTGGTGTCTACACCTGTGAGGAATAAAACATCAAATCGTTATAGCCCAGAATCTCAGTCACAAACTGTCCACCATCAAAGACCAGGTTCAAGAGTCTCTCCAGAAAATCTTGTCGACAAATCTAGGGGAAGGTATGGTCTTTCTCTCAAACCATATGTAGATTTCCCAATAGTAAAACAATTTGAATTTATAAGATAGGATATTCAATTTTCATACCTTGAGTTTATTTGCCATTTCTCTGCATACTATTTTTCTGTATATTATTCTTGGAAAGTTCTTACTCTGAGCATTCATTAATGTGTACTCAAAAGTTGATTGCTACATCCTGTTTGTGGGTTTTCATAGACAGAAAAAAATGTATAATTTGGTATAAATACAATTTTGAGTGGTTATTCAGAATCATAAAAATGTTTTTTCCCTCTCATTGATTTCTATTGAATCATCAGCACTAGCTGTTTAGGAAAGTGATGTTAAATAGTAAAGTGAGACTAATAGAGGGAGCACAAGAAGAAACCCCTTCTATGTGGCAGGGCATGTGGTAAAGACTATTCTTATCTGATGTTCTGTATGTGGATTTTAAAAAATAGAGGCAGGGTTTTTGGTTCAAGGTGGGAGACTAATCATTAGCACATATTAAATTATATAGAAAAGCAGCACAAACATTCATAAAATTTATTAAAATGCTTAGAGCAAGACTAGGATACTGGCTGGTCAAAGATTCTGGCAAACACCTGAAGACACAATGGATGGATGAAGTAGAGTAGGGGAAACCGTAATTGAGGGCATGAAATAGAGAAGCTTATAGTTGAGTTGATTCTCTACCTACCAACCCCTCAAAGTTTGCAAAGAACTGATGCAAGGTAATAATATAAGAAGCTGTATGTTCTTCATTAAAAAAAAAAAAAAAAAAAAAACCCGTGTATTTTTCAACTGTTTACAGGAGTAGAGAGAACAGTGTCATATGCCTCTGTGTGTCCAACACCAGCTTTGGTAATCAACACATAGCCAGTTTTGATTTTTATCCCCATCTGCCCCACTCCCAAACTGGATTATCTGAAGAATATCAGACATAACCAATTCAAGGAGCTAGATGCTCTAAAGAAATAAGATGAAAACATGTTTATTCTCTTTTAACCAAAAAAGAAAATTCAATTAGAAGTACAAAAGTTGGACAGCAGAGGCATGGCCCATTCCTGATACAAAATACTTTTTAGCAGATTTTGAGTAATTGCTGTCATTTATGAAAAGAAAATGCATTAGTCTTTTTCACTTATACTTTACACATTACTACATCTGTGCATTAATTGAAGAATATTGTATGTCTTTCATTGGATTTAGTTAAATTACCTGGCATTATAGCTTAAAGTGTTCATGTAATATAGTGATCTCAATCTATGAACAAAACACAGTAGTTATTCTATAATTCTAGAACAGAATGTAAATCACATAAAAATGGTTAACAGATACTGGGAAGGGGGCAAGGAAAAGGGTTTATATGCTCATTTCATTTTTAATTAAAAGTGAAATATGTAAAGTTAAAATAGACAAACTAAAGATTAATATTAAGTAGGCAACAGCATAGAAATAGTCATGTTTCTTCATCTGTCATGGAAGGGAGTTGCTAGACTGTTTTAAGTTTAATAAGTCAAGAAATAAAGATTAGAGTTTTAGAGGCAACACCAGAGAACTAAAAGAAAAATGGCCACCTCAGAACTGGATGGTGTTGACTGGGAAAGGAAATATATTAACCACCCTCCCCATATATGTTCATATATAGTAATAGTAATGAAAGCAAATATTTAAGGTTATGTATAGTTGCTAAGTCAAAACTATTTTTGGTTGAATGTGTTTATCTCACATTATCCTTACCAAGATAGTATCCAGAGGAAAAATATTAAATTGCAGAGAACTGCTCATTCCTAAATGGTACAACTCAAGCCTATCTTGACTTGCCTGAACTCCTCAGGTTCCAGTTTAGTACTCAAGTCCTTTATTTGTAACTTAATGGGAAAAACGTGGTAAGTCGTGACTCAAAGTCAGCATTAAAATCCTTGAAGGCTTTTAATGTGGCAGGGCTGCCAAGGGTAAGATGGTGGGACCGGATGCTAGAGCACACAGTGACCTCTTGAGGAGCCTTCCCTGCTGCCTGTCTGTGATGAGGCTCCCAGATCTGCTGGGCAGGCACAGATGAAACAATGACGACAGAATATTTTTTGATAACTGGGTATATTGTGAATACCTGATGCAATTCTTTCTGATCTTAATTTGCAACTTTGATTCCTTCCCCTGAATGAAATAATGATTTAGCCAATTTCTGTTTAGGATAATTTGCAAGTGAACCCTAGGAGCACAATCTAATATTTTGTATGTATGCTATTAGGCCTGGAAAATCCCCTGAGAGAAGTCACGTCTCCTCGGAGCCCTATGAGCCCATATCCCCACCGCAGGTGCCAGCTGTGCATGAGAAACAGGACAGCGTGCTGCTGCTGTCTCAGAGAGGAGCCGAAGCTGCAGAACAGAGGTAAGGCGTGAGCCCCTCCTGCCACACAGTTCCATGTGCGCACTTGCTGCCTGTCAGTTTTTGTTAATTCAGTCCCTTTTCTCCTCCGGTTATCTCAGAATAGGAATCCAAGAGGATCATTTAGTTTAGTTTCTTAGGGACTGAATGCCAGTAGATAGTAATGAAAAAACCTGATTTTTTTTTTTTTTTTTTGCTTATTTCTTGTTGCATTTTTTTATTTTTTATTTTAACATCATTTAAAAAAAATTTTAGACAATATTTGCTTCCCCCCACCCCCTCAGATTGAGTCCCCATAGAATTTCCTTCCCCAAGGCACCCATGCACCATCCCACAGTCCCCTGTGCTCCTCCCTCCCTCCCTCTCACTCCTCTCCCTCCTCCTCCCCTGCAGGATGTCTCTGGTTTATAATTGTCTGCTTTTGCTTTGTTGTGTTTTGTACTGTTGTTATTTTTTTACACTGGTGTCTTATTTGGTTCCCCTATATTCCTGCTATAAGTGAAACCATCGATATTTTTCTTTTTCCTTCTGGCTTATTTCACTGAGCATAATTCCTTCTAGCTCCATCCACGTTGCTGCGAATGGCACGAGTTTATCTTTTTTGATTGCTGAATAATATTCCATTGTGTATATATACCACACCTTCTTGATCCAGTCATCTATTTTTGGGCATCTGGGTTGTTTCCAGGTTTTACCTATTGTAAATAGTGCTGCAATAAACATAGGGGTACAGGTGCTCTTTTGAATCAATGTTTTTGTGTCCGTTGCGTAGATCCCTAGCAGTGGAATTGCCAGGTCATATGGTAGCTCCATTTTTAGTAGACTGAGGAACCTCCAGACAGCTTTCCACAATGGTTGGGCCAGTTTGCACTCCCACCAGCAATGTAGGAGAGTTCCTTTTTCACCACATCCTTGCCAACGTTTGTTGTTGTTTTTTTGATATGTGCCATTCTTACTGGTGTAAGGTGGTATCTCAGTGTGGTTTTGATTTGCATTTCCCTGATGATAAGGGATGTTGAACATTTTTTCATATGCCTGTTGGCCATTTGCATTTCCTCTTTGGAGAAATGTCTTTTGAGTTCTTCTGCCCATTTCTTGACTGGATTGTTTATTTTGTTTTTGTTGAGCCCTGTGAGTTCTTTGTTTATCTTTGTGATCAGTCCCTTATCACTTGAATGGAGTGCAAAGATTTTTCCCAATCAGTGGGGTGTCTGTTTTGGTTAATGTCTCTTTTGCTGTACAGAAGCTTTTCAGTTTGATGTAATCCCAGGTGTTTATCTTTGCCTTCACTATCCCTGCTTTGGGTAATGAGTCTTTAAGGATGTTTCTGAGATGTATGTCTTGGCATGTTTTACCAATATTTTCTTCTATATATTTTATGGTTTCAGGTCTTATGTCCAGTTCTTTTATCCATTTTGAGTTGATTTTTGTACACGGTGAGAGGTAGTGGTCTAGTTTCATTTTTTCACATGTGGAGGTCTAGTTTTCCCAGTAACCATTTATTGAACAAACTGTCCATGTTCCATTGCATATTCTTTGTTCCTTTGTCAAAGATTAGTTGTTCATATAAGTGCAGCTTTATTTCTGGGCTCTCTATCCGGTTCCATTGGTCTGTGTGTCTGTTTTTGTTCCAATACCAAACTGAAAAACTGTAATCTTTAAATAGATTGAAAAAAATATTCGTCATCCTTGAAATTAATTTGTTCTAGATATTTGTTAAAAACTTTTATCTGTGCGGACCCATCCATTTGCTATGTACCAGGAATTGTTGCCTGCATGTGAAAGGGAAGTAACGAACACCTGTGCTGAACTACTTCACATACTTTTTGTTCCTAACCCTATGAATCACTGGATTTTTATCTCCTTTGGATTAGATGCCTTTGGTTTAGTCGTCCCCAATCCACTTCCACCAGTGATTTGTCTAAAACTCATAAAGGATCAGTAGCAAGTCAGTAGCATGGCATTTGCATTCCTTCATGACTAGATTCACGCTGCTCATCTTCACTTTCTGCAACTTCACCCTTACAATTTATTGTCTGTCCTTATCAATTATTGTTCCCTGAATTCCTTTCAGTACATACTCAAGCTGTTTTCTTGATGTGGAACACCCTTCCTTCATGCTCTGAGAGGTGATACATCATTTGACCATAATCATACTGATACTAAGAAGGATAGTCCAGTTTTAAACCAAGGTGTATCTCACTACAAGCTGTTAGTGCATATCTTAACTAAGTTTTAAGTTGTTATTGTGTATATTCATAGGCAACCAAAGAGATGTTGGTACCTTACAATGAAATGAGGAGGAAAATCCATATTTGGGGAGGGAGCGATGTTAAATTTAATTATACACATGCATGTTTTCTGCTAAGTTCTTGAGTTTGAGGTCGGACACCAAGGTCTTACTGATTTGTTGAGTCATGAATGAATCCACGTGGCCAGATTAAGCTATTAGATTATCAGTAGTCTTCCATATGTTTATCATCATCATCTCTGGCTCTAGCTAGATTCTCAGTGGTCTTGAGCTATAGGGGAAATGTGTTTGTTAATATTTGTTAGTATAGAAAGCTGCCAATAAAACAAAGAACCCTTTATTTGAAACTCGGCTCAGGTGGTAGGAAGCTTGAAGTTATTCTGACAAATGGGCAGTTTCATTTTATGCATCATGGCTATTTTAAGTCCAGTTATTCATTGCGTAAGTGTGAATCTTGCTATCTTATAGGCATTTGAGCTACTAGAATTTTACTGTACTTCAGAGTAATTCTGCTAGTCAAATATCTGCCAGTACAGTTTATGTGGAAACCATAATTCTATCAGTGCTTGTGCTCTTAACAGCCAGCATCAGGATAAACTGTGAGTTTTCCCATTAACATCCATTTGCTGCTTGTTCATTCCTTATTAAGAATCTGCTCTAGATTATCTCCATTCCAACCCTAATTTTATGATTCCAGCTTGAGTGATAAAGTATTTGTGTCCTCAAATGACACATTAACCAGCTTATGGTCATTTATCATTCTGTAGGGATAATCAAGATAGGGAAGTGGTAGTTTTCCAGATATTCTCCAACTTTATTACCACTGACAGGGTCAGGAGTACATGGTGATAACAGACATAAATGTTTCCTAACAGGAATGATTCCCGCTCACCGGGGAGTATAAGCTACTTGCCTTCATTCTTCACCAAGCTTGAAAACACATCACCCATGGTTAAATCAAAGAAGCAGGAGATTTTTCGTAAGTTGAACTCCTCTGGTGGAGGTGACTCTGATATGGGTAAGTGGGATTTCCTTCACCCCAAATAAAACATGCATTAATATTATCTCCAGTGTTACCTGTCATGTAATCCTTGAGTTTGAAGGCTGCACTAGGCATCTGTCCAACCATATCTGAGTTCCTTCTGAAATATCTGCCAGTACATGAAGATTTCCTAATTAGGGAGTGGGAACCTACTACTTGCTGAAGCTGTCCATTTTCTCTTTGAACAAATGTTGGGTCTAGGAAAACTTTTTCTGATGTGTGGCACTGGATTAACTCCAGTTTTACTTGTTTTAGTTTAATTGATTTGGGCCCTCTCTGCATGAGCTCTCTTCAGATATCTAAAGACAGGTCATGTGTTTCAAGTTTATTGTCTCTATAAATGTCCCGCTTCATCAGTTGTGTATCACATGGTGGATGAACTCCTGTCATCCCAGTTGCTTTCCACTAAAAACATTTAATCTTTTAGTAGGTTCTGCATAGTGGTCAGTTCTGTATGTCTAAGATTGTTATTAGGATTTATTTTTGCAACCTACACTGGCATAGTGCACTAAGTCATAGTGCACTTATTAATAAGACTATCCATGCCAAGGTCTCTTTTCATGTGCTGCTCTTGATCTGTATCTTTACCTTCTGTAGTTTTGTAGTTACTGGTTCCAAGTGGAGGATAAGCAGTCTGTGCTTGTACCATTACAACTACTATTCCTATGTCTTTTCTGGATATCAGTTCAGACATTCAAGTCCAGATCTGATAAATCCACCATCTAAAAATATATCGTTACTAATGGTAGCAGTTATATGTAGCACTTACTATTCTAAACACACAGATATGAATGCATAAATCTTAACAACAGACACACCACATAGCATAATTCTCTGCGGCAACTGAGATTCAGAGAGGTTTAATAATTGTTGCAAGTTACAGAGCTAGCTAAGTAATGTGGCTCTAACTCCAAAGTCCATGCTTCTAATGATATACTGATTTTTCATAGCTCTGTACTCAGTGTCAGCACCCAGATTACTGGTAAATATACAGTAAGATAAGCTCTCTGACATCCAAGCCTTTCCTTTCAGTTGATATGCATGCTTAATGGAACCCCTCTCGCACTGATGTCCAGCTTATTCACTCCTATTATCACCCAGTCTTACTCATGCATCTTTCCCTCAAGTATATCCAGTGAAACAGAGAGACTGTGTTGGATGCTTTCAGAAAACTGGGATTACCACAGTTTGCTTTATTTCTGTCATCTATGGTGTATTATTAGTCGCCTGACCCTGTCAAAAGAAAATAAATTGTAGGCTATTTAACTTGTATTTAAATTGTAGGCTATTTAATAAATTGTAGGCTATTGATGTGTCTTTGAATTAGGGACACTGTGATTAATGAATGTTGAGCAGCAAAAAAAAAAAAAAGGATGAGCCCACTGTCATTTATTGTTTGTGAACTTAACGTAGCTCTGAATTACTAGATTATCTTTTTAAGTGGGAACAAATCAGCTAAAAGATAAATATTAGAATGCTGACCAGAATTGCCATTGGGCTTACACACATCCTCTCTTCTTTTTAATGTTAATTTTTTACATCACTGTTTATTTTTAAACAATATTTGCTTCCCCCACCCCCTCAGGTATAGTCCCCATATTGTTTCCTACACCAATGCACTTGTGCATCATCACCTCAGTCCCTTGTGCTCCGCCCTCCCTCCGATCCCTCTCCAAAGCAAAAATGGGCAATTATAAATCCTCTCTTCTTTTTAAAAATGCTGTAGCATTTTTCTGTCCAGTCTTCAATGATTTTATTATTTACAGCTCCTCAGATGTTACCAATAATTGGTATAAGGCTGTCATTTTCATATTCTCTTAGAATCCAGAGATGAATCTGTTAGAACATATAGGGACATGGAATTTTTAGAGCAGCCAGTCTTTAAGAACGGTTTCACCTTATATATGGTTTATACTCACCTTCTCTGTTTTGACTTTTTTAGGGGGAAAATTGTATGACAGGGAAATGCCACATGTGAATTTAAGAAGCCTACCTACCTTATAGTTTTCTTCTCTTAAGTAATGGGGTTCCATTGTTCTTATGCAGTAGCTCTCATTCATTAATTTCTTGATCAGAGCATGATGTTTGATGCTTTCAGTATAATAGATGGTCTTGACTCTCTAAAAGGGTATAATGTATGAAACAAGTTTCTAACTTGTTTAACAGAAGATGTTTTAAGGCAAGTATTAACAAAATTTGGGTTTTTTTTTATTATGAGAATGGTTCTTTACTGAAGAAAGGAACAATTAAGGGACTGTATTACGGAATTAGTGGGCTCTGGGATCCCATTCAGACCTCACTGGGAGGTGGAACTGAGAAAGCCATCAGGCAACCAGGGCAGCTTTGCTTCAACTCAATGTTCCCATCAAGGACATCACTGACTTTATTAATTCACAAACCTTCATTCTTTAAAACGCATTTTATTTGAATTTCCTACAGTCATTGACACTCATGAGCCACTCTCCTCTTCCAGGAATACTTTCTTTCTGGGCTTTCAGATAATTTTTCCTGTGTCTGTCACTCCACTTCTTCGGCCATTTCTTGTTTCCTTAGAAACTTAGTCTTGCTTTGCCTAGACCTTAAATGTTGGCTTTCTCCCAAAGATCGCTTTCTAGCCTTTTTCATTTCAGGCACTGTAATAATCTGAGTCATTTCATGCAGTCCGGAAGTTTAAACTGCCAAAAACTCTCACATTTATATCTGGAGTTCAGCTTTTTCTACTAAGTTCCATGTATGTATCTTTGCACATGTCCTTCCTTCTTGAATACCCTGTTGGCTCTTTTAAATGTCTAAAGTGAGATAGTCCACACCTATACATTACACAGAAATCTATCCCTCCTTCCCCACCACGTTTACCTCTACAGTGGCCCCACTAATCACTTTCTTGGCAATCATCCCTCTTCCTCTTTTATCTCCTGATGGTGCTACTTCCTCCTGTCAAGTCTGCCCCCAAAATAGTTGTCAAATACTTGTCTTCCTTTCTCCTCATTTCTTATTATCTTGCTCTTAAGTTTGCCTATCTGTTTTAAACCAGGGGTCCTCAAACTTTAATATACAGTCACCTGGAGTTCTTGTTAAATACATCTACTATAGGCCCCCAAGAATGTAGAAATTGGTACTTCTACTAAGCTACCCATTTGATTCTGATTTGATATTCTCAGAAAGCACCACACTGAACTGTAAGCTCCATAGGTAAAGGAAGCAGTGCATTTTAAGTACAGTACCTTAGTACTGTCCTGGTTAAACTGTATGAAACGGTCTTCACCTGACCATTTTTGATCAATGTGATTTTATTATGGTTCACCCAAATAACTGCTTAAGTGTTTGTAAAATAAATGAGTCCTATTTAACAAACTTGTGATAACTATTAAAGGTATTTTTACACTTTGTGTTACTTCAGGTTTAGTTTATCATTACTGTTATCTGATCAGTAATTAAGGAGGCCACAATCCATAATCATTTTATAGTTCTTCATAGAGATTTTAAAGTTTAAACTTGCCACCAGTTTAAAGTCTCCCTGTTGGAGAGCATTTGTAGGCACATGTGCTCCCATCTTTACAGACAGGTCTCATCCCTAGATGAGTCCATCCGTCTGTTTTACCCAAAACTCCACACTCTCTGGGGCATTGTTCGGTTAGCCCCACCCACTTACTTCCTAAATTCTTCTTTCTCTTTAAAATTCTTAGCATCAAGTTGGAAGAAGTAATGAAAACACTCCAAATTCCTTCTGTTTCTGGCACAGTGCTTTCTAGGTAGCTCGTAGGTTTTCCCAGGTTTTGTCACTCAAATTGCCAGTTACAACTTAAAAGTCAGCAAGAATGAAAAGAATGAAGCAGTCTTTGTCTTATCATGTAGTAATATAAGAATAGATTATGGGCCTCCTTGGTGGTGCAAGGGGTTAAGCACAGCACTGTGAAGCTATCCGCAGCCACTGCAGCACGAGTCTCCCCCCAGCCTGCCAGGGAGCTATCCACATGGCACAGCAGACCTCTCCTGTCTAGTCCCTCTGCTCCCCTCAGCAGTGTGTTTCAGTCCATCTGCCTGTTCTGTTCTTCACTCTGTCTCTGGTGAATCTTCTCACCCCCCACACATCTGGCCTGTACCCCAGTTCTTGTATGCATAAATAAATAAATTTAAAAAAAATAGATTACATGCAACCATGGTAGTGCAGTACATGGTCATTTTCATACTGTGCATTCAAGTATCATTCCCTGGATCTAATTTCAGGCTGCCTCAAACTTTGATATTTGCAGGGTTCATCTTAACAGGTTTTCTCTTTTAGCGAGCATGAATTCTTATTCTGAGGGCAACTTTCTCCTGTTTGTATTTCTCAAGCAAAGCAGTCTTTCCCTCCTGGGTTATATTATATTACCCCTGTTCTGATTTTCCTACTTCACCTAATTTTTTTTCCTTCTTCTAAAAAATGTTTCTTTCATTTTATCTTTACCTCAAGGGGTGAAAAATAAGGTTGAGATAGTAAAAATAAAAAGGTTAAATTCACTATAGGATTATATTTTGAGACTTTCTCTATTTTGATGTGAACATGATTATCACATTTCAGTTAATGTGAATGTTTGTTTTAATACAGCAGCTGCCCAGCCAGGAACTGAGATCTTTAATCTGCCAGCAGTCACTACCTCGGGTAAGATTCAAAATACATTATTGACCTAAAAGAAAATGGTATAATAGCAGTCATTCCAGCAAATATATATTGAGTACTAACTATTAGCCAGGAAACTGCTCCAGTATGTGAAAGTGAAAAAAGTTCATCATTTAGGTGGGGAGGAGATAATAGCAGTAAAAAATGAATTGAGATTAAATACTTGTTGAAAAGATATGCGAACGACTATCAAAACTATCAAAAGAGCAGTATAAAAACTAGGAACTATTGAATAACACAAATGGATGATGGATTCATTTACTAAAAAAAAAAAAAAAGGTTCTTGAGTTGATAGTGGTAGACTTAAGGTGCCCTCTGTGTGAGCTCTTGGTAATGTTTTAGGTGACTTGCGAGGTACTATGTGTATGTAGTAGCCTGAAGGCCTGTATGTAGTCTGTACACCTGTTTCCTGACAGAAATAAGCAGAAATGCTGTGGTTTTCTTTTAGGCTCAGTTAGCTCTAGAGGTCATTCTTTTGCCGATCCTGCCAGTAATCTTGGTCTTGAAGACATTATCAGGAAGGCTCTCATGGGAAACTTTGATGACAAAGTTGAGGATCATGGAGTTGTCATGTCCCAACCTGTGGGAGTAGTGCCTGGTGGTGCCAACACCTCAGTTGTGACCAGTAGTGAGACACGGAGAGAGGAAGGGGACCCATCACCTCATTCAGGTAAAGTTTTCATTTTAATGCTCTTCGGTTGTCTTTCTGAAGAAAAAACCAGTTTCCCAAGTTCTAATGCATCAATAAGAGATTTTACTTAAAAGACCTTTATGCTGAAAGTGACATCTGAGGACTTTAGTTTTACCCATAATGTCATCTTCCAGCTGTCATTTTATTTTTGTTTGCATCATCTTTATCTCTAGTCATACACTGTAATTGTAACACAAGTACAATTTCATACTCTACTTTGGAACGAAAGTGACCTATTATTCTATTTAAAAAATGACAGGCTCAGTGTAAGCCATAGAAGAATTAGAAAACAAAAACCCTATGACCACATCACCTGAAAGCTAGTATTATCTGATAAGCATCATTACACAGGTAAAAATGGGTTATTAGAATGAGATCATTTTATACATCCATTTAAAAGCAAACATATAAAGTACCGTGACACCAAGTTTTTCATGTGTGTATATATAGTTTTTTCTTAATCTTTTGTAAACTAATATTTCAGCTTTAGTTTAGGTTTGTTTTTCTCTGTAATCACCAAGCAAACTATCTCACTGTGACTAAGAATGAGATTAAAAGTCTTTATGTATTTTTTTTAACATATATATGGCATTTCCTGATCTAAAGCACAACATTATCTTCTCCTTTCTACATGAACCTAGCACTGCATTAATTTTAAATGTGTGTATCTTAAGATTATAATGTTGATGACTGTTAGGAAATGACAGTTATCCTGGTTGTATAATCTACTTATTACAGCGCTTCTTTTTTGGTAAGGTTTCTTACTGCATTGGATTAAAAGGGGTATTATATTTTAAGATCTTTCATGAATGAGAAAGTCTTGTCTTTATATTTGAAACACGAGCCTGGCAGGTTATGTTCTTGAAACCTGCTTTTCTCAAACCTGTAGAGACCATTACACCAACCTACCCTCTGCCCCCGTCCCCACATTGTTTCAGTTCTCAACAATTACTTTTTTGCCTGATAGTCTTTGTCCTCTGTATCTACTACCTTCTAATTATTTTAGTCATCTTGCTCTTTATGTTGCTTTTACTGTCTATCTCAAAACTTTTTCCTTTGTACGAATTCCCTTTTCATTGTGTTTATTGTGGCCCTTGTTGTATTTTGTCTCGTAAGCCTTTTTTTTTTAATCTCTTTCTTAACTGGATTTCTATTCTTTTGATTTCTATTCTTATCTAAGCTGACTTTGTATTTTTTAAAGTTTTTCTTCAGTATATGAAGTTATTTCCACCTTAGTCTTTATTTTATCATTAGGGATTTGCATTTCTTCTCTTTCCAGATAGTTCAAGGGCTAGATGTTGCTTTCTACCCACTTTTTTCCCCCCTGGAAATCTTGGTGCAGAGGTGTAATAATTCTGTTTGGGGGAAAAAGTTTGTTGGTGACCTGGATTCTGATCTCTTCTTTTTAAAGCTACATTATAGACAGGGACATCCCACACCTATGAATTTATGCTGAGTTCACCAACTAAACAGACTGGATAAATAGAAAGGGCCACCAGGTCTTGGCAAGCCTCTGCTGGGTCCTGTAGTGCTAGTTTTTTCCCTTTAACTACTCTGTTAAATTGGAGGATGGCAGGGAGGTGTCTTATTAGCTAGGATTTAATAAGACTTTTTAATTTGTAAGTAGTTTCTGTGCTCCAAGGCAAGGGAAAACACCAATGTTAAAAGAAATTTTATTCTTTGGTTACACATTTTTAAGGTTATGGCTTAAGGACATACCCCTTTTTTGGTATTGGTTGCTACGATTCTGGTTTTCTTTTAAATAGCATTTTTCAAAAACTACATTGGCTACTAGGATCTGGATTCTTCATGTTTACCATTCTGCCTTTTCAGTTACCATATATAATCATTAACATTTTGGTGGGGTTGAGGACATAATTACTGTATATCAATAGTAATTTATTTTAACTTTCACTTTCAGGAGTTTGCAAACCAAAGCTGATCAGCAAATCAAATAGCAGGAAATCTAAATCTCCTATCCCTGGGCAAGGCTACTTAGGAACTGAAAGGCCCTCTTCAGTCTCCTCTGTACATTCTGAAGGGGATTACCACAGGCAGACACCAGGATGGGCCTGGGAAGATAGGCCCTCTTCAACAGGTAAGGAACTTACGGTCTTATTGTTAAAAATAAAGTCTCATTTTTGATCTACGCCTTAGTTAGTATTTCTAAAAACCAGAAACTTTGTTTAGAAAACTATATTTCCATTACTGTTATTGATTATATGTTCCACTTCCAGAACAGCAATTGAATGCATATAACCTCAAAAACTTTAAGACTGCCAAGAAAGAGATAGAAAAACATGTCATCCCCTCCCCTTGCTTCTGTATTATGCTGGTAGCCAATATTTGCTATGTGCAAAGTGACTGAGTCTGTGGTTTCTGTTTTCATGAACTGTACCCCAATGTAAATGGGAGCTTCAAGAACTTTAGCCATTCCCAGAGAAAGTCAGAAGTGGGAAGAAATATTTTTTAAAACCGTATTTTTGTAGCTCACTATGTCTGTACAAACTGATGAAAAATAATATTTACTAACCTTTCCATTTTGTGCCTGTTTGTAAGCTGTTTTTCTTCTTAAACCTACTATGATAATGGTAAGTCTTACAAAGGAACAGACTTTTCTTTATTAAAATAAAACTGGGATGTTTGCTATGAATTTGTTGATTTTAGGGATCTTAAAGCTGTACTTTCCTTAGGGATTAAATATACACATCAGTGAAAAATTTGAAATGTGCTATTTCCACTTAGAAATAGTTTCCTGTGAATATTTTATCAGTATAATTTAAGGTTTTTACTTTATAAACTTCTCATGCCACATGAAAAATAGATATTAGTTTGAAAATTTGTTTATCAAATTCTCTTAGGGGAAGAATTATTGTATCATTCATGCGATTAACTTGATGAAATGCTGTTTCTGCTCTTAGTGTCACATGACCGTTTTAGTAATCCTGTCTCCTCCATCCTGTAAAAGCTGGATTGGGTGAAATAGCAAAAAAGCTCATGACAATGTAAACCTAATTTTTCTTTTATCAGGCTCAACTCAATTTCCTTATAATCCTCTGACTATGCGGATGCTCAGCAGTACACCACCAACACCAATCGCATGTGCCCCCTCTTCTGTGAACCCAGCAGCTCCTCACCAACAGAACAGGATTTGGGAGCGAGAGCCTGCCCCATTGCTCTCAGCACAATACGAGACGCTGTCGGACAGTGATGATTGAACTGCACAGAACAGGGGTCTTGATGGTGCCAGGGTACAGGGGTGGGATTTCTAGTTATTGGTGGTTTTATTTTTAATTGCAAGTCAAAAAACTTGTCTCCATGACATGTGCCCAGAGACTTTTCAGGAGAGCCTGGACCACGGATGAAGAAATGATGGAAATTTATTTGGAGAGTCAAATGGGGGTGGGGGTAGGGGGCTGCCTTTGACACAGGCAATTCAGTGGATTATAATAATAGAGAATGTAGAGTTTTTAAAAAGTGGACAATTCCTGTTCTTATATCTGTTTGTAAAGAAAACCATAATGTCTTTAAATCACTCTTCTGTAAATAGATTACTTTTTTTGCAGTGTTTCCCCTTGCTGTAGTATCTGGTGTACTTATGTTCAAATCAGCACATCAACTTTGGGGATAAATTTTTAAAGATCTTTTCGTCTTTTTAACCCTTGCCTTCTAAACAACCTCACACAGCCCAGTTACATAATGTTGGCTGTCACGGGCATTTGTACTTTTATGCAATTTTGTTTCTTCTCAATTCAGCTTCCTGGTGATGTTTAAGATCTTGTGGAAATGTTTAGATTTTAACATAGACCCTGTGAGCACTATCTGTAAATTAACATATTAGGGTCAAAGGTAGGAGAAACAAATTCTGCCATATTGTAAATTTCCAGTGCAGGCTTTACTTTTTTTTTAATTAGTAGCACTGAAAAAAATATTACTGCATGGGTATGTTATAGATCGTTTCTAAAGTTTTAAAGGCTTATTTGAGGCATACCTCACTGTTATGCACACTGGTAACTGAACCATGCCCAAGTATTCCTTTTCTCCTGCATTTGATGCAGCCCAACAAAGCTTTTGTTTTGAAATAAATTTGACTACCCTGTCCACAGCAACAATAGGTTATTTGTGACTTAAGACTCTTGGTGTCACAGGTTTCAAAGAAAAACGCAATATATTATATTACTGGTTGAGTTAGGATATGTGTGTATAGAATTTTTAGTCTTTTAGATTTGCTTTGTGCTGCATCCTGCACTCTCATGGTGAACACGTGGTCCTTTCTATGCGCCATTATTCTGTGTGAGCAAGTTTATGGGCTGTTTTTGTCTCACTGAATCTCAAGGAGCAGGTAATTTAAAACACAATTTAAAATAATTATGGTACAAAAGGATCCGTTTATCTTTAACAGTTGCTTGCTGAATTTTTAGGGTCTTTCACACATTAGCATTGCCTTGAAGCACCCTTCCACAATATATAATTAATGATTTGGAGAGAATGCCACTGATGATTATCAAGGGGAGAAATTAATGTTTCTCAAATGATAAAATTAGCAGCTCTATGATTATCCATTCCTTTGTAACAAGTATTTCATTTGTGTTTGAGACTCACACATCACCCTGTAGCATTGGCGTTTAACCCTATTTTATGGATGAGGACACTGGCTCAATACTTCGCCTGCCTCTGTCAGTTATTAACTGTGAACTATCATCTTGTCTAAAGTTAAAGCCTTTAGTTGTGTTACTACTCCACTTTTCTACACTTATGGTCCCTCCAAGTAAACTTTAAATCAGGCTTAGGGGTCAGAGTCCTACTACTTGGAAAGTTGGTATTAACTAAATGTTCTACTTAAAAACTTTTCAGGTACTGGTGTATTTTAGTTTGTTAATAATTTACATCGTCAAATGACCCAGGCGCAATAACGGTAGTATTTTTCTGTAACTTGGAGGGTCTTAAGCTACGTCAAGTTATAACAGTTAAGACAGTGTCAGATGAGAGCCTAACTTGTTGGTTTTGCATTCCCATGTAAGGATCCCAAGGTGAACGGCTGTAAATCATTCACCCCATCACAATGTATGTGTGTCTTCATCTACCGTCACCTGGAGAAGAGGTTTGAGAATAGAGATGAAATCCGCTATCATTTCCTAGCTCAGAAGAATGGAAAGACAGAATTCTCACATGGCTTACCTATGGAGAACAATCATCTGGGTGGGGTAGCTGTCCACCTTTCCAAGACTGAAATGGCAGTCACAGCGCTGACAGTGATGACTTGAAGTTGGCTGTAAATCAAGGCATAATCCTCTTTGCAGGTTGAGACTGCAGTGTTCCGAAGGTACATCGTTATGCATGATGTTTTTAGTACAAAGAACTAAATTAAGGTCTTCCTAACTATTCACAGGAGTACTCTGACAGTCAAATTTCCAGTGCATATTTATGACAGGAAGTTTTATGATTCTTTGAGTATGCTGAGTTTCTATCAATATTTTTAAAACTATCCACTTAAAACTAGTGACATCATTCATAAATTTACTTTTTAACAGTTCAGTTTGAATTCAGATGTGTAAAGGGGATCAGTCCTCCTGCTTTGCTATCTTGCTTTAATTTAAAGACAGTGCAAATGAACTTTAATGAGAACACCCTCATGAAGAGAGACTGCTTTCTGAAAACTAGTTTTTCTATCACTGGGACCATGAACTGAATTATTGTGAAGGATCAAAAATTCCTAAACCTGGAGTGAAAGATCTAACTTTCAGTAGCTCCTGCAATTGTGAAAAGGTGAAAACATTCTCAATGCAAAAGGTGAGTAATTGACAATTTTTTAAAAAGTAAATTAAGACTGGGTTTGGGTTGCACTAAATTTGATTTATAGCTTCATTTTAAGTTAGACTTCATTAAAGAAATTAGCTTCATGGTAAATAGATGAACTTAGACAAAGTAATTTACATCTGCAATATATAAAATTATAGTTTTAGTCTAATCAATCCCTGAGCGTCTGGACCTTCAGGCTTATTTCCATTAACTTTTCTGTAAACTTTCTTTTTATGAGAAACTCAAAACACTACGGAATACATACAATGTTGTTATAGTCTCTAGTTTATTATGAAAGGGTTCTTCCAGTATGTACATATCAGTCCCACTTAACGTCCCCAAAGGTGTATCAACAATAACAGTGTTCCTTCACAGTATCTGGAAAAGTTGTAAGACTGCTGAGGTAAGAACATCCACTTATGTGTCTTGTATTTATATTCCTTGAGGCAGTGTATTCATTTAAAGTCACCTGACCAAGTAACTCCTCCCATTTGTTCCTAACTTTACAGATGAGGCTATTGAGACCCAAACTCAAAAAGCAAGAACTAGGATCCAGGTCAATAATTCTTCTGAACCAAGTACACATCAGACTTACTAGAGAAGCACTAAATATACTTGTAGGGCCCTGCCCCTAAGTCAGAAGGTTTGGAGTTGAATCTGGGTGCATGATTCTATAAAGAGCTCCTCAGTTGACTGTTACTTTCCCTAGACTGCAAAGGAAGTTGAATGCTCAGACAACTAGAGGTTATTACATCTCAGTTGTATATAACCATATATGTACAATAACATACAGGTGACTTTTAAATCAAATGGGTGCTGTACTTGCAAGTGTGTAATTTTCACTTAAAATTTTATGCTGGAGGCAAAGTAAGATACCACTTTTCTTCCTTATGCATTAAATCCCAAAGTGGGCTTCATTAAATAATTATAAGAAAAGTAACTCACCATAATCCCCCTTTGTCATGAGACAGGTAGCTCTGGTCTTCCAGATATTGAAAAAATAAGAGAAAAAAGGGTAGCAAATCAGTGGACCAAATCTCATGGTAGAAACCTGGCTGAATTACCACACACCCACTCCAGAGGAAAACTGGCTCATCTTAATCTATAGAGATCTATATATCTTAGACCAGCACAAACAGCGTGGAATCATGTGTCACAAATGAAAAGCATCACTTGACAAATTTGTCCTTAGAAGTCAAAATCAGTTGGGAGTGGAAGTTGTCTTTCCTTTAAAAGTGGCAGTGTATACAATTTTTCCTTCACATATCTCAGGTGAAGAAACTAGAACATTAAAGACAAAGGATTTAAGCCATTGATTTGGGTGCCACTGACACTAGAATAGCTATTACTGGAACTACCCCTCAACAAAAAGGGATTTACAGTTTGACATAATTAAGTTAAAGTACTTTTTCTTGACAGCTCAGCCAACTCTTCCCTGATGTGCTGTATAGAAACCTCATCTCTTTTCAGCTCTGCTTGCTTCAGGGCTTCCTGGTAGATCTCCTTTGCTTGTGCATATCGTTCTAAAATAACCCAAAGAAAAGGAAGAATAAGAAAAACGTAGGTTGTCAAAGTGGCTCTAAAGAGAAAGCACTAGTGATGATACAGCCGGTGCTGCCTTATTCCATCCCCACGTGACAGGCCAGCCCAAAGTATAGAGCTCCAACCCAGGGAGTACCATGGGATTTCCTAACTGTGCTTTCTGACAGACCCAAGGGCCCCATTCCATTAGCCAAGTATATCTGATATTCTGTGTCTTACCAGCTTTATGAGTGCACTGTGAGAGCAAGTTAAACTGTTCAAGTGAAAACATTTAGAAATGTATAGCACAAGAAAAAAGGTACTATCATCACAAAGTTTTCTCTAGCTTGTGGTTCAGCAGGCTAGTGCAGGGCTGTGTAAGTTAAAGTAAGTTTAACACAATGGTATATCTTTTTTCTATTCTCATTCAGCCAGTCTTCAGTTCAGAAGCAGCCTTCCCCTTGCCCTCGTTAAACCCAATGGCATTTCTCTTTAAAGCAAGTCACCAAGTTTCCATTGCTTCCTACCTCTGTGCATTAGAATTGCAGCTAGATTACTGAGCAGCATGTGTAGCTCAGGATGTTCTATCTGTCTTGCCAGATCAGATGCTTTCTGCACATAAACACAGGCCTCATCAAAGCGGCCCTGTGCATCCAAGGTAGTAGCCAGATCACTCATCAGCACGATGGTCTACACACAAAAGAAAAAACGAATCATTTTCTTAAACACACCTACAGAGATTTACTGTTAATTTTAGGTTTGACAAACTCAATATAGTCAATCATTTCATCTTACTCCACAGACAAGTAAGGAACACCAGCCTTTTAACAAATTATGTGAATTTATCATTCATATTGTACAGTGCACATCCATTAGACCGCAAAGTAATGCCAATCTAGAAACCAGGGAACAGGATATTACTTATTAACTGAACTAATTATCAAATTACAAGCACCAAGTGAAAAATAACAGCAAAAAGACAACATAATGATCTTGTTGCTTAAAGTTCAGCAATCTTGGAACGACAACCCCTATCTAGTGATATGAATTCCATTTGTCATCTGTTTTCCAGTAAGGGGACTCTATCATTATAAAGTTCTAAATCCTTTTCTTGTAAATAATTCATAATCCAAATTGTTTTTTCTTAACGACTCTTATTAATTTGCCTTGCTCATCTACCCAAGTCCTGTTCAGTCCAATTAAAATTTTGTGTCCTAGTTTGGGGGTACTAAGCATTCATACAGCAAAACAATCCACTTTTTACCTCTTGCAGAACTTGAAATACAAAGAAATGAAATTAATTCAATGTTTAACAAATGGTCTCATAGAAAACTTTGCAAGGTATGCTTAAATTCTGTCACTGGTTTTTAATTTTTTTTTTTAAAGATTTATTTATTTATACAAGCACTGGGGTACAGTCAGAAGCGCAGGAGGGTGAGAGAATTCACCAGAGCCAGGGCGGAGAGCAGAACAGGCAGACTGACGAAATACACTGCTGAGGGGAGTAGAGGGCAGCAGGAGAGGTCTGCGCACCATGTGGGACCCTCGCCCAGCAGCCGGGGATTGAACCGCCACTGCAAAGGCTGCGGGCAGCTTCGCAACCCAGAGCTCAACCGCTGCGCCACCGGGGAGGCCCCTTTAATTTTTCTTTTTTTAATATAGTCCCTCCTTCCTGCCTCTTCCTCCAACCCCGTTGGCATCTTCCCTATGGGTGAGGAAGGCAAGGATCTTTCAAGGGTTAACCTATTCCTCAAAAAGACTTAGTATTCCAAAATACTGAATCTATAAAGTCCCCCAAAGCTGGTGTCTCATTAGACCTGCCTTTAAGAAAGGCTGCTCTAATGTTTAACCTATGACTTTTGCAAAATGTTTTGGCAAACTGGAAATTAACCAGTCTCAATCCTTTTGAAACAAATAGTTAGGGGGTACAAGCGAAATGGTAGGAAAATAGATGGACTGGGGGGCACAAGATAAGAGGACACATTCAGGACTATCTGCTATTCATCATTTTCTATGGAGTGTGGCATTTCTCATCCATAAATAAATTTTTAAACCTTTGTTTTATAATTCTTCTTAATGTCTTCCTCCCTTACCTGTGGGTGTCTTTCTCCTAATATTTCTTCAGAAATCTGTAAAGCTTTCTCGTACATCCTTTGTGCCTGTGATGGCTGCTTGGAAAACAGAAGGTATCGAGCATAGGCATCTAAGCACATGCCGAGGAGAAGGTGGGTATTGGCTTTCTCATCCACTATGAAGAAAATAAAAGCAGTGCTGGGATATAACAAGTACAATAAAGAAAGTGAAGCCCTAATCATTTTTCATTACCAAGCCCCTCAAATATTTAAATAGTATAAAATCCACTGAATGGTTCATGTAAAAGGTATTACTAACTTCAAGCGGTTACATAAAGGTGACAATTTAAGTGGATTAATTTCCAATTAAATGACATGACCAAACTAGCTAGAATCCTGGAACTTTCCCCCACCTAATTTATTGAGTGGCACAGGTAAAAATGAATGCTAATTTATCCCCTTCAAACAAAAGTCCAAGAAGAATTTGTAACAGAAGATTTAGAATACCGCAGAAATACTAAAATTTGAGAACATTTAAAGACAAATGTTTACCATATACCCAAAATGTCACAGAACATGTGTAATTATTCCAATTCAGGAAGTTGTATGTTCTAAAAATGCCAAAAAGTATTTTGGGGGATTTGTGTTACTATGACTATTTCTATACCTTAAAACAATGCTCTTTTATGTTTTATAATTACAAAACACATTCATTACCTATAACTCAAAAGCACAAGAATGAAGTGACAAGTAATCCTAGTAAAAAATTATCACTGATACCAGTAATGGAAATTAATTGGAATGGAAGACAGTAAAGCTTTTTAAGAAAGATTAATGAAAGTAAAATTCTGTTTTTTCATTATTTTAAAAATATACTTTAAATTCATAGCACTTTGACCATAAAGGATTTAACAAAAACCACTTCTCTAAAAATAGGCCTATGGGAGAAAAAGATTCTTTATTAAAACCTTCAGGATACAGGGCCACCCTGGTGGCGCAGGCAGTTGAGTGCCACACTGCAGAGGCTGTCTGCAGCCTCTGCAGCGTGGGTTCGATCCTGGCCAGCCGGCAAGAATTCTACATGGCGTGGCAGACCTCTCCTGTCTCGCCCACTGCTCCCCTCAGCAGTGTATTTCGTCAGTCTGCCTGTTCTGTTCCCCACTCTGCTTCTGGGTGAGTCCTCTCACCCTCCTGCACATCTGGCCTGTACCCCAGTTCTTGTATAAATAAAAATCTTCAAAGATAAAATAAACCCTTCAGAATACAGGGCCTCCGCAGTGGCGCAGCGGGTTGAACGCAGTGCTGTGAAACTGTTTGCAGCCTCTGCAGCACGGGTTCTATTCCCGGCCGGCCAGGAAGATACCCACATGGCACGGCAGACCTCTCCTGTCTCGCCCACTGCTCCCCTCAGCAGTGTTTTTGGTCCGTCTCTCTGTTCTGTGCCCACTCTGTCTCTGGACTGTACCCCAGTTCTTGTACAAATAAAAATAAATCTTTAAAAAAAAAATAGATCCTTCAGGATACAGCCAAGAGAAAATTTCAGTTTTAATAACCAAAGAAGAATCCCTTTTCTAAGTGATAATGTTTTAAAAAGTTCTCAAATATAAAAATTGCTAGAAATCAGCCTAATAAAAGCTGAAAAATGAATCATGTTTATACAAAGCTTACCCCTAAAGGATTGTTTTTATCTGAGGGGGCATATTTATCTCTTCAAGTTTTAATCATAAATTCTTCAAGTATTTCTAACCTGAGAAAAAGATGAGCTATCTAAATCAGTCCATGTAGCAAACAAGATTACAGAAATTTTTACTCCAAATTCTCATAAATACAATTTTCAAATGCCCCAAAGGTATCACCAAATAGCATTTAACCCAAGAATATGATAATATTTCAGTATATTTATCAGTATATCAAATTAGGCTTGCATAAAGTAGAATAAAAAGGAATCTAATAAAGTATTGAAACAACTTTACACATTTATAAGAAAAAGCATCTAATTTAGGGAATTTTGAGTACTGGCATCTACCCCATGAGCTCTTCTAGACTCCCCACTGCCCCCCACCAAATAACTAGGAAAGTCTACAAAGGTCTTTTCAGACTTCAAATATTTACCAGCCATGTTCCAGGAAGGTCCTAAAACTTCTGTTAAGCTGTATCTCATTAGCTAGGCGCTAACTCTAGCAGATCAGGAAGTGGAAGGAGTAAAGCAGAATCTGAACAAAGGCTTTTGGGTCCAGTAATGTAGTTGATAATCTGAAAACCTTTCTGCTTCAAGCCTTGTAACAAATATCCCTTTACATGCACAGCTGAGCTAAGAGAACATCTTAAGGGTCATAAATTAGGAGTAAGCTAAAACCCAAAGTGGAAAAGTGTGCGCGTTAACAGAGCAAAAGTCCAGCATATTATAATAATCCAGAATTGAGGCCTTCAACTTGTGCAGAAACAGAGAACTAGATCTGAAACTTAAAAGCAAGGATGCTTGTCCTGGTTATAGGATACAACCTCGAGAAAAGGATGAATTAGAATATTTATGTCATGTCTCCACATACCCTTTACCCTTCTCTTTCCAACCATACCCCCCACACCCCAAGACACAAGAAAGTATAAGTGGCCAAGTCTGGCATCTAGATGGGAAAAATGACTACCAAGGAAATTTGCAGTCACAGATTGGTGCTACATGCTGTACTAAATTTACACCATTCATTTAGGCTTGGGCCTAAGTACCTGGAAGAAACAAAAACCATTCTGGAGTCTCATTTTACATAAAACCCTGCTGAAAAGTAAACATGAAAGTTTATCATAAATGAGAATAAGCAGACAATAAAAAGGGAGGCCTTCAAGAATCTTATCAATATGTACTGCGTTGTTGGGAAAGTCATGAAGCATTTTTGCTTGAAAAACAAAAACTACAGGGCCTCCCTGGTGGCAAGGAGCAAAGACACAGTCCCATAAAACTATCGCCAGCCACTGTAGCAGCAGTTTGATCCCCAGTCGGCCATGGAGCTACCCACTTGGCGCAGCAGACCTCTCCTGTCTCGCATGCTGCTCCCCTCAGCAGTGTATTTCAGTCGACCTGCCTGTTCTGGTGAATCCTCTCAGCCCCACACCTCTGGCCTACACTCCAGTTCTTGTATGCATGAAAGAAAGCAAGCTTAACAAAACAAAACAAAAAAAACATCATGACTTTTCCAACAGCCCAATTCATCAAGTATGCTCCACGTCAGAGCCTTGCAGCCACAGGTCCATCTTTATAATTTCCCTCTCTCAGACACTGTCACTTGGCTTATTCCCTCCCATTCTATGGGTTTCTTATCAATTAGGCCTTCCCTAAGCCCTATAAAATAGCATACTGCCCCAAAGTATTCCCTCAAATACATCGCACTTAATCATCTCTGGACATAACAATTTACTAGACAGTATATATTACATGTTTTTTCTCCACTAGAAATTTAGCTCCATGAGGCAGCAACTATTTATAGCGGTTATCTTAGTGTCTAGTACTGTGTCTGGCATACAATAGGCATTCAATAAGCATTTCTTTACTGAACAGCTGAATGAACAATTAAAAACATACAAGTATGAAACTGTGGTAAAGATATAATGAAATTAAAGAAATTAATTTTAATTATAAAATTCAACAGCAGCACTTCATATATCTATGAGAACTTAAGAGTGGTCATTAAAATTAGTGAGAAAATGACAGATTAATGAAACAGTTCTGAGCACCTGGCTGTCCATGAGGGATAAGAAATTACACTGATGGGCCTCCCCTGGTGGCGCTGGCGGTTGATCGCGGTGCTGTGAAGCTATCCGCAGCCTCTGTAGTGCCGGTTCTATCCCGGCCGGCCGGCGAGAGTCCCACATGCGTGGCAGACCTCTCCTGTCTCGCCCACTGCTCCCCTCAGCAGTGTATTTTGGCAGTCTGCCTGTTCTGCCTCCCCTCTCTCGTGAATCCTCTCACCCTCCCAAGCATCTGGCCTGTACACTGGTTCTTGTGTAAATAAATAAATCTTTTAAAAAAATTACATTGATAACGCATATCATATTAAAAACAAATGCTAGTAAATTGAAGACTAAATGTAAAAAAAAGCCAAACATCTATGTAAGAGTATCTTTCTGTCCTTAAAAGAATGAGAAACTTTACTAAAGCACAAAAAACACAAACTAACAGAAAATAGATTCTCTTATAGTTATGTTTTGACTTCTGTCATGTCCTAAAGTGATAAGACAAAGCCACAAAAAGATGTAACCTACAGAATTTAAGATGTTCAAGTGCAAATCTTAAGGGAAAAAACCTTCAAAAAATATAAGCAAAGTGTACAGACAATATTCAAAGCAGGAAATCTGGATGGCCAATCAATTCATGAAAAGTTGTCCGACGTCACTAGTAATCAGAGAAAAACACGCTGAAACACAGGAAACTCCCATTTCAAACCCATCAGATCATCAAAAACTTTAAGTCTAACTAAAGCAAAGATACAGAGCAACAAGAACACTAATACATTGCTAGTGAAAATATAACTTGTTGGGCCACCCTGGTGGCACAAGGGTTTAACTCTCAGCACTATGAAGCTATCACCAGACACTGCAGCATGAATTCCACCCCTGCCAGGGAGCTACCCACATGGCACAGCAGACCTCTCCTGTCTCACCCTCTGCTCCCCTCAGCAGTGTATTTCAGTACATCCACCTGTTCTGCTCCCCACTCTGTCTCTGGTGAATCCTCTCACCCTCACACTTCTGGCCTACACCCAGTTCCTGTATACATAAATAAATCAATCTGAAAAAAAGTAAACTGTTAAAACAGTCAATAAGCAATTGAATTAACCATAGGAAATAAATTGTGTATGTGTACACAAAAGACATAGATTGAAGAATATTCAGTGAGTAATTTTTTACACAGTAATACAACTTTCCTCTTCAACAGGGGAACTATGTTATCATCACACCATGTAATAGCAAAAACTGGAAGTAACTGCAAGTCCTGACAATCAGAGAGTCAAGCTCGCTGGGGTATGTTAGCACTATGAGGGATTTCAGTGGGACTGAAAGAGGCCAGAATGTGGACTACATTGACAGATACAGAATACTTGCACTGACAATCAGGGACACCATTAGCCTGTGTCGTTCCTTGTAAGGATGAAAAGAGGCTTCACCTTTCTGTCTCACCCCAGTG